TGTGGGTCATAAAACTGCGTGTCTTACAGTCTACATGCTTCTGCTTAGCTCATGTGGGTCATAAAACTGCTTACATCAGCGCATTTATGTAATTAAATTACTCAAGCTGCCGTGTTAATGAGGCCGCTGTACAGCCAATCTTTGTCGGTAGGAAAATAGGAATCATCGTGTGGATACTATGTCATGTGGATCTTTTCTAGTGAGGATATTTTTTGTCGTGTGGATATTTTTGCAATTATACTGTTACCTGTAAATCCCACCCGTTACATGTAGTTTTCTGATACCTGTAGTTTCCACATATTACCTGTAGTTTCCATCTGATACCTATAGTTTCATGTTACCAGTAGTTTCCAACTGTTACCTGTAGTTTCCATATGATATCTTTAGTTTCATGTTACCTGTAGTTTCCAACTGTTACCTGTAGTTTCCATATGATATCTGTAGTTTCATGTTACCTGTAGTTTCCAACTGTTACCTGTAGTTTCCAACTGTTACCTGTAGTTTCCATATGATATCTGTAGTTTCATGTTACCTGTAGTTTCCAACTGTTACCTGTAGTTTCCATATGATATCTGTAGTTTCATATTACCTGTAGTTTCCACCTGTTACCCGTAGTTTCCACCTATTACCTGTAGTTTCCACCTGTTACCCGTAGTTTCCACCTATTACCTGTAGTTACCACCTGTTACCCGTAGTTTCCAACTGTTACCTGTAGTTACAACCTGTTACCTGTAATTAAAACCTGTTACCTGTAGTTTCCATTTGTTACCTGTAGTTTCCACCTGTTACCTGTTGTTTCCAACTGTTACCTGTAGAATCCACATAGTACCTGTAGTTTCTGCCTGTTACCTGTAGTTTCCATCTGATACCTGTAGTTTCCACCTGTTACCTGTAGTTTCCACCTATTATAACCCACGTGTTTCCATGTAAAAAAAATCGTTCTAAACATAAAATGTGTACCCCGCCCGGTAAAAAAGTTTTTCAACACGTCAGCATTGGCCAAAGTTCTCCGTATTTCCAGAAGAAAAATGATTTATCTTTGAAACTTTGGGGTGTATAGATTTTTACACGATGTTACCCCCTCCCCATAACCTGGTGTGTCTATCATCCCTCCACCTGGTTTTGAAGGTCATGCATCTACCCACCCCCACCCCTCGTGCAAATCCTCCCCTATTCACACCCCCCTCTCAGCTGACAAAGACAGCAATATAAAACTGTTCTCAATACCGGACAGCCATTAAAAACAAGACGAGAAACCAAGGTCAGAGAGCGATGAGAAACATCAGAGAGCGACGCGAGAGTCTGGTACCTGACCCTGACCCGTCATGCCGTCTGCAACTTTAGCTCGAGTTAAATTTATAGCTCAGGTTTAAACAGCTGCATTGTATGTATTGATGTTGTTTGCTATTCCAACCCCTCACTCACCCACCCCTCACTCCCTCACTCACCCCTCACTCACTCCCTCACTCACCCACCCCCTCACTCACCCACCCCCTCACTCCTTCACTCACCCCATCAAAATCAGCAATTTTTTTCTACTTTAGGTCCTTAGATTAAAATAAATAAAAAGATAAACCTGGAGTGATCTCCCCTAAACTTTCTCGAATATTCTTATATAACACTACGGTGGATGGCAACTCGGGATATAGACATGATTTATAATCCATTTTAATTACATAAACTTTTTAAAATAGAACAAAATCTGCTTGAAAAAAGAATTGCGCAAGCACCAAGTGAACGACAAACAATCTGTGCGGAATATTATTAGTACTTTATAAATACACATGCCTTTTTGAGAAATCGGAGATAGCGTAAATTACTACTTTCAGAAATTACTCAAAATTTGACAGTAGGCAGAGAATTCGATATTTTACTTATTTTTGAAACTTCGTTTATCTTTCTTAAAGTAGTCAAGTTATACTAGTTATAGGCTTTTGAAAAACCAAACGTTTCACTTCCGGTTTCCGGAAATCGCTAAAAAATCGATACAGATCTACAAATTCGATATAATACTTGTATATGAAATTTGATTAACACATCTGTAACGTTACTCAAGTTATCATGTTTACACACACACACACACACACACACACACACACACACGCGCGCGCGCGCGCGGATAGAACGCTGACATTTTTATAAATCTGCATTTTTTATTTTTGCCCGATTAAAATAAGTCCACTATACTCCGTATATGATGTACTGAGGTGTAAAACGATGAAAACTGTCAAAATTTCATGTGATTTTTGTGCACGATTACAATACTTCCTCTATACTCTGTATACGAGAAAGTAAAAATGGCATCAGAATGGGTAGAATTTAGATAATTTGACAAGAAAATGCATCTTTTATTTATAATATCGTTTCCTCTACAAGTATCGTTTCCTCTACAAATATCGTATCATTTTCCTACAAGTATCGTTTCCTCTACAATTATCGTTTCCTCTACAAGTATAGATACCTCTACAAATATCGTTTACTCTGCAAGTATCGTTTCCTCTGTAAGTATCGTTCCCTCTGCAAGTATCGTTTCCTCTACGAATATCGTATCGTTTCTTCTACAAGTCAAACAGTGACTGAATCTACCAGATAAATTATTATCAGACCGACGTGCTCACCTTTTGATGCACGTGCACTACGAATGTTTATGTTCTCTAAGGGGTCAGATCTGCTACAAAAAATGTTTATTTAACCTGAGATGAGAGCCGTATTAAAGTTTAGGGTATATGTTGGATTAGAGGGATTAGTGGGATTAGTGGGATTAGAGGGATGAGTGGGTTTTATTTTACGTTCTTGTAGTGGGCTAACGGCATGTGTTGGATTAGAGGGATTAGTGGGATGAGTTGGTTTTATTTTACGTTCTTGTAGTGGGCTAACAGCATGTGTTGGATTAGTGGGTTTTATTGTACAAGCTAGTAGTAGTAGTAGTCTTAATGTATGTGTGGGATTAGTTGGTTTTATTTTACGAGCCGGCCCATGAGTAGTCTTACTGTAAGTGCGGGATTGTTGTTGTTTATTTGACGTGTTGTTAAACACATTTCCTAGTACACTCCCACCCCACACGCTCATACACCACAGCCCAACCCCCACGCCACGCCAACAGAAAACAACCAAACACACCCACATCTCCCAGTGGCGGAACTAGAAAAAAGAGCCACTCCGCAAAAAATCTTTTTAGACCCCCCCCCCCCCAAAGATAAATATATATATATATATATATATATATAGGCCTATATACGTATATATATATATATATATACATATACATATATACATATATATATATATATATATATATATATATATATATATATATATATATATATATATATATATATATATATATATATATATATATATATATACACATATACAAACAAAATACGAACTAGGATGCTCATTGCTGGCCTGTTCGTGTTTTGAAAAAAAAGTTGTTTTTTTTTTCCAATTAAAACAAAATATTACTTCATGTCATGTGTGGAAGTGCTTCAGTGTGTTTTGGGAAAATCGTTTTTTTTTTATATCTGCTATAAGACCTCTCAACTACTATTTGGCCAAAAGAATTTAAAACATGACATCTTTGTAGAAGCAATGGTGTCTCGTGTTATGATTATTTTTATGGTTTTTTTGTGTTTATATTATTAATTTTATACACATTTCATTTTTATACAATGTCATTCTTCAGTAAGTACATTCTATTAAAAAAATAATAATTAAGAGAAGTAATTGCTTTTTAATTTGTTTAGTACAAATCTATTAAAAGGAGCTTATGAGCACCCCTTTTGACTATTTAAAAAAGGGAAATAAGTCATGTAAGAGGTTTGAATGTTTGCTTATCTTTGCTAAGAATTTTTTTTTTTTTAAATTTAACTAAGAAAAAATTATTATGGTCGGCTGTGGGCCCCTAAATGGCGTGACACCCCCCCCCCCCCCCCGCACTGTAGTTCCGCCCCTGACATCTCCAATACCAACTCCGCTTGCGGCTGAAGAGAAGGGCGGTATTCCTATAGTTCACTGGGCTCTGTTCGTCTTTTGACTGATGCAGTTGAACTTTCGCTTGAGTTATCTCTTCCAGTCCTTGATTCTTGGGCTCTAACTGTAAAGGACACTCAACTAGGCCCTAGTGTTTCATTGGTGTCGGTTCGACTGTAAATTAAAGTAATTTTTTTAAGCTTTACAAATGTGTATGGGGGAAAAACTTTTTTATGTTGGAAGTGGCTACTGTGATTAGTTTTTAGGCATTGTGTGGTTTGACCTTTCAATGAATGGTTCATCGAAAAGGTTATGTGGGGAGGTGTTAGTGTCACGTGATTCTAGATGATTCTGGAATGGCCAGCAATTTTCATGTGGTTTAATTTGCCAGATTTTTTTTAGACGTCAAAGTGTTCGCAGGTTTGATTAATTTTTTTTTTACAAAAATCACTAGAGTCTATCGAGGTGCAAAAAAATCGTTTTGAGATTTTTTGTAGAAATTTCGCCCCCCCCCTTCCATTGCGGGGTCTGGAGGTATGGTAGCCCCGCCCCTGGTTATATAACGGACCGATTTCTTTCAAAGTTAAGACACGATGTCATTGTAAGGTGACAGCGACTTTGACTTAATTGGCTGCTTAATTATTTTTTTAAAATTAATTCATATTTCCTATACTATTTCTTGTTCATTTATAGTGGAGTTATTTTTATTTTATTTTTAAAAGTTTTAAAGTTTTAAATTCAAGCTTCTATGTAACAATGCACTAAAAAGAAAAAGAAATGATATATAATAATTCTCCGTACTTTAAATAACTACAAAGCAAATAGAAGGTCACTATACAGTCACATAGACCTATAATGTATTGAATCACAATAAAATTGCGTGACTTAAAAGAATTGCGTACCAAAAAAAAAACAATATGGCTGTAATAGTTGCCCATATTATAAGTGAACTAGTTTTATGTCCCCATGGTTTTAGTTAACTGCGTTAACTTTGACTGAAATAATTTCCTATGCGCTGTCTGTTTCAGGTCTAGCTAGTCCGGTCACGTGAGATGGGTAACTCGATGATTTGTGCCCCGGGCATTGAACGGAGGGCAAAGGTCAAGGCGGAGAAGAAAAGGTGAGTTTAGGCACAAAATGGTGGGAGTCTGGTATTGGTATGGGAGTTTGGTGTTTGTCTGGGGGTTTGGTGTTTGTCTGGGGGTTTGGTGTTGGTGTGAGTAACAAAATGGTGAGGGTTTGGTATTGGTGTGGGGGTTTGGTGTTTGTGTGAGTACTAAAATGGTGGGGGTTTGGTATTGGTGTGGGGGTTTGGTGTTTGTGTGAGTAAAAAAATGGTGGGGGTGTGGTATTGGTGTGGGTGTTTGGTGTTTGAGTAAAAAAAATTGTGGGGGTTTGGTATTGGTGTGGGTGTTTGGTGTTTGTGTGAGCATCAAAATGGTGTGAGTTTCGTATTGGTGTGGGTGTTTGGTGTTTGTGTGAGCATCAAAATGGTGGGGGTTTGGTATTGGTGTGGGGGTTTGGTGTTTGTGTGAGTACTGAAATGGTGTGAGTAGAGTAGTATTGGTGTGAAGCTATGAGGGCGTGATGTCCTAAACAAGACACACGTGAAGTTATGGCCAGATAAAACTTGAGAAAACCTGGTACGAAATGTAGAGATTGGCTAGCAGAAAAAAAAACCCATCTTAACAGGGGAGAAAACACGGCCAGGGGAGGTTAATGGGAGTCTCCTGGTGAGTTCACGGGGTCAAGGGAGCTACGGTTAATCACGGCCAATGTTGGCTTGACCAACGTATCTTGTCAATCTGCCTATTGGGATGGGTCTATTACATTTACACTCGTGTACTCATCTCTCTATTGGGATGGGTCTGTTACACTCTTCATCTCTCTATTGGGATGGGTCTGTTTCAATCGTGTATTCTGATTCTAAACTTGACTGAAACACAATTTTAATTGTATGCTTCTTACAAGCATTTTTAAAGCCAATACGGATTGAATACACATAGGCCTAAAAAATTACGTTAAAATATTGGCAAATGGTGTTTATTTTATGTACGAACTAAACAGCATACTGCACGAAAGCGTTTATAAATCACATTATTTTTAGAGGTTTACCTCGCCCCCCCCCTCCCCCTCCTTACTGCGCTTTCACCTGTCCTTAAATAAATCTTAACTTCAACAAACATGGCGCCAAGAATAATTTTTCCTTGGGTTTTTTTTTTTAAATTAGTTTTAATGAATATAAATACTATAAAACGAATTCCATACAGTGGCGGAACTAGAAAAAAAAGGCTCCCCCGCAAAGAAAAAATTAGGGCCCCCTATATATATATATATATATATATATATATATATATATATATATATATATATATATATATATATATATATATATTTATATTTATATTTATATATAATATATATATATATATAATATATATGTATTAATAAATATAATCTATGTCCTAACTGAGTAATTTAGTCTACTTCATTGCAATATATAATCATTCTGAGAGAACAAACCAAACAAATTTAGTCCAAACTCATTTTGGCCTAGAGAAATTATCATTACCATAAATAATCATGCTGGTCAAAAATATATAAAGACGTAAGCTGGATTCGTGAATGGTTTCTCGCGTTATGTTTAATTTTTTTCATTTTTAGCTTTTAGAATATCAGTTTTGAAAACATTGATTTTTATAGCTATACCATTGTTTAGTACGTCTTATTTAAATAATAATTCAGAGAATCAATTGCTTTTTAATATACATAGTACAAAACTATTTAAATGAGCTTCGTGGGCATCCTTTTTTTTAAAGAAGGGCAGTAAGTCATGGAAGTAGTGTGAATGTTTGCCTACCTTTCAAACTATAGCTCTTGTAGATTTTAAAATAATTTTCTACGCAGCAATCTCTGCTATAGTAGACCTGTTTTTTTTTCTACAAAAACTCTTTCAAGATGCATGAAAAACATAATTTAAAAAAAAAAAATGCATTGTTTTTTGGTCGGAACTGGGCCCCTAAACGTCCTGGGCCCCCCCGCATTGCGGGGTCTGGCGGTATGGTAGTTCCGCCCCTGATTCCATATCAAATATATTATCCCCCCCCCCCCCCCTCCACACGCACACCTGTTCAAGACTTATATCATGACTAAAATCTGAATCGTCCCTCAGAAAACACACTAATTAAACAACAGCAGCAAACACTCAGAAAACACACTAATTAAACTACAGCAGCAGCCAACACTCAGATAATATCTCAGCTACTTCATGAAGAAAAATAAAACTCCATTTATCATCTCTTGATACCAGACACAGCTATACTGTCGCCTGTGGTACTGTACAGATACATTTAAACAACTTAGTGGGGTGGATGTGTTCAATATCTCGTGAGATCAACATCCCCCCCCCCCTTCAGCACCCAACTGGCTGCTGATTGAGATGTCTGACTCGCATATCTTCGCTGTACGAAATCCAAGACTAGAACACTAGTATTTAGTTTAAATTGACAACACTCAAGATAAAATTATAAACGAACAGCTGTGCTTTAGTCATTAAAAAACGGTTCCTCTGATCTTGCTTCTACCCACCATCCGCCCCCCCCCCCCCTCCCATCACAAGCTAAATCATACAACAGTGACACAAAGTGACAAAGTTGTGAAACATTTCAATCCCCGACTATTCAACATACAGTGTTTCTTCCAGATTGTTTTCTTGGGGGGGTGGGGGGGGGGGGGGGGGGGGGGTGGGGGGCACTGTTAAAAGTATATATTTTATATATAAATTCCAATTCCTTCGGGGGTTGGGGGGGGGGGCGGTAGACTTCTAGATGCCTGGAAGAAACTTTGTTCAACATCATACATCAGAGTGACCTTTCCTGTTGTCTAAAGCGTGTCCCAGCTTCCCGCATGTTGGATTAGAATCTTGAGTTCTTCGTCAGAGACTTTGTGTAAGCTGTAAAGATGTGTCTCTAACAGATGTGTCTCTAACAGATGTGTCTCTAACAGATGTGTCTCTAACAGATGTGCCTCTAACAAATGTGTCTCTAACAGATGTGCCTCTAACAAATGTGCCTCTAACAGATGTGCCTCTAAAAGATGTGTCTCTAACAGATGTGCCTCTAAAATATGTGCCTCTAAAAGATGTGCCTCTAAAAGATGTGCCTCTAACAGATGTGTCTCTAAAAGATGTGTCTCTAACAGATGTGTCTCTAACAAATGTGTCTCTAACAGATGTGCCTCTAAAAGATGTGCCTCTAAAAGATGTGCCTCTAACAAATGTGTCTCTAAAAGATGTGTCTCTAACAGATGTGTCTCTAACAAATGTGTCTCTAACAGATGTGTCTCTGTTTCAGGTATCAAACTATCCTACAGCTGAGAGAGCAAAAAGTCCTTGAGGATCACGGCGATGAAGAAGAAAACAACACGACAGAAACGGACCAGACCGATTCTTCCAGTAAGTATCGATAGCTCTAGCACCAAGTTGATCAGAGCTTCTAAGCCAGGTGTTTTTTGGGGTTTTCAATTTTGGTTTTCATTATCCTGAGCTGCCAAGGGTCAAGTGCGTAGTTACAAGATTGTGTTAAATGTTAACTTGACCGTCAACTATCTAGATGCAAGATTGCGTTGAATGTTAACTTGACGGTCATTATCTAGATACACATTTTTGTTTAATTTTCGCGTTATGGTCAACTATCTAGATACACATTTTTGTTTATTATTTCACGTGACGGTCAACTATCCAATTATACGACTTTGTTGAATAATGCAATACTGGTTGACAAGACCATGTCCCACTACTCACCTTGACATCACCCCCCACCCCCAACCAGCAGGTACCCCACTCAGGAGGAGGGCGATCAAACATGCCCTATCAGTGGACCCAGTGGACCAGTTGGCGGAGAAGGTTCGGCCCGAGGAGTATCAGTTCCCGTTTGAGAACCTCATCTTTGAGGGCGGGGGCAACAAGGGGCTGGCGTATGTCGGCTGTATTCGGGTAGGTGGCGCTCCTCGCCTAGGTACTCTATTACTACACCATATATATATATATATGTCTGGTCCCAAGTCCAGAATGGGAAAGGAGGAGGGTTTTGGGTTTGGGCTAGCAACCCACCATGTAAAAACAAAAACGCTACAGAAACGGCAACAGATCTAAATCAAACCATCATGGGAGAGCAACCGAGGACCGAGGCAGCTTTGCCTGATATGACGAGTCTAGATGAAAGCCGCAAGGAAATCTCTACTCTGAAACAGTCCTTAGTAACCCCCAAAATTATTACACGAATAGGAGCTTGGACGAAACTAGCAAAACAGCTCAAGTGGTCAAGGAAATGTCAAGATACAGGATCAACATCCTGGATGGAAGATACTAGAGCTATATGGCTTTCCAGGAAAAGTCATAAACATACTTAAGGACATGTACTATGATAACCAATGCTGTGTGCGACACGAAAATCAGCAAAGTGAATGGTTCAAGGTAAAAACAGGAGTCAGACAGGGCTGTGTCATCTCACCTGTCATCTTTTTGGTGGTAATAGACTGGATTATGAGAAGAGCCACTGAGGATAAGCCAAGAGGAATTGTTTGGGAACTTACCAACCACCTAGAGGACTGTGACTTTGCTGATGACTTGGCTTTACTTTCACATGCCCAAAAAGACATCCAAGCGAAAACCACAAGAATAGAGCAAATTGCCAAAAGCGTTGGGCTAAAGATAAACTCCGGAAAAACCAAGCTAATGAAAATAAAAACCAAAAGTGCTCTCAAGACCTTTGCGAATGGAGCAGAGCTAGAAGAGGTCGAAGACTTTAAGTACCTCGGCAGCTATATATCAGCAAATGGCAGCATGGAGAAAGAAATTGCCACCAGAATAGCAATGGCAGCACAAGCTTTTAACAGACTCGCTAAGATCTGGAAATCATCCTCACTGCAGCAGAGAACTAAAATAAGGATCTATAAGTCTAATGTACGTTCTGTACTCCTCTATGCTGCAGAGTCATGGAAACTAAACAAGAAAGTAGACAGCCGACTCAGAGGCTTTGAAAGAGAAGATCCCTCCAACGCATCCTCAGGATAAAGTGGGACGACAAAGTCCCAAACAAGGAAATATGGCGAAGGACAGGATTAAACGACATTGTCTCAGAAGTTAGAACGAGGAGATGGAGATGGCTGGGCCATGTCCTACGCATGAGCAAAAAAAGACTCCCCAACATGGCGCTGAAGTGGAACCCACCCGGAAAGAGAAGTAGAGGAAGACCACTGGGAACATGGAGGAGGGAGATGGAAGAAGAAGTACAGGCTACTGGCAAAACCTGGCATGAACTAAAGTGGCTCGCCCAGGACAGGGTGGAATGGCGGAGATTTGTTGTTGCCCTATACTCCACAGGGAGTGATGAGGATTAAGTAAGTAAGTAAGTATATATATATATATATATATATATATATATATATATATATATATATATATATATATATATATATATATATATATATATATATATATATATATATATATATATATATATATATATATATATATATATATATATATATATATATATATATATATATATATATATATATATATATATATGTATATATATATGTGTGTGTGTGTGTGTGTGTGTGTGTGTGTGTGTGTATGTATATATATTTATATATATATATATATATATATATATATATATATATATATATATATATATATATATATATATATATATATATATATATATATATATATATATATATATATATATATATATATATATATATATATATATATATATATAAATCGTTCGAATAAGACACGTTCACGGTTTAATTCGCATGAATGTAAATTATTTAGTCAGACCAGCCTGCTTTTGTTTCGACATTTTTTATCGATTTGATACTTAGATAGTTACTAAGTTTTGTACGTGGAGTGCTACTGTACTCAGACTGGTATAAGTGTGTATATATTGGCAGTGGGAGATTGGTTCTAGAACTGGACTGTGGTTATAGAACTGAACCGTGGTTCTAGAACTGGACTGTGGTTCTAGAACTGGACTGTGGTTATAGAACTGGACGGTGGTTCTAGAACTGGACTGTGGTTCTAGAACTGGACTGTGGTTCTAGAACTGGACTGTGGTTCTAGAACTGGACTGTGGTTCTAGAACTGGACTGTGGTTCTAGAACTGGACAGTGGTTCTAGAACTGGACCGTGGTCTAAAAGCCAACCTGTTTTTGTTGCAGTATCTGGAGGAGCTGGGCATGATGGGGCAGATTCGGAGAATTGGGGGCAGCAGCGCAGGGGCCATAACTGCGGCTCTTGTGGCAGTGGGATACGACTCAAGAGACATCGAGACATTCTTGTCAGACAACATAGAGGAGGTGTTTATTGGTGAGTTCTTGGTTGTCATGCAACATAGAGGAGGTGTTCATTGGTGAGTTCTTGGTCACTTTAGCAAGCTATTGGTCACCTTAGTGAGCTATTGGTCACCTTAGTGAGCTATTGGTCACCTTAGTGAGCTATTGGTCACCTTAGTTAGCTATTGGTCACCTTAGTGAGCTATTGGTCACCTTAGTGAGCTATTGGTCACCTTAGTGAGCTATTGGTCTCCTATTGGTCACCTTCGTGTTACCTTGGTGAGCTTGGTGTCACCTTGGTGAGCTTGGTGTCACCTTGGTGAGTTTTTGGTTTAGTTGCTCATCTTGCATGCACCTAATGACACCCCTGAGACAACCTGACTCTAAGTTTAAATATAAGCCCACTTGATACACTCACCTGTATCTACGGCTAATATTTAAGTCAGATACTTTACAATAACTTATTGTGATTCCGTATTTTTTGGCTGTTAGGTTACTTATATTTATAAAATGCCAGTCAGTAATGTTGTATTTTTAACTTATATCTTGTACTAGGTTAGACTACTCATGATTAGCCTTTTATTAAAAGGGTTATCTCCCTTCTTTCGTGTTTTTTTCAGACCACTCCTGCGGGTACCTGAGTCTCCTGCCCAATCTACTCAGTAAGTTTGGATGGAATCCTGGGAAACGTATCTTCAACTGGTTCGGGGATCGAATCAAGGAAAAGTCAGAGACAAAGAACCCGGATATGACATTTTACGATGTAAGCTTTAACTATATTAGGATATAAATATTATGTTTAGGATGTATAACGCTGTAACTATAAAAAATGTTATGATGTATAAAGCTTTACTTTTTAACTTAATAACGTAAATTAAAATGTATCGTGAACAGTCAGTGAATCAAGTCACCCAAACGTAGCAATCAACCTTGTGTATCCCCAAACATTACAAGACTCGAGTATTAGTATAAATGACCTTCTCTCAACTACACACTGACCTAGTTAGTTAAATCTCTCAGCTCAAACAGAACACGGGAGCTCAGGCTATCTTGTGGATCTAACAAAAAGTAGGCCTTTGACCTAAATCAGCACAGTCAATAATCTTAACCAGTGACTTGGGCAAGATTTTTTTAAAAGTATCTGCCCTTTTGGGGTTTAACGGGAGGGGGGGAGGGGGGGGGGGGGGTAACGTCACTCAATACACCCCTACCTACACGACTGATCCTTACCCTGCTAACCCTACTTCCTGATGATATTGTGAAATACAAACATGTCAGTCACGACTACTAGTGACGCTGTAACCATGGAAACTGAAAAATGTTTGTAGTAACAATGTCGTGTGTCAAAGACCTGCAAACTAAGCCTACATCATACTGTAAAACTAAATTAAGTAGACTACATGTCTACTGCTTTTTTTTTTTTTTTTGCTGTGTACAACATAAAATAAAATACATATGTTTTAGCTGTAATAATAGGGCCTATTGCATGTTTTAGCTGTAAAACAGAATATTAAATCCATATTTATCTGTGTAAAACAGAATCTTAAATACATGTACTGCATGTTTTTCCCTGTGTCAAACATTGTCCCCTCCCTGTCCACAGCTATACAAAGAAAAACAAATGGAACTGTGTGTGGTGGTCACAAACCTGAATCAGATGAGAGCTGAGTACTGCCATCCCAAGACCACACCGGACATGCCGATCAGAGAAGCTCTGCGCATGTCCATGGCTATACCAGGTCATTCATTGAAAACTTTTGATTTTGATCAATCCTAGATCAAGTAAAATAAGACATATTGATCCATTAATTCATCACCATTAATTCAGGCCTAATGTTGTTATTTTATTCATTGAATAATTTTATAAATAAATATTGATCTCCATCTTTAAATGGTTTGAAAGCTTGCGTCTAAATCTACATGCATAAATAATTTCCAATTACACCACTATAGATGCTATATTGTTTTAATAATAAATTGTGTTATGAAAAAATCAAAGTTGTCTAAGAAGATATTTTTTATTGAATTAAATACAATTTCTAAAACTGGCAGGCCAAAATGTTTTAAATGAAATTAAGTTTTAAATTAAACTTTACTTAGTTACAAGGCTCTAGTTTTCCAACATTATTTATGTTGACCAGTTTAAAAGTTTTTCAATCATATGTCAACCAGTTGAAAAGTTTTCAAACCAAATGTTGACCAGTTGAAAAGGTTTTTCAACCATCTGTTGACCAGTTGAAAAGTTTTCCAACAATATGTTGACCAGTTGAATAAAATGTTCCAGGAGTGTTCACAGCTCGAGTGTATGACAACCATGGACAGTTTGACACCTATGTAGACGGGGGAGTGTTATGTAACTACCCTATTCATTGTTACGATGGTAAGATTGGTTTTACACTTGTACGATGGTAAGATTGGTTTTACACTTGTACGATGGTAAGATTGGTTTTACACTTGTATGATGGTAAGATTGGTTTTACACTTGTACGATAGATTTGTTATAAGCTGGCCATCTCATTTTCTTCAGTGATCATTTGATTCGTCTAGTTCTATAACTGTTAGCTACTAGTATTTTTAAATATTTTTTATAGCTTAAAACTTGTTTACTATCAGTGATGGATGGCAGAATAGGCTAGCCAGGATGTAGCCAGAGTTCTCTAACTTGCAGGCATCTCGATAATTATATTCTCTTAGAGTGGCTTAGAGCAAAAATAAATAGTTCAATATAGTAGTTCCTGGAACTTATGAAAACTTTTAGACAAGGGACACAACCAAGTTAAATACATACTTTTCATTAACCTCACTATAGTTTCAGAGTTATCCTTCAAATCTAAATGACAAATACTGAAGAAAGAATAATGCGTCTTTACTAGTAAAGTTGTTTTATTAGGATCTTTAAAATTTGATGAATATTTACTTCATTGTTTAAATCTTCATTTCCCAGGCACAGATATTTATTATTACATTTTTTTACTGCAATTTGTGTTTTGTTTTTAGGCTGGTACCTGTCTATGGCTAAGGAAGATGCATTTCTACAACGCATGAAATCTCTAAAAGATCTACCATTTACCATGTCACAAAGATTTGAACCACCAAACAATAAAACTATTGGCTTTCTTTTAGTGAGTTTGGTTACATGTTGTCTGTAAATTAACTTTTATAAATTTTATTGGTTAAAAATATTGGGTCCTTTAACTTTCAAGATTCTTAACCCCTTAGGTTTGGCAAACCTAAATATAAAAAAAAATCATCTTGTTGTCATAACTTTTAAATCTTCATTAACTATTTATTTTCTAATTTTGCTTGATAAAAAAATTATTTCTTTTATTATGCTCCTGATCCCATTGTATTTGGGAGATTCATTCCAACACAAATGTTATTCCTGACATCATCATTTTAGTTAATATTTGTATTTCATTTTACTCCTACATCCCTGTCTTTATTTTAATATTTATTTTATTCCTCAAGCATTATTTTATAATATTGTTGTTTATTGTATTCCCATACATATTCTATAAGTAGATATTTATTGTATTCCCATATGTATTCTATTAGTAGATATTTATTGTATTCCCATATGTATTCTATTAGTAGATATTTATTGTATTCCCACATGTATTCTATTAGTAGATATTTATTGTATTCCCACATGTATTCTATTAGTAGATATTTATTGTATTCCCCCACATATTTTATTAGTAGATGTTTATTGTATTCCCATATGTATTCTATTAGTAGATATTTATTGTATTCCCCTATGTATTCTATTAGTAGATATTTATTGTATTCCCATATGTATTCTATTAGTAGATATTTATTGTATTCCCATATGTATTCTATTAGTAGATATTTATTGTATTCCCCTATGTATTCTATGAGTAGATGTTTATTGTATTCCCATATGTATTCTATTAGAAGATATTTATTGTATTCCCATATGTATTCTATTAGTAGATATTTATTGTATTCCCATATGTATTCTATTAGTAGATATTTATTGTATTCCCCTATGTATTCTATGAGTAGATGTTTATTGTATTCCCACACATATTCTATGAGTAGATATTTATTGTATTCCCACACATATTCTATTAGTATGACGACACAGAGATGGAGGTCTTAAGGTACAGTCTGGAGAAGCGTGTGGGATCCACAGACCCCTATAAAATTTCTAAAGATACCAAACTCTCTAAGTAAGTCTAAAGTGGGCTACATATTTTTTTACTTAACTCTCTAAGTAAGTCTGAAGTGGGCTACATATTTTTTTACCAAACTCTCTAAGTAAGTCTGAAGTGGGCTACATATTTATACCAAACTTTCTAAGTAAGTCTGAATTGGGCTACATATTTATACCAAACTCTCTAAGTAAGTCTGAAGTGGGCTACATATTTTTTTACCAAACTCTCTAAGTAAGTCTGAAGTGGGCTACATATTTATACCAAACTTTCTAAGTAAGTCTGAACTGGGCTACATATTAATACCAAACTCTCTAAGTAAGTTTGAAGTGGGCTACATATTTTGTTACTTAAATCTCTAAGTAAGTCTGAAGTGGGCTACATATTTATACCAAACTCTCTAAGTAAGTCTGAAGTGGGCTACATATTTATACCAAACTCTCTAAGTAAGTCTAAAGTGGGCTACATATTTATACCAAACTCTCTAAGTAAGTCTAAAGTGGGCTACATATTTTTTTACTTAACTCTCTAAGTCTGAAGTGGGCTGCATATTTATACCAAACTCTCTAAGTAAGTCTAAAGTGGGCTACATATTTATACCAAACTCTCTAAGTAAGTCTAAAGTGGGCTACATATTTATACCAAACTCTCTAAGTAAGTCTTCTCTAAGTAAGTCTAAAGTGGGCTACATATTTATACCAAACTCTCTAAGTAAGTCTAAAGTGGGCTACATATTTATACCAAACTCTCTAAGTAAGTCTAAAGTGGGCTACATATTTATACCAAACTCTCTAAGTAAGTCTAAAGTGGGTTATATATTAATACCAAACGCACTAACTCTTTTTTTTTATAGAAAAGTGTTACATTAACTAAACACATACTTGTCTAAATTTGTCCCACAGACTCAAAGATAAGAAAAAAACATTGTTAAAGAAAGCTGAGAGAGAACATAGCAGAATGGTGAAAGCTGTTGAGGCATTTATGAAGGTGAGTCATGTTGGTGATACACATTGCTCTAGTCTCATTGGTGATACAAATTGTTCTAGTCTCATTGGTGATACACTTTGTTCTAGTCTCATTGGTGATACACTTTGTTCTAGTCTCATTGGTGATACACTTTGTTCTAGTCTCATTGGTGATACACTTTGTTCTAGTCTCATTGGTGATACACTTTGTTCTAGTCTCATTGGTGATACACTTTGTTCTAGTCTCATTGGTGATACACTTTGTTCTAGTCTCATTGGTGATACACATTGTTCTAGTCACATTGGTGATACATGGGGTTTTAGACTTATTGGTGGTACATGGGGTTTTAGACTTATTGGTGATACATGGGGTTTTAGACTTATTGGTGGTACATGGGGTTTTAGACTTATTGGTGGTACATGGGGTTTTAGACTTATTGGTGATACATGGGGTTTTAGACTTATTGGTGGTACATGGGGTTTTAGATTTATTGGTGATACATGGGGTTTAGACTTATTGGTGATACATGGGGTTTTAGACTTTTTGGTGGTTTGTTGGTTGTTGTAGTCTCATAACTGATAGTCTCATATAATGGAATGACACAGTTTATCTGTACTTTTTCCCCTAGTTATATGGCTGAATGTTTATTCTATATTTGTTTCAATAGAAAACAATTGTGTATTTTAGCCAACAAGTTAAAAAACATTTCTCTGATTACACATCATTACAGGTACTCGACAAACATAATCTCCAGGAACAAGAATTTATTGATAAAACAGAACTAGAAAATGCTTTAAACGATGTAAGAGTTGTTTTAAAACTGTATTTTGTTTATTTAGACATAATTACACTGTTTTGAATGCATTGTAGCTCTTGCTATTTATTACGATAGATTTCTAACAATCAAATAAAAGTGGTATCATTTTAATCTAAGTAAAAATCATGGAAATAATCAAAAGAAAAACGTTTTTGAATATTATTTTTCTCTCCAGACTGAAAATTTCTCCGAAGAAAATGCCAAATTATTGTTTGGTGAGGACATTGATGTTAATACAGCCTTCAATATCTTGGACAAGGATGGCAATGGGAGGGTAGGGTCTAGTTTCATTAAATAATTACATGTAGTGGGAGGGGAGGGTCTAGTTTCATTACATGTATTGGGAGGGTAGGGTCTAGTTTCATTACACGTAATGGGAGGGTAGGGTCTAGTTTCATTACACGTAATGGGAGGGTAGGGTCTAGTTTCATTACACGTAATGGGAGGGTAGGGTCTAGTTTCGTTAGATGTAATGGGAGGGTAGGGTCTAGTTTCATTACATAATTACATGTAATGGGAGGGTAGGGACTTTTTTCATTACATGTAGTGGTAGGGTAGGGGTCTAGTTAAATTACATGTAAGGATAGGGTCTAGTTTCATTACATGTAAGGGTAGGGTCTAGTTTCATTACATGTAATGGGAGGGTAGGGTATAGTTTCATTACATGTAATGGCAGGGTAGGGTCTAGTTTCATTACATGTAATTGGAGGGTAGGGTCTAGTTTCATTAGATGTAATGGGAGGGTAGGGTCTAGTTTCATTAGATGTAATGGGAGGGTAGGGTCTAGTTTCATTACATGTAAGGGTAGGGTCTAGTTTCATTACATAATTACATGTAATGGGAGGGTAGGGACTTGTTTCATTACATGTAGTGGTAGGGTAGGGGTCTAGTTAAATTACATGTAAGGGTAGGATCTAGTTTCATTACATGTAAGGGTAGGGTCTAGTTTCATTAGATGTAATGGGAGGGTAGGGTCTAGTTTCATTACATGTAATGGTAGGGTCTAGTTTCATTAGATGTAATGGGAGGGTAGGGTCTTGTATCTTACATGCAATTGGAGGGCTGTTAGATTCTAGTTATTTAATTTTAAATTTCTGGGTATTTATTTCTACATGTTCCAAATTTTACATTTTTCATAGTCATGGTTAGATGGCACGCCAACTTAAAGCTTTTTGTTTTTTGTTTGAATTTTTAAAAATGCTTTGCTCAGCACAGACTTAAGCCTAAAGTTAATAAAAAGTTATTTATATAGTTGTATTTCATAATAAGTGGTCGAATACTAACATCTTTGTAGGGTGAGCTAAGTTAATTTTTAACACAGATTTATAAGACATTTGGAAGAAAAAATAAAATAAACATTCACAGATGTTAATGTGTAACAAGATTTTTCATTTTTTTAAACTGTCAAACACTATACTTAATTTGATGATAAAAAACTTTATTTTAGATAGCCTTTCTGGAACTTGTACAATTTATTGAAGAACACGGAATCAGAATGCAGGTACTACACATTTTATTAACAATTTATATGCTTTATATAGCCTATTATAGATATTAAATATATTCTAATGTAATTTTGATAACTGTTGTTAAAGGTAAACAGTAGCATTTTTTTTTATTTTATAAATTGCTTCAATTCATCTATTTGAAAACTAATGAATGCATCTAAACACCACCACAAATTAAAAACTTAACTCAACAGAAGAAATAAAAATTTGTTTTTGTTTGTTCATTTTTTCTTGCAGACGCGATTCCAAGGATTTGGCAGGAGGGATGTCAACACTTTTTTTGACTTCCTGTCGGCCTTGCAAAACACACTGCTGACCAACTTAAAATATGTCTTTGTTAATGTAAGTGGAATCATTTTTACTATTGTTTTTTTTTTTCTGATTTTTTACCGGCCTTGCAAAATACACTGCTGACCAACTTAAAATATGTCTTTGTTAATGTAAGTGGGAATCTATGTTGCAAGTTTTTTTTTAATTAGTTGAGTAGTAGATTAAGCTTAAGTTATTTGAGATCATTTGATTTTGCTGTATGAATCTTTAGTAATTAAACACATTTTTTAGTTTTATAATATTTCAAAACACGCTTTTAAAAACTACACTAAATAAGATAATTTATCGAGTAGGCTTAATAAATGTAATAAATTTCTAAATTTTTTTTATTCTTGTTGAAAAATATGTGATAACTAATAAAAAAATATTGTGGTTTTTGTGAAACTAGGAAAGAGATGAGTACAGGACAGTTGGAATCAACACAGGACATGTCGGGACATCAGACTATGTCCTGGAGGACGCTGACAGGGAATTTGTCGTTGAAGTAGGTCACTGGGCATTGGTGTAATTAGATGGGCTTTATGGCTAATTAAAGCTGCTGTCTTGAGTCATTATGTATATATTCTTTTTAGTTGAAAAATAATGGAAATTTAATTTTGTTTGATATTAGATGCCAAAAATATGTGAATTATTCGTGTGAAATATAAAAATGTAAAAGAAAACTTGTTGATCTAAATTTCAGCGTGGCTACAACGCAACAAAAGCTTTTCTCAAATATTACGTGGCAAACAACCCTGACTGTGAGAAACGAAGTGACCCAGTGAAGTCAGCTCACAAGTACTTGACAAATTCAAGCACCATCAGAGAAGTCGATGAGATAGAGACAATAATCCAGGAAAAGGAGCCCGCATCTGAAAAAACAGCACGTAAGTAGTTGCTTTGTTTCGTGTGTGTATTTTTTTTATTAAATGATTTGAATTAACCTGGCAAGGTTTTTATTATGAACTCAATTTTTTTGTTTGGTTTACACAAGCTTAGCTGTAGGTCTACACCAGTTACTAGTTTTAATTTTTTTATCACTTCATGCATGTAGTTGAGTAAATGTTTCTCACAAAGTGTAACTTTTACTGCTTTTTAATTTACAGCTTCAAATAATTTACATTTATTAATACATTTATTTTCCTTTTAATTTTATGAACTAACTACTCTGAAGTTTTAATAAAAATAGCCTTCACCTGTTAAAGATTATTTGTTTTATCATTTCAAAACACACATATGTAGTTTATTAAGAAAATCGTTTAAAGCAATTAATGTAACTTGGAATGTGTCGTATTTGCACAGAAAAATGTATTTCATATATAGGAACTATATTTGATGACTTGAACTGAAAATAAAGAAGCCTTGTCCTTAAAAAATGTTTTGAAAACAAATCTAATGCCATTAAAATAACATATCATAGTAAAATTTATTGTTTTCAGTTTTATTTCTTAAAGGTAAGAACAGTTATATCCTTGTCCATTCTGATATCTGACAGCACATTCTTTAAATGATATATTTTTATCTAAAATACGATAAGATTGTGTGCACAAGTAAAGTTCCTTCCCTTTTCCTAAATGTTTTTAGGTTGTTTTTTATTAAAACTTCAATTGAGAAAGTTATTAGCTTAGTGGTGACAAAACTTGATCTAACTACACCTGGCTTTTTAAAAAAAAACTCTAATTTTCAGATTAAACTTTCAGTGTGGTGAAGATATTTTAACTAATATTTTCTTTTACATTGAGGTGACAAAAGTATATCTTAACCTTCTTATATAACAAAATGTCTGTCTTGCTTGTCATTACTGTATGTTGTAAAGTTGTTTTTTTTAGAAATAAATTTACATTGATAATTTATTTAAAATTAATATTATGTTTACTTAATTTAAAATTTTAAAAATTTGTAATAGATTTATTTTGTTTTCTTTTATTATTAACAAATTCAGTACATTGATGAAAAATTTTTGTAATTTATAACTAATAAAAATATTAAATGATATCTTTCTGATAAGGGGACAAGCAACCTTTTATTTTAAAAATAAATTAAAAACTGTGTGACTGTTGGGCATAAATAACTTATTATTTTAAAATGTGGTGTACTCTTCTATTTATTCTAAAACCCTTACATTCAAAACCTACATACTTATATATCATACTTATATATCATAAATATTAATTTAATGATTTTAATGAATTTTACTGTTCTATGTACTAAAAACCAACTAATTAAATTAAAAATACTTATTGTAAGAATTGTATCTAACATTATCATATGATCTACAATTAAATTATTCACAAGAAATAAAATGTATCCCTTTCTCTGCTTTCGCTAGGTTTGAATTAATTAGAAAGTATTTTAATGAAAATAATTTTTAAAGCCTGTAGTTAAAGTAAATACGAAAGTAAGTAAAAAAAATATTTTGTGTTCTGCATTTTTCCTTTCTATACCCAAATGTGCATTTTTGTTATTATCTCCCTTAACCAAATTTATTGTTGCTCAAGCTAAGTTTTAAATATTTGCTGGATAAAATTTAAATTTCATTTTAAAAATGGCCTATCTTTTTACAAAGAAGCAGAAGAAATTCCCCTTTTAATACTTGTGTTGCTGTAACCATTATTTGCTTTAGTGTCTAAATATTGAATGTATTTGTATCACTAAATTCAAACCCTAACCTTATGCATGTAATCATCTTTAGGCTTTTACACTCATTAACTCAATTGTCTTAGAAAACTGCATTTTAAACAATGATAAAATCAAATAATTAATAGTACTAAGCAGCAGTTCATTAATAATACATGCTAATTCTATTTAATTTTAAAATAGTTTTTTTTCAATAATGAATACATAAATAGTTCATTAACTCTTTACTTTATCTAAAAGAAAATACATGCTAATAACAGTTAAAATATTTCAGCAGAAAATGTATATCTTTCAATTTTCTTTTCAGTGATAAAAAAGACAAATTAAACAGATCTACACAGAAAATGAGGAAAAAAGATTTAAATCGCATATACAAAGTTATATTTTACATAGAAAATTCATTTTGATACTTTGCTTTGAATGATAAGCCTGTAATTTATAAAATGCAGTTGCTGAATTTTGGGAACAAAGTCATTTAATGTTTTCAATCCCTGTCATCTGAAGATCACAGATTATATCACATATATCTATTAATGATTTCAATTTTTGAACGATTTTAAATATTGCTTTAAACGTTATAAATATCATAAAGCCCAAAGATATATTTTGCTAAATTATTTTTTTGACTTTATCAATACACTATTTTTGGGAAGACTTTTTACAATTTTATAAGCAGTTACATCCTATTGCTTTGTTTTTAAAATTAAATCTGTATAGCCTACATAGCACATCAACACACAGGATTCATTACACAAACTTTTTATATTGTATATTTAGTTGAAAAATCATGTTTTTAATTGATATGTTTTAAATATGACCATTACAATGTATTTCCTTGTTAATTATTGTGATATTCATGAAGACTAATAATCCTTGCAGTATTTTATTTATTGATTTTTTTTTTCGTGTACATAATTAAAGGTAAATATAGATAACAACCAATATGGGAGAACAGTTGTATGCAACTTTCAAGTAGTAATCAGATCAGTCAGGGTTGTCCCTATAGATGAGCTAGCCCTTCAAGAATGCCTCCTACATATAACATAGGCTAGTCTTTAGAGCCATTTCTTTGCCATTATCAACCGGTGTCATGTATCATCTCAGCAATTAAGCTCTAATGTTAAAACTTTCAGACTTTAATGGGGATTACATGTTTTCACTATAATTTATATGTATTAAGTTTTAACTTTGGCTTGTGTAGAGGATTGGGCATTTTTATACAGTATATTTTAAAATAAACTTCAATTTTCTTTTAGCATTTGCTTCTATAAGAAATGTTTTGTTTAAACAGATAAATCTTAAGGAAACTTATTCCAACTTTTTGCTAATAACTACATGTTTTTTCTAGCTTCAATATTCAACTTTTTGAATATATTTGTCCATTGTCAACATTTTTTTTATAACATGGTATTTCGCAATGCTCTATACGTTTAAGATTTGATCAAAACAAAATGTGTTTGTTTTCTGATATACATATTTTCATGTTCAAGAAAGCCGCAGTGTTCTCTTAATTAATTAATTTTTTTTACATGCAATTTTACTTCAAAATGAATGAAATAAAAACAAATTCCAAGTAAATTTAAAATTGAAACTAAATCAATAAATCTGTATACTATGATTGTTTTTATACTGTGCAATAGTTGAAAAATTTTCCAAACCCTAAATTTTTAGGGTTGAGAACTACAGCGTTAGTGTTAGTCCATTTGTTAAATAGTGTCAAAATTTCAATAATTAATCAGTTGTAATTATACCTAAGTATAGTAAATCATACATTCTGATTTTTACAATTTTTTTTATAAAAAACATAATGTAAAAACACTGTAAATTGTAAATAAATGCAAATAATTTTACTGAAACTAATGCTAATACACAGCAACTACAAGCTGTTATTTTATATGTACATAATTTTACTACTAATTTACACACTGAATATTATATTATCCTAAGCCGACCGTAGCTAGATCTAGAGTCTAGATCTAGATCTAATTGTTTATAATATATTTAAATATAGATCTATGTATTGATTGATCACGAAATGTATCATTGAATTTTATAAGTAAAAATCATTGTTGAACAGTAAATTTAAAAATAGAAATTTAGATTAAGGTCCACATTGTATAGCTCCAAGTAACACTAAGTTAATCTACAGGTACACATTGATCTAGATCTAGATCTAGATCTAGATCTACATTGGTTGCTAACTTGCATTTCATTATGTTTTGTTTAAAAGATCTATAGGCCCTATTAATTATATTTGTATTGCAAGGTGAATAGTGACTTATTGTCTTATAGTGATGCTACAAAGAGGGTCCTACATTTAGCATCTGTATCTTTCCCTTTAAATCTACATTAATAACCAGTTACAATGGATAAAATTTTGTGGTTACAGAGTATCTTTTCATGTAAGATTATAGACCTATGTGCGTATTCTTTACTTACAGTTTCTGTATGACACTGAAGATTGACCAGCAGTTCAAAACATGTTTAACCCAATAACTGCTGTATTTTCAAATCCATGAACTCTCATTTGAGATTAGTTAATTAAAAAATTAGATGTAAATTTATAAAAAAAAACTTGTTTTAATGTATGCGTCATTTAACTGATTTAACATTTGTGAAAATAAAAATAAATTGGATGAAATGTATTGTGTAGTTTGTCTATTGCATGGACAGAGGTAAAGTATTCAAGAAAATTTTGTTTTCTAGGTGGGCTACCATCATCTTTGAAATTCCAAGTGCCAACTAGATTTTCTGAGTGGGAAAACCTCTTCTTTGAACTTTGAAATTATATCGAGTCAAGATTATCTGAAATGACATGAAAATGTTAACACTATCATCAATAAAGCGTATAGGCTACTTAACTTCGTTTAGTTAATTACAGTGTTTCTTCCAGACTTTTTTCTCCGGGGGGGGGGGGGGGGCACTTGAAATCTTCGGGGGGGGGGCGGTAAACTTTCTTCGGGGGGGGGGGCGGACACTGTTAAAAGTATATATTTTCTATATAAATTATATAAATTTCATTTCGTTCGGGGGGGGGGCGGTAAAAAAATTCCGGGGGGCCTCGCCCCCCCCCCCCCCCGAAGAGATGCCTGGAAGAAACTCTGGTTAATTACATGCATTTATACGTAATTATATATAATTAAGTCAGACTACATCCCTGCCATCGCCCAGTAAATTATTTAAAAAGTTAATTTATTTAATTAAAGTAAACAAAGCAATCAAATTACTATTATTATATGTAAATAAAAGCCCATTTCTATTTTTTTAAACGAGATATATCCAAATACTATTCAATAATTTAATTTAATACTGTTAAATACTATAGATTAGTATAGATTATTTGTGTTAAGATTTTACATTTACATCAAATCCCCTAAGTGGGACTGAAAACTTGAAACAACAGAAAATATAGATCTAATCATTTTACTTCAATTTACTCTTCAATCAGTGCTAATGCAGGAATTAGGCAATACAAGCCAGCAAGCAATGTAGGTTGTAAGTGAGATGTCTCCAGTAAACATTAAACACTGCTTGAACTTTTGTTCTACAGTAGAAACATTGTTCGTAGCTGTAAACTTACACAATACCAGTCTGTAAACTTACACAATACCAGTCTGTAAACTTACACAATACCAGTCTGTAAACTTACACAATACCAGTCTGTAAACTTACACAATACCAGTCTGTAAACTTACACAATACCAGTCTGTAAACTTACACAATACCAGTCTGTAAACTTACACAATACCAGTCAATACAGCACGACAGACGATAGGGTTGTGTTATTGATTGGGTTGAGTTTTGTGGTTGGTTGGGGTTGTCATGTTGTATGGTTGTGTGGTTGATCTTATGTGGTTGGTTGGTTGTGGCTGTGTGTGGGTGATATTGTATGATTGCGTGTGGTTGATCTTGTTTTGTAGTGTGTGGTTGGTCTTGGTTGATCATTTTTATATTTGGTACAATTGTACACCATATTTAAATTAACAAATAGTGGGTACTTTATACATAACAAACACGAAATTTTCATAAAGGGGTCATCCGTAAATGACGTCACGCTTTTTTGACGATTTTTACCTCCCCCCTTCCCCTCCGTCACACATCGTCACAAAAATTGCAGTTGAATTTTTCTTAAAACATCGATATTTTCCCAAAATGTTGTCTGAACTCTGTCAAAATATAGTATTTTAATTAATTCCTATTGCAATTTATTAAAACAGTTTTCTAAAACGCGAAATAACGTCTAAAATTTGTTTTTTAAAATTGCTTTGTTATAATGCAAAAGTGTGAGGTCGCACCATCTGAACCCGCCCCCCCCCCCCTCCCCCTCGTCACACACCGTCACAAAATTACGGACCCTCCCCCCTGTGAGTGTGACGTCATTTATGGACGACCCCAAACTGATTCTAACTAAAGTTAGCAAATGAGAAATTCGGATCTTCTAACTATTAATTAGCAATTTTTAAAATTTCCATTTGACGTTGTGTAATGTCCAATTCGCTAGTTCTAGAAGTTTATAAAATACTAGCCGTCCCGGCCAGGCCCTGCTCTGGCTTCTGTGAAAAAACTTTCCGTTAAAGACCATTACCTGTGTGTTTAGTAATCATCATAAACCCGGCATTGCCCACCCAAACCACAACCAACCAAAACAACAAAACGCAAACATAACGCTAACACAATTAGAAATACAAACGAAAACAAAAACCTAACAACAAACCCAACCACAACCACAAAGACCAATACAAACACAAAGAAAAAACAAACGAAAACAAAAACCTAACAACAAACCCAACCACAAACACCAATACCAAAAAAAAAACAACGAAAAAGCAAACGAAAACAAACCAAATCCAAACGCAAAACCAACCAAAAACACAAATACAAACCCAAACAAAAAAAAACAAAAACGAAAAAAGAAAGAACAAAAACGAACCAAATCAAAACGCAACCACTAACGCAAACCCACCTAAACACAAAGAAAACACTAACGCGAACATAAACGCCCGGGGCAGAATCGCCTGTTTTAGCTTAATAAACGACTATAGTACCCCAACTTATTCATAGTCTTTTGCACTCACTTAAACGAACGCGCCTGTTTCAATTTAATGAACAATTATAATACTCCAAGCTTATCCGTAAAATACCTAAAACATTTGCACTTGATCAATCCCCGCTAATTATGTAATTATTTTTTTCCCAACACCAAAACAAAGTAATTAAAAAGTAAATGCTTTTCAACTAATGCAATGATTTCATAAAGGGAAGTAATTGTGTTTTGCCTAATTTATCAAAGGGAAGTAAGCGCTATAGGACTAAATAAAAACATAATTAGAATTTTTGTAAAAGATGATATTTTTTTTAAAACTTGTGTTTAATGAACATGCCGACAATTATTACTATAATTTGAAAAATGAAAATGATTTCCCAACACTTTTAATAGTAATTTTTTAACTCATAAATTTAGACAAACGCGCACGATAATTGATCTAACACTTAAATCCGTAGAAATGCCAACGACAAACATATGCGTTACAGAATTGAGCTTTATATATTAGATACGTCAACAACTTCGGAATAAATAAATACAGTCTCAAATGAACAAATAACATGGGTCCATTTCATTACGAGATCGAAGCCCTAGAACAGTCATCGATTGGCTAAATTGTTGTAGGCGGGGAAAGATCAAAGAAAATAAGAAAAAGAAACTATTGTGTAATGTGCTAAATGTTGCGGACTACACAGAAGTCCTGTGGGCTGTAGACTGTGAGACCTACAGTGAGACCTGCTGTGAGACCTACAGTGAGACCTACTGTGATACCTACAGACCAACACACTGTAAGACACAGAGTGAGACTTGCTGTGAGACCTACAGACCAACAGGCTGTAAGACGTACAGTGAGACCTGCTGTGAGAGCTACTGTGAGACCTACAGACCAACACACTGTAAGACCTACAGTTAGACCCGCTGTGAGAGCTGACATGCAGCTGTTAGCAGCCGTAGGAGCTGTTCTAGCCGTGAGACTTGTAGCTGGTCTGGCTGCCGTACAAGAAGGTGAGTTAGGTTTAATTCCAACAGGTGTGTCGATAGTCCAGCTACCACACAGCCGTCAACCTAGTTAGCTTCAACAGACCATAGACATGTCATCATTGAATAGACTAATGTCAGTTTTACTTAAAACGCAAACAACATTATGCCATTGAGCCGGCATGTAGAGTAAACATTAAAAGATTTCAGATTGCTTTGATCGTTTGTAGTGCAGTTCTGTGGCAATTTAATCTCTTTACAAAATGGCACTCTAATTCTATTACACTTTCAGCATAGCCCGGAGTACCATTTATATGGTTGTCAAATCTCTTTACAAAATGGGATTATATTTCTATTAAACTTTCAGCCTCTAAACTTACAAAAGCCTCAGTGTTTCTTCCAGACTTTTTTCTCCGGAGGGGGGGGGGGGGTGTGGGCACTTGATATTTTCGGGGGGGCGGTCAACATTTTCCGGGGGGGGGGAGGCGGACACTAGTAAAAGTATATATTTGCTATATAAATTCCATTTCGTTCGCGGGGAGCGGTATACTTTCTTCGGGGGGCCGGAGCCCCCCCCCCCACCGAACAGAAGCAGATGCCTGGAAGAAAGTCTGTACACAGTGTTTCTTCCAGACTTTTTTCTCCGGGGGGGGGGGAATCACTTGAAATGAAATTTTCGGGGGGGGGGGGGGGCGGACACTAGTAAAAGTGTATGTTTACTATATAAAATCCATCTCGTTCGGGAGAGGGGGGGGGGGCGGTAGACTTTTTTCGGGAAGGCAAGTGGGTGGAGCCCCCCCCCCCCCCCCCCGAAGCGATGCCTGGAAGAAACTCTGTCTGTACAGCCTATGACTGCCGAATCTCTTTAAACAATGGGATTTTTTTTCCTCACTACATCTCAGCTGAGTGTGGCATCTTCAACAGTTTGAGAATAGTTGGCGGTTCCAGCAGCTCAGAGTGTGAGTACCCCTGGATGGTGCTGCTGTACGACAGGTCTCACAACACCACATGTGGTGGCGCCATCATCGACCACATCCACATCCTCACAGCAGCACACTGTGTGGCCTTCAGTGATGACAGGTAGGGCTCCACGTAAAGTGGCATTTGATGACAGGTAGGGCTCCAGGTAAAGTGGCATTCAGGGTAGGGCTCCAGGTAAAGTGGCATTCAGGGTAGGGCTCCAGGTAAAGTGGCATTCAGGGTAGGGCTCCAGGTAAAGTGGCATTTGATGACAGGTAGGGCTCCAGGTAAAGTGGCATTTGATGACACGTAGGGCGCCAGGTAAAGTGGCATTCAGGGTAGGGCTCCAGGTAAAGTGGCATTCAGGGTAGGGCTCCAGGTAAAGTGGCATTTGATGACAGGTAGGGCTCCAGGTAAAGTGGAATTTGATGACAGGTAGGGCTCCAGGTAAAGTGGCATTCAGGGTAGGGCTCCAGGTAAAGTGGCATTCAGGGTAGGGCTCCAGGTAAAGTGGCATTTGATGACAGGTAGGGCTCCAGGTAAAGTGGCCTACAGGGTAGGGCTCCAGGTAAAGTGGCATTTGATGACAGGTAGGGCTCCAGGTAAAGTGGCATTTGATGACACGTAGGGCGCCAGGTAAAGTGGCATTTGATGACAGGTAGGGCTCCAGGTAAAGTGGCATTCAGTGATGACAGGTAGGGCTCAGGTAAAGTGGCATTCAGTGATGACAGGTAGGGCTCAGGTAAAGTGGCATTTGATGACAGGTAGGGCGCCAGGTAAAGTGGCATTCGGTGATGACAGGTAGGGCGCCAGGTAAAGTGGCATTTGATGACAGGTAGGGCTCCAGGTAAAGTGGCATTCAGGGTAGGGCTCCAGGTAAAGTGGCATTCAGGGTAGGGCTCCAGGTAAAGTGGCATTTGATGACAGGTAGGGCTCCAGGTAAAGTGGCCTACAGGGTAGGGCTCCAGGTAAAGTGGCATTTGATGACACGTAGGGCGCCAGGTAAAGTGGCATTTGATGACAGGTAGGGCTCCAGGTAAAGTGGCATTCAGTGATGACAGGTAGGGCTCAGGTAAAGTGGCATTCAGTGATGACAGGTAGGGCTCAGGTAAAGTGGCATTCAGTGATGACAGGTAGGGCTCAGGTAAAGTGGCATTTGATGACAGGTAGGGCGCCAGGTAAAGTGGCATTCGGTGATGACAGGTAGGGCGCCAGGTAAAGTGGCATTCGGTGATGACAGGTAGGGCGCCAGGTAAAGTGGTATTCGGTGATGACAGGTAGGGCGCCAGGTAAAGTGGTATTCGGTGATGACAGGTAGGGCACCAGGGCATTAAGGCTACCTTGGGCATTATGTCTAGGTGGTAGCCAATGTAGCTCTACATCTACAGGCTACCTGTTGCACTACGTCTAGTGTATAGTCAATGTAGCAGTACATCTACAGGCTACCTGTGGCAGGATGTATAAAGGCTACCTGTGGTAGTATGTCTTCAGGCTACCTGTAGCAAATGTGCGTCTATTGTGGTAGGATGTAATGTAGTGGCCACAAGCTCTAGATTTGTTTCCTTACCTGCAGGACTCATCAGCTGACCTTGACCTCACCATCTGACCTGACCGTCCACAGCGGAACTTCCGTCATGAACATGGACACTGGTCTTGCTGGCTCTGTCACGCGATTGGTCGCCTCAGTGGTCACTCACCACGGCTACAGCCCCATGGCTATAGGTAATGTAGGTCAGCACGGCTATAGGTAATGTATGTCAATACGGCTATTGGTAATGTAGGTCAACATGGCTATTGGTAATGTTAGTAATAAAAATTGTATTTCGTTTACCACAGGGTCTAATAAAAACTTAAAATAAAAAATATCCAGTAGATAAAACTAATCCCCCAACAAATTAATTTGTCCACATTTTTTCCTTCAGATAATGACATCGCCCTGGTGACCTTGACACGCCCCATTGAATTTGATTGGTGCCACAAACCCGTGTGTCTTGTGGACGGTTCTAAAACTCCACAGATGGCATCAGACTGCCGGGTTGTTGGCTGGGGGCGAAACTCCAGTACGTCATCGGCTCCAGCGGCTAACAGTTTAGCCTTAGCTTTAACCAGAACTTAACCTTCTTACATTACCACAATACAGGCTTCACTTTAACCCTATTATAACCACATCACATTACCACAGTATAACCTTCACTTTAACCCTATTACAATCACATCACATTACCTTTTTCTCATCACATCACGTGTGCTAAAACGGAGTTCTTTCTGTCTGTTCGTTTGTCTGTCTCCTGTGTTCTGTGTGTGGTGTCTTGTCTGTGGTGTCGTGTCTGTGGTGTCTTGTCTGTGGTGTCTTGTCTGTGGTGTCTTGTCTGTGGTGTCTTGTCTTTGGTTTCTGTCTGTGGTGTCTTGTCTGTGGTGTCTTGTCTGTGGTGTCTTGTCTGTGGTGTCTTGTCTGTGGTGTCTTGTCTGCGGTGTCTTGTCTGTGGTGTCTTGTCTATGGTGTCTTGTCTGTGGTGTCTTGTCTGTGGTGTCTTGTCTGTGGTGTCTTGTCTGCGGTGTCTTGTCTGTGGTGTCTTGTCTATGGTGTCTTGTCTGTGGTGTCTTGTCTATGGTGTCTTGTCTGTGGTGTTTTGTCTGTGGTGTCTGCCCCCCCCCCCCCACAGGTTCAGGACCGAGACAAAACATCCTGAAGTGGGTTGACATCCCTGTCGTGTCTGATGATGTCTGTAAAGCCGCTCAGGGAAAATTTTACACCGGAAACAACTTTTGCGCAGGCGCAGAGGGTATTGATTCTTGTGGGGTGACTTTATTTTTCACATATTTTGTTCATTCAATTTTGTGTATATAATCCTTGGTATAATATTCAATTTTAATTTATTCAATTTTAATTTATTCAATTTTAATTTATTCAATTTTAATTTATTCTGTTTTAATTTATTCAATAACGGTAACAACAGTAGGCACGATGGCCTTTTTTCACATTGGCCGTTTATAAAAATATAATAACAGTATTTTAATTTAAAAAAACAATGGGGTAGTAAATACATAGCAGTAACATAGCATCCAAAGATTTGGAATGAAGAAATAAGATTACATTGGTATAATACCTATTGCGATAGAATGAGAATATAATAGATGAATGAGAAATGTTGTATTGAGTCAGTTAAGGAGGTCATTAAATAATTTTTGTTTTACTTTAGTTTCGAAAATATTTTCAGATATAGATAGTTTTATTTTATTATGAAGAACCAGATTAGGCGAAGCTATATTTCCAAAGTTGTTTACAGGATCGGTAAATTAAGACGACGATAATTTATGTTTAAAGAAAATAGGTCTGATAATTTAGAGGGGTGCTGTTTCGGGAAATATTTTATATAAAAAAAATTTGCTTTAGTATATTTTATTTTTTTATTTAATGGAAGTATATTAGCTGAAATAAAAGAATCCAGACTACTAGACAAGCCAGTAACCAGTTTGATGGCTCTTTTTTGTAATGACTGTAGAGGACGCTGTTTTGTTACAAAGCCGCCGCTCCACACTAGAGAAGCATAATCCAACCTAGATTGCATACAAGCTTCATAAAAAACCAAACAGCTTCTATAGTAAACAAAAACTGTTATTTTTCTAGTTGAAAAGTTGTCTTAATAGGGACATTTTTAGAAGATGAATGTGATCGGACGAGGTGAGGTTGTGATCTATAATCAAACCTAGACATTTATAGCTGTTAACTTGTTATATGTTGATAGAATGAGATAACGTGTGAGGTAAAATAATGAGATAATATTTGATATGCGATAATGGGATAATATGTGAGATGAGATAGTGAGATAACATGATGTGAGATAATGAGATAACATGATGTGAGATAATGAGATAACATCTCAGTTGGTCCTGTCCCCAGGGTGACTCGGGTGGACCGCTGGTGTGCCAGGAGTTTGATGGACGTTTCTACTCGTACGGTATCGTGTCCAGTGGGCCTGTAGAGTGCGGCACGTCGTATGGTCTCTACACCAAAGTCTCGCGATACATTGCGTGGATTGAGGAAAACCAGCGAAAGTGGACTAACGGCCAACCATAGATCTTTCATTCTTCAAGATATACATTGAGTTGATTGAAGAAAACCAGCAAATGTTGTACAACGACCAATCATAGATCTTGCATTGTTTGTGAGAATTATCAATATCATCTAAAGACTATACTTGAAAATACAACTATTTCACATTTATTATTTTCAAGAAATATTTTATTTTAAGAAAGTTGTCATCAGAAATGTAAGCAGCCAATAATAACACAGCAAAACATGCGTGTGTTATTCTGCCTTGACCCTTCCAACACGGTGCACATTTTTGTACACACCATTGTACACACTTGTGTACTCACGACATTTGACTAAATTTTATTACAAGTAAAAATAGGAAGAGTAAGATTGTGTTGAAAGATGTGTGTTTCTGTCCGTCGTTCCAAAATTGAGAGCTTGAAGTTTCGTGTTTTTACTACTTGACATTTTCACCACACAAACTGGAGTTCAGGCTAACGGGGTCGAAGTGAGGGGATGTCGGCTAATGAAGTCCAGCTAATTATGTGGCCCTCATTAGCTGCAGGACCTAAGGCGAACTCTCGGCTTTGAAACCGTTACACTAGGCTAAAGGAAAGGTAAAACACCCAGTTCTACCAAACTATGACGCCCTCACTTCGTCCCCCCACCCTCCCCCATACACACACGACGTACACCCAGTCTGTCATGGGGATGATGTGGGGGAGGGGGAGGTCACTGACCGCTAATGCACTACATCTTCAACAGTGTGTATGTGTGATACGTCTAAAAGTTTGTAGGGACAGACTCGAGGTACACTCTAGGCAAACTAGAAGAATCCACAGCACCGCCCACAAGGCAAACATTATGCTCTACGTGTCTTTTCTCCTGGAACTTTCTAGATCCCAATTATGTTAATATCTGAGCAGTAGATCTTGGCGTATAATGTTTGCTTTCTCGCAGGTGACCAAAAAAAGCGGTTGAATAATTCTCGATCTCAAATTACCCCCCACCCCACCCCTGTGTTAAGTAGGATTTAACGCGATGTACTACTGGTAGCAATAGGTAAACGAACATGATAAAACCAGTTAGAAGTTAACTACTGCTTAAATCCTTGCCAACCCTTTGGTAAAATGTAAGCCAACCATTTATTGTTTAGACTAACACTTTTCAATGGTTAGAAGTTAGCTACTGCTTAAATCCTTGCCAACCCTTTGATAAAATGTAAGCCAACCATTTATTTTTTAGACCAACACTTTTTTTCAGAAAATACCCGAATACATTTTTTAAACGATGTTTACAAAACCAGATACCTAAAGGTGATATATCTGAATAGGTTCACACACTATCTTCGTTTGCTTTATCTTCCTCCCTAACTCTCCCTCCATTTCTCTCCCACTGCCTCTCTCTCTCCCTCCCTCGCTCTCCCTCTCTTTCTCTAACTGAACACACCGATCTGTTCAGGAGACACACAAACACACACACACAAAAGTATTTGAATGTGTGATTTTAAAAGACCAACAGTTTAATTCACTTTAGTATTTGAATGTGTGATTTAGAAAGACCAACAGTTTAATACTTCTCACTTAAATATTTGAATGTGTGATTTAGAAAGACCAACAGTTTAATACTTCTCACTTTAGTATTTGAATGTGTGATTTAGAAAGACCAACAGTTTAATACTTCTCACTTTAGTATTTGAATGTGTGATTTAGAAAGACCAACAGTTTAAATATTTCTCACTTAAATATTTGAATGTGTGATTTAGAAAGACCATCAGTTTAATACTTTTCATTTTATTCGATGTTGATAAAAGAACATGTACAAAATTAATAAAAATAAATCATGAAGATTTCAATGGCAATAAACTTTCATCATTTTTCTGTCAGCCTAAAAAAATATCCAAAAAGTTTTTTTGTGCTTCCTGTGGAAAACAAAAAATAGTCTAGCAAAACAAAAATACATTACAGATATAAAGAACTGGTGTGGTACACACGCAACATTTGATGTAGGCTATAAACCAAAAAGCCTTTTATTTTTTAAGATAACAATCATCACTAATTTTTCTCTTAGTATTGCTTTATTTATGAGTTAATTTGTCCGAGTGATTTGTGGCATAGAGTTATACTCGAAGAGAAGGGATTTATAGAACTGGATTTTAGTGGACTTAGAGGGTGGGCGTTCACACGTCACACTAAACATCAAAATATTTGACATGAGGTAGGCGAGTAACCAAAGAAACTTCCGGAAGTGATGAAGTAACTAAAGAAACTTCCTTAAGTAAGGAAGTAACTAAAGAAACTTCCTGAAGTAAGGAAGTAACTAAAGAAACTTCCTGAAGTAAGGAAGTAACTAAAGAAACTTCCTGAAGTAAGGAAGTAACTAAAGAAACTTCCTGAAGTAAGGAAGTAACTAAAGAAACTTCCTGAAGTAAGTGAGTGATTAAAGAAACAAAAATTGTAGCCGTTAAATTGAAGTGGCCTTAAGATTTTATTAAATGTTGCCTACACCACAGAAACTCTACTTTTAAATTCCTGATAAAATGGGAAAAAGATCCATAAAATAAAACAAGCGCTTATTTAATCGTGGTGACACCGTGAGACATCCAATGTAACAATGTAATTTCGAGAATACATTGATACCATCAAGTGTTTACCACTAGACTAAGTCGTTGATACACAAATTAATTAAATTGTGTAACAGCTTTACCTACTACCGGCCAGATGCACCGAATGACCCCAGACTACTTCTGTTGACTCCTCCTGTAGCTCACGAGCTCTGGTTCAGCTTCATACAGGACACCGGTCACGAATTTGGCTGAGGCGCACAAGATGTTGATGTACTCATCTAGGACAAACTTGAACTGCTCACCTTGATCCAGTTCAGCGAACCATTGCACCTGGGAATTGGTAGGTTCGGTGAAAAGATCACGTCACATAGATATAAAGGTGTTTTGTCTGAGGTAGTTAGTTCTTGGGCTATTCTGTCCTGGGATATCTAGTCTTGTGAATTTGTGTCCTATACATAAGCCGCCAGGTAGTGTGTCATTACTTTCTTCCGTCATTGGTATTGCAACTTTGTCTTTGTTTTTAAAGCTGGAGAAGGTGGTAATGTATGGGGCGCAGGGGGGGGGGGGGGGACGACACTCCCAACGCGCGGAGAGCTGGGGGAAACACGTCGGTGGCGGTTCACCAAACACCACGGGGGTACCTGGGCTGACATCCGTGAAGGCATTGCACCATTACCATTACCGTAGCGGAGTATAAGCTTATATATATATATATATATATATATATATATATATATATATATATATATATATATATATATATATATATATATATATATATATATATATATATATATATACACGTATCTTGTCATAAGTAGCAATTGAGGAACACCATCTCACCTCCTCACGCAAGGTCTCTGTGCGGTTGATCGGGAAACTAGAGTTCAGGGTCGTGAAGATATCTGAGTAGTTTCCCATGAAGTTCAGATACTCAAATGAGGCGTACTGGGTCGTGTCTTCTTTGACGTCCGGGTTGCCGTAGCTTCCAACATACACCCTGTCAAACATTCGTTCTATGTCAGGAAATGCTCTTTAAAATAGTTACAAATTTTCTTTCTGTTTCTGAAAAATCTCTTCCAGAAAACAGGCATTTAATATCGGAAATAAATTTTTTAGATGTTTAAAATCTTTTGTCTATGTCTGAAAAATCGTTTCAAGAACTAGAAAATGATTCGTTCTGTGTCTTGAGAAATCTCTTGGTCTTCAAAAGAAATTCGCAGGCTGCTGAGAATATGGTCAACTTTATGAGTGTAGATTGCGATAAAGACAAAAGGTGAAAGTTCAAAGAGTGAGTGATTGGTCAAAGATCCTATTTATTAATTCTGGCAATTTATCGTGTAAAATTAATAATAATAATAGGATGCTGCTATAAATCAAGAGCTGGCTTATGTGTTAACTGTTAAATGGCTTGTGATAGAGCTAGAATAAAAGATATTTTGAGTTGCTACAATTTGGGTCTAAGATTTACAGCAGCTTTTTTAGAGCTTAAATTAAATGTATAATATTCGCTGTTTCAATATTGAATCAGTTGTCTGTGTTGACAAAATGTATTTGCTTAAGTTATTTGAATGTGGCTGGGGTAGGATAACGAGAGAGAACCATGGACTGGATAGGACATCTTTTAGTGTCTCTGGCTCAAACGCTGGAAAGTTACGATTAACATTTGTTACAGATATTTCAATTTCTAGTCCAAAGGTTTTAGTTTCAGGATCATACTTCAATTTCAGATCATTTTTAAATATTCAAGTCAACATCTTTCCTAATTACATCCAAAATGTTATCTTAGTTTTAGTGTTAGACCTACTATTTAGTTTTAGAGCCACCATTTAAACCTTTGACCCATCATTGAAACCTTTGACCCATCATTGAAACCTTTGACCCATCATTGAAACCTTTGACCCATCATTTAAACCTTTGACCCATCATTTAAACCTTTGACTCACCATTTAACCTTTGACCCACCTTTTGAGCATGTCCATTGAGAAGTCAAACTTGCAGAAGTCCAGAAAGTGACCGAGGATGGAGTGCATGAACTCGAGCTTCTGATCCAAGAACTCGTGAGTGACGGTGACCAGTTTGTCTTTCAACATCTTCATCATGTTGGCCCGCTCCAGCTGTTTGTACATGGCCATCTTGGCCTCCCTCTCTTCAGTTTCCCTCATCTCCTGCACGGAGAGACAAACATTAGGAGCGGGAAATAAAGGGTTAATGGTCTACATTGTGGTTTAGGGCATCTAATATGGGAAATCGCCTTGTAATGAGGTTAGGGGCATAAAATTCGGGCTAATGATTTAAATTGTAGTTAGGACTAATGATTTAAATTGTAGTAAGGACTAATGATTTAAACTGTATTTAGGAACATACAATTAGGGCTAATGATTTAAATTGTAGTTAGGGGCAAAAACTTAGAGCTAAATATTATACATGTTTTAACATACGCCATCTCTTGTATGTTCGGTTTTACAAGCTAACCGGATTTATTAAACAGTCCATTTAATTCATTTTTCTATTTAATCAGCAATCAAGATTTCTGAGTTTCACCATCCAGATATTATTGCCATGTCCGACGTTGAGTTGTTCAATGGCTCCACCTACCTTGGCCTTGATGTATTCTTTGAATTTGAGCACGTTCCTCCTCATGTAGTCTCTGAATTCCTCCTTGGTGTCGTCCTGCTTGTCTTGTTCTTGGAGCCAGGATTTGAACTGTTCAAAGGCGGCTGTATGCTGAGACACAGACCACACCACCACAGTTAGCAAACACAATTTTATAGTGTTAAATAAACACTTAACATCATATTTCAGAAATCTTTAATTTTAGAAATCATAAATGAAAATATCTGAAGTTTAATGAAAAAAATTTCCTATATTAAATTTGTTTTCTTGCGAAATTCAGTCGCATTAAAAAAATAGTTCAGAACAATTTAAAATTGGATTCCATCCCTAAAGTAATGTTAAAGCATAGAATCTCTATTGAATAACAAAGTTAGAAGTTTTTGACTCACATCACTGTCATCAGAGTCGTCTTCTTGCTTGCCCCAACCTTTGACCTCCTGCTCACCCCAACCTTGACCCTGCTTCTCACCCCAGCTGTTGTCCTGCTCGCCTGCAAACAAGTCACCCCCATCTTTTGCATCCTCCTCCCCCCACCCCTTACTCTTAAGTTTCTCCTCCATCTCAGACCACATCTTGGCGAAATCCCCGGCCAAAACCATCGGGATCACCAGCAAGACAAACAGCAGCTTCATGGTGAGTACACTGAAACACACACGTCAATATAATCACAACCTTATGGTGAGTACACTGAAACACACACGTCAATATAATCACAACCTTATGGTGAGTACACTGAAACACACACGTCAATATAATCACAACCTTCATGGTGAGTACACTGAAACACACACGTCAATATAATCACAACCTTCATGGTGATCAAACACACACGTCAATATAATCACAACCTTCATGGTGAGTACACTGAAACACACACGTCAATATAATCACAACCTTCATGGTGAGTACACTGAAACACACGCGTCAATATAATCACAACCTTCATGGTGAGTACACTTAAACACACGCGTCAATATAATCACAACCTTCATGGTGAGAACAAACACACACGTGTCAATAAAATCACAACCTCTAGGAGGGTAAAGCCTATCACATTTTAAACTCGACATGTTATATTACAAGAACAAGCAAAAAATTAAAAGTTTGAAATAGCAAATTTAAAAAATTCATGAAATTTTTGATATGTTCTAACTATTTCTCGTTAACAATGTATATGTATTTCATAATGGTAAAAATGTTTATTTCCCCCCAATCCATTAAGTACCACAACGAATGTATTCTCTGGTGCAGTGACTGTAGAATAAAAAAAATGAAGACCTACCACTTGTTTAGCTTGCAGGACAGAAGCTCAGATGTACCCAGGTAAATCAATCTGAAGATGACGGTAGAGAACGCCTTAGACTTATATCTGAGTGTGTTTGCTGTTCGTTCCTGCTCTTGTTAAATATTAGAAATCTCGACGATGGTGTTGACAGAAGGAACTAATGGGCAAGGGGCATAACTCACTTTATGGGAGCGGGTGGATCACCCAGTAGGCCGAGAGTTTGTGGGGAGGGGGTGGGGCACAACGCCATTAAGGGTCGAAGAATATCCCCTGCATACTTTGGGTACGTTCTAACAGAATTGTGTCAGCACGAGGGCGAAGGGGGGGGGGGGGGGGGGTAGACCGGCACATTCTCACGCTGTACGTTGCGAAACATCATGACACCGCACTTCAAATTATTTTATTTGTTTAACATTGGACCCACTTTGGGTTTTTTTCTATTCAGTTTGACCTAATGTCTGTAAGTTGAATTAAATGTATTAGTCATATCTAGGTCAATAAATGTAACAATCGGACGGATCGTCGTTTTGTGCAAGTGCACGTGTGATGTCTATTTATAGAAGGCAGGTCAGGTGGTGAACTGGTTTCAAATTGTTAAACTCAAATTACAGAGTCACGCAGGAGCTTAAGTTCTTAAAGGTGGGGTGGGGTGGGGTGGGGGTGGGGCGAGGTGTGGGTATGAGTGGGTGTATTGGTATAATACCACTCCCATTCGTGTGTGGACTTAGAAATTTAAAACGACACGATTTAGTGCTAGGGTACCGGAGTGCAGAAAGAAAAAATGTTTTTCATCTAACTCCACCACGCCCGACCCCCACCACATACCCCCCACTAGCACCCCCGTGTATGTCCCTTAGTCTAAATGTCGTGTCTTATGTCCTTGAGCTAAACGTTTTCGAGGTGACCTTAATCCAAAATTGACTCCGCCACATACATGTTGATCAGACCCATGAGACGAACCATCCACTGTATGTTGATCAGACTCATGAGACGAAACATCCACTGTATGTTGATCAGACTCATGAGACGAAACATCCACTGTATGTTGATCAGACTCATGAGACGAAACATCCACTGTATGTTGATCAGACTCATGAGACGAAACATCCACTGTATGTTGATCAGACCCATGAGACGAAACATCCACTGTATGTTGATCAGACCCATGAGACGAACCATCCACTGTATGTTGATCAGACCCATGAGACGAACCATCCACTGTATGTTGATCAGACCCATGAGACGAAACATCCACTGTATGTTGATCAGACCCATGAGACGAAACATCCACTGTATGTTGATCAGACCCATGAGACGAACCATCCACTGTATGTTGATCAGACCCATGAGAAGAAACATCCACTGTATGTTGATCAGACCCATGAGACGAAACATCCACTGTATGTTGATCAGACTCATGAGACGAAACATCCACTGTATGTTGATCAGACTCATGAGACGAAACATCCACTGTATGTTGATCAGACCCATGAGACGAAACATCCACTGTATGTTGATCAGACCCATGAGACGAACCATCCACTGTATGTTGATCAGACTCATGAGACGAAACATCCACTGTATGTTGATCAGACTCATGAGACGAAACATCCACTGTATGTTGATCAGACCCATGAGACGAAACATCCACTGTATGTTGATCAGACCCATGAGACGAACCATCCACTGTATGTTGATCAGACTCATGAGACGAAACATCCACTGTATGTTGATCAGACTCATGAGACGAAACATCCACTGTATGTTGATCAGACCCATGAGACGAACCATCCACTGTATGTTGATCAGACCCATGAGACGAAACATCCACTGTATGTTGATCAGACCCATGAGACGAACCATCCACTGTATGTTGATAAGACCCATGAGACGAACCATCCACTGTATGTTGATCAGACCCATGAGACGAACCATCCACTGTATGTTGATCAGACCCATGAGAAGAAACATCCACTGTATGTTGATCAGACCCATGAGACGAACCATCCACTGTACATGTAACTGTCCCCAATGTAATGTGTGAGGCTACTCTGCTGTATTATTTTACATTTTACATATCCCTCACTGACTCTGTCACGTTCATCAAGACCATGTTAACCCCCCCCCCCCCTGCTACATTGTAGTTTGTTCTTGGATGGACAAAGTTTATGACAGCAAATCAAGAAAGAAAAGCAGGCTGAAATCTTTGTCAATCGGACAAGCATAATAAGTTGATATGTAATACGTTATTGGGTGGGAGGAAAGTAATTATAATATAAGCGGCTAGGTAATGTGTCAGTCCATCATCGCTATAGATTTTGGAACCATAAAATAAACACTTCACATGTCGTGCTTTTTACTTGCACCGCAGTGTCTTATTATAAGTAATAGAGTAAGGTTTATTTATATAACGACTTAAATGTATTTTATAGTTGCCACTGTTTTTACTCTTTCGCATGACGTAAAGAAAATATTAAATACATGCACATTGCTAAAACATATTAAAAGGATCAATGTCAAAAATCATTTTCTTTTAGATTTCTAGAATAATAAATACATAAAAACGTTCATAAATACTTTACTTTTTTAATTACAAGCTTTTATAAATGCACTAAAAAGAAGAAAATAATACAATTTTTTATTAAATATAAAAAAAAAATTAAAAATATAATAAATCTGCGGTTACTTTAAATATAAAAAATTACTTTCTTTAAATATATTAATGCACTACTATTTATATCACTATAAATAAAAGCGTGGGCAGTTATAATGTTTTAATGGGCGTATTCAGTTGCAAATCAATATAAATACCATTTGTGTATGTGGCATTTTATGTTTTTATATGAAGCATGCATAAATCTACACGAGTGTATCATCGCCAATAGATGTAACTGTCATTTTGGGTATCTTTTGGGGGGCTGAGGATTGGGGAGGATGGTCCCCAATACATTTTAATAATAATAGGGTCGACAAAAACTAATTAATTAAACTGTTTTGTAATTTTCCAAGGGAGGTAATTTAAAAATAAATTCAACTCAAGCTAATAAACAAAATGTGAATGCAAAATTTACGGACATCCATTGTTTTTTTGACATTGTGTTAGTGTTTTCTTTTGTGTTTGTGTTGTGTTTATCTTGTCTTTTGTGTTTGTGCTTTTATTTGTGTTTGTGTTTTTATTTGTGTTTGTGTTGTGTTTGTGTGTGTAGTGTTTGTATTATATTTGTTTTTGTATTGTGTTTGTGTTTTTATTTATGTTTGTGTTGTGTTTGTTTGTGTTGTGTTTGTGTTGTGTTTGTGTTGTGTTTGTATTGTGTTTGTGTTGTGTTTGTGTTGTGTTTGTGTTGTGTTTGTGTTTGTGTTGTGTTTGTGTTGTGTTTGTGTTTGTGTTGTGTTTGTGTTGTGTTTGTGTTGTGTTTGTGTTGTGTTTGTGTTGTGTTTGTGTTGTGTTTGTGTTGTGTTTGTGTTGTGTTTGTGTTGTGTTTGTGTTGTGTTTGTGTTGTGTTTGTGTTGTGTTTGTGTTGTGTTGTGTTTGTGTTGTGTTTGTGTTGTGTTTGTGTTGTGTTTGTGTTGTGTTTGTGTTGTGTTTGTGTTGTGTTTGTGTTGTGTTTGTGTTGTGTTTGTGTTGTGTTTGTGTTGTGTTTGTGTTGTGTTTGTGTTGTCTTTGTGTTGTCTTTGTGTTGTCTTTGTGTTGTCTTTGTGTTGTGTTGTCTTTGTGTTGTCTTTGTGTTGTGTTTGTGTTGTGTTTGTGTTGTGTTTGTGTTGAGTTGTCTTTGTGTTGTGTTTGTGTACGTTAGTGCTTGGGTTGTGTTTGTGTTGTGTTGTGTTGTGTTGTGTTGTGTTTGTGATGTGTTGTGTTTGTGTTGTGTTTGTGTTGTGTTTGTGTTGTGTTTGTGTTGTGTTTGTGTTGTGTTTGTGTTGTGTTTGTGTTGTGTTTGTGTTGTGTTTGTGTTGTGTTTGTGTTTGTGTTGTGTTTGTGTGTGTTTGTGTTTGTGTTGTGTTTGTGTTGTGTTTGTGTTGTGTTTGTGTTGTGTTTGTGTTGTGTTTGTGTTGTGTTTGTGTTGTGTTTGTGTTGTGTTTGTGTTGTGTTTGTGTTGTGTTGTGTTTGTGTTGTGTTGTGTTTTTGTTGTGTTTGTGTTGTGTTTGTGTTGTGTTTGTGTTGTGTTTGTGTTGTGTTTGTGTTGTGTTTGTGTTGTGTTTGTGTTGTGTTTGTGTTGTGTTTGTGTTGTGTTTGTGTTGTGTTTGTGTTGTGTTTGTGTTGTGTTTGTGTTGTGTTTGTGTTGTGTTTGTGTTGTGTTTGTGTTGTGTTTGTGTTGTGTTTGTGTTGTGTTTGTGTTGTGTTTGTGTTGTGTTTGTGTTGTGTTTGTGTTGTGTTTGTGTTGTGTTTGTGTTGTGTTTGTGTTGTGTTTGTGTTGTGTTTGTGTTGTGTTTGTGTTGTGTTTGTGTTGTGTTTGTGTTGTGTTTGTGTTGTGTTGTGTTTTTGTTTGTGTTGAGTTTGTGTTGTGTTTGTGTTGTGTTGTCTTTGTGTTGTGTTTGTGTACGTTAGTGCTTGGGTTGTATTTGTGTTGTGTTTGTGTTTTGTTTGTGTTGTGGTTGTGTTGTGTTTGTGTTGTGTTTGTGTTGTGTTTGTGTTGTGTTTGTGTTGTGTTTGTGTTGTGTTTGTATTGTGTTTGTGTTGTGTTTGTGTTGTGTTTGTGTTGTGTTTGTGTTATGTTTGTGTTGTGTTTGTGTTGTGTTGTGTTTTTGTTTGTGTTGAGTTTGTGTTGTGTTTGTGTTGTGTTGTCTTTGTGTTGTCTTTGTGTACGTTAGTGCTTGGGTTGTGTTTGGGTTGTGTTGTGTTGTGTTTGTGTTGTGTTTCGTTTTTTTCTGTTCCTACGTTGGTACATTTAAAAAAGATTTACCGTAGCAGAGCACGGGTATGCAGCTAGTTGTAATATATGAGCCTGACTTTACTGCGATGTTGTCTATGGCCATCTTATTGACATGTAGTTATCTGCGTTTTTCATTTGTTTAAGTTGGTGGTATGTCAATGACCTTTATCAATGTGCTATGCCATTTGCAGGTAAGTGCTATGTCATTGACCACGGAGAATGTGCTATACCCTGGCCAGCTTTCAGCAACTCTTTAACAACACTTTTACTTCTCAGCAGCTCTAAAATTAAATTCTGTAAAAGTTGTGTAAATACCTTTACACTGAGTGAACTATTTGAACTGGCAAAATATTTTTTAAAGATAATGGCATCATCTCAACTCGTTACATCCACACGTACCCAGAAACTCTTTCTGCTAAATTGTGATGTCAACTTTTTCAACAAAGTATTACAACATGCCACCAATTGAAGCACATTTGAATGGAACTTTATGCTATTTCCGATCTAAAAAAAAATCATAATTATTTATTTATCTTGATTTCTCTGTATATTGACTGTCGTGGACGGAACACATCAAACATAATTTCGACTACTTCTACCTGACAGATTTCTTTCAAAATTTTATGTAGGTCATGACTCGATAGCGATGCACAATGACATAAGATGTAACTTCATTGGATCTTTAATTATTTTTTTAAATTAATCAATGCTTCCTAAATCTATCTATCTATATACTACTAAAACTCAAGTTTGTTTACATGTTTGAATATTTATTTTTTTGTCTGATTGACTACTGCAGAGGATCTGCGCTATGTGGAGAGCTGTAAAATAGTATGTAGGTAGAGAACAATTTTTGTTTTCCGGCAGACTGTTAATCACAACTTTATTTAAAGACGTTAATTAATTTATTGATTTATTCATTGGTAGATTAACCACATTAATTTTAAATTTTTCAAACAATGGCTTTACCTTGACTGAATAGTGACGTCACATGATTTGTTTATTTTTTAGTACAATAAGATGGCGGCTTCCATCATAGACTTTGTGGCCCATTTAAAAGTTTAACGCGTTCTAAAGCTAATTTTCTGTCGGCCAAAACTTTAACAATACGTCCGTTTGCTGCTTTTATTACTTTCCAACACTTATATAAATTTTCAACTGTCTTTTTCATTTAGTTTTACAATAAATTTCTCTAGCTCTACAATCTGTCCAAGAAAGTTATCTTTTTTATTTATAGATATCTTTTTGAATGTGGGGTCTGGTTTTTTGTGACGATAAGTGACAGACGTGATGTTTTTTTATGGATGAGCCCCGAAACCCACAGTTATCCAAGGGATGACCGGGTAAGTCTAGTAAAGTACTAATTTCCTGCTCTATTATACACACGTTGTTTGCGTTCATTTGGTGGGCTATTCTTTTTTTTTATATTCTATTTGAAAAATGTAATTTAAGGAAAAAAAATTATTTTATTTATCATGTCCTCATCACATTTTCCAAACTTAAAATTTTTTATACAAAAAGTGGGGATACAACAATATAAACGAGCCAAGATTAATATTTTTATCAATTTATTAATCAATTTTTAAACAAAACATGTGTACGGAATACATTTTTAGCAGTTTCAAATAATTTTAGACTTCCCAAAGATTAGCATCAGCTTAATGTTATAACTTGAGCACAAAAAGATTGGGCAAAAAAGTTGAAGTTTCTGTGGATAGAAAGAAACAAGGTTAAATTTTTAGCTAGAAATTTTGCATTTTGTCTACAAAACTGAGTTCACAATAGATGTGCTATTTGTATTATTTGTGTGGAAAATATGCGGGCGTTATGTGTGGGGTTTATGTGTGGGTAACAAATGTTGATATGATGTGTGTGGTGTATTGTTTGTAATATGTTGTGTGTAGTGTATGATGTGTGGTGTATGATTGTGTATCACACGAAAACATGTACCTGATAAGGTTAGATGCACCGAAAGACTCCCAGACTACATCATACGGTGAGCCCTTCTGTACTTGATGAGTTCAGGTTCCGCTTCCTTGAGCATGCTGGTCAAATATTTGGCTGAGCTGCACATCACGGTGATGTACTCATGCAGGACGAACTTGAATTGGTCTTGATGGTCAAGGTCGTTGAACCACCTGATCCTCTCCTGGTGAGTACAAGTGGGTGGGCATTACGAAAGGTGTGGCAGTTGGAATGGTAGAGTGGTTGGCTTAGAATTTACGTGGGGATAAAGTCAAGACAGTGTTGTTTTGTTGCTCAGAGAGCATGGTGATGTGATAGTTGGTAGGGGTAAGGCATAAAGGGTTAACTGGTGTTGGTAGAGAAAAGAAATTTGTGGGCTAGCTAGGCATAATCTGTTGGGGTGTAGTTCTTGCTTGTGAATAGCTTTAAAACAGTACAATTGAGAGTGGGGGTTTAGGGGTCAAATTTAAAAAAAAAAATGTAATGTTGATTAATTTCCCCAGCATACAAGAGGAAGCTGGATATGTTACCAGTTTCTTGGTTGGGTCCTTCATGAAAGCTACCATGCTTGAGTTGACCAACAGGTTGGAGAAGTCTTCGTTGATGAAGGAGTCGTCTGCAGATCTGTACTGGTTGTCATCGAGTGTTATGTTTGGGCTGCCAAAAGTTCCGTCATGGACTCTGGCGAACAAATAGGCACAAGATTCAATAAAACTTTTTGCTTTTGCAACTTTAACCTTTTAGGAGCATTACAGGTTTTAATGTTAAAAAAATGAAAATGAAATCTAAATTCTAGTAACCTGTATACTCTTTGGTTCTGGTCAGTTTCAAATCACCCTCAATCTTCGTTAACCCACTATTAACGGACCTATTTTTGGAGAACGTCTGTAGAGCCTCATCCGGTACAGAGGTCTAGAGACCCACTTAGAACTGTGCCAAAAGTCTAGGGACCCACTAAAACTGTGCCACAAGTCTAGAGACCCACTTAGAACTGTGCCAGAAGTCTAGAGACCCACCTTTGGAGAGCATCCTTTGAGCTGTCCCCAGAAGTCTAGAGACCCACCTTTGGAGAGCATCCTTTGTGCTGTAACCAGAAGTCTAGAGACCCACCTTTGAAGAGCATGCTTTGAGCTGTCACCAGAAGTCTAGAGACCCACTTTTGGAGAGCATGCTTTGAGCTGTCACCAGAAGTCTAGAGACCCACTTTTGGAGAGCATGCTTTGAGCTGTCACCAGAAGTCTAGAGACCCACCTTTGGAGAGGGCCCTTTGAGCTGTCACCAGAAGTCTAGAGACCCACCTTTGGAGAGCATCCTTTGAGCTGTCACCAGAAGTCTAGAGACCCACCTTTGGAGAGGGCCCTTTGAGCTGTCACCAGAAGTCTAGAGACCCACCTTTGGAGAGCATCCTTTGCGTTGTCACCAGAAGTCTAGAGACCCACCTTTGGAGAGCATCCTTTGAGCTGTCACCAGAAGTCTAGAGACCCACCTTTGGAGAGCATGCTTTGAGCTGTCACAACTACAGAAGTCTAGAGACCAACCTTTGGAGAGCATCCTTTGAACTGTCACCAGAAGTCTAGAGACCCACCTTTGGAGAGCATCCTTTGAGCTGTCACCAGAAGCCTAGAGACCCACCTTAGGAGAGCATGCTTTGAGCTGTCACCAGAAGTCTAGAGACCCACCTTTGAGCTGTCACCAGAAGTCTAGAGACCCACCTTTGGAGAGCATGCTTTGAGCTGTCACCAGAAGTCTAGAGACCCACCTTTGGAGAGCATCCTTTGAGCTGTCACCAGAAGTCTAGAGACCCACCTTTGGAGAGCATCATTTGAGCTGTCACCAGAAGTCTAGAGACCCACCTTTGGAGAGGGCCCTTTGAGCTGTCACAACTACAGAAGTCTAGAGACCCACCTTTGGAGAGCATCCTTTGAGCTGTCACCAGAAGTCTAGAGACCCACCTTTGGAGAGCATCCTTTGAGCTGTCACCAGAAGTCTAGAGACCCACCTTTGGAGAGGGCCCTTTGAGCTGTCACAACTACAGAAGTCTAGAGACCAACCTTTGGTGAGCATGCTTTGAGCTGTCACCAGAAGTCTAGAGACCCACCTTTGGAGAGCATCCTTTGAGCTGTCACCAGAAGTCTAGAGACCAACCTTTGGAGAGCATGCTTTGAGCTGTCACCAGAAGTCTAGAGACCCACCTTTGTGCTGTCACCAGAAGTCTAGAGACCCACCTTTGGAGAGGGCCCTTTGAGCTGTCACAACTACAGAAGTCTAGAGACCCACCTTTGGAGAGCATCCTTTGAACTGTCACCAGAAGTCTAGAGACCCACCTTTGGAGAGGGCCCTTTGAACTGTAACTAGAAGTCTAGAGACCCACCTTTGGAGAGCATCCTTTGAGCTGTCACAGCTACAAAAGTCTAGCAGATGGCCTGTGATGGAGTACACGAAGTTGAGCTTCTGGTCCATGAACTTGTGGGTCACCTCAGACAGTTTCTCCGTCAGCATCTTCTTCAACTGGACCTTCTCCATCTGTTTGTAGATGGCAAGTTTGGCAGCTTTGTCTTCCTCCTCTTTCAGTTCCTGTAGTTTTTGGATTAAACACATTTCATGTATTAAATCATCAGTCTTGGTTCTCTGGTCAAAGTTTATGCATTAAATGTTCATTATGTGGAAAAATGTGTGTATGAAATTTTGGCAAGTGAATTATTTCCGCAAGTTTTAGCTAAACTGTACCCAAAGAACAGCGAGTTAGGGCTATGGTATTATTCACCCACCTTTTCCTTAAGGTACTCTTTAAACTTGTAGAAGTTCCTCCTCATGTAGTCTTTAAATTCCTCATGAGAACTGTCTCGCTTCTCTTGTCCCTGAAGCCATGACTTGAACTGTTCGTATGGGGTGGGTTTCTGTGGAAATGGTTCTCAATATTTCACAACCCACACCCCATTCTCTAATTTAAGTTAAATAGACTAAAATAGACAGTTATCCAGTTTCTGACCCAACATCTGAAGTTTTTTCAACACTTCCTCACATCGTCTATACTGTTATTCTAATGACACGAGAAAAATGGCCCGTTGAGGAAGGGTACAACGGGCGCTAGGCTGATAGTGCTGTCTCTTTTCTCTAAACTAAAACCACCCCAGCCCCCCCCCCACACACCCCCACACCCCCACACCCCACACCCCCCACACACCACCCCCACCCCCCCCCCCCACACACCCCCCACCCCCCGAAAAACATGTATACCGTCCCATTCAACGAAATATAATTATATACTTTTTCCAGTGTCCGCCCCCTCCCCGAAAATTCTACCCCCACCCCCGAAAATTTCAAGTACCCCCACCACTCTCCGGGGAGGAAAAAGTCTAAATTAAAACCACCCCCCCCCACTCACCCCCCTACCCCCCCCCCCCACCCCACCCCCCCCCCCACCCCCCTCTAAAAAACATGTCTACCGTCCCATTCAACGAAATATAATTATATACTTTTTCCAGTGTCCGCCCCCTCCCCGAAAATTCTACCCCCGCCCCCGAAAATTTCAAGTACCCCCACCCCTCTCCGGGGAGGAAAAAGTCTGAAAGAAACACTGGTGTCGCGCTTAGCCACTACGCGAAGAATTGCATTAAAGAAATTGCGAGAAAACCACTTTTTAGATTAGACACATTAATTAGGCGGTAATTTTATTATAGAGTATCGATGAGGAAATTTCTTTTGAGTTGGGGAGGGGGGGGGGGGGGGCTCAGACGTTCTTACGCGGGGGGTGGGGCTTCGCCCCTACTCGAATAATTCTATGCAAGAAACTCTTCACGCAAACCATTTAGATTAGACAACATTTCTTTTTTTCAATGTTTCAATGACGTCATTACATTACTGTGTGCACTCTCTGGTTTGAGATTATGTTCTACTCTACGCTAAATGTGTCGACGTCATATTTCGTTTTTCGAATTACTGTGCAGGTTTTTAAATTCCTTGTGTTTTCTCTAGAGCGTTCTTGTCAGACAGATAGATAGATAGATAGATAGATAGAGAGACAGCGAAACTATTATATAGAACTAGAATACCCGTCATCCGTTGGATAACTGTGGGTTTCGGGGGTCATCCATCAAAAAACATCACGTCTGTCACTCAGAGGCATAGCGATCCTTCCCGGCGCCCGGGGACAAAGTTTTCGATTTGAACCCCCCCCCCCCTCCCTCAAACTTTTGATGTGCACCCCCCCCCCCACTCAAACTTTCGATTTGAACCCCCCTCAACCTATCAATTTATTTTTCCAAACCATTTTGGCGCCCCAACATATGTCCCCCCCCCCTTCCCCCCTCCACCTCCCCACCCCCCCTTCCCCCCCCCCCCGCCTCCCCTCCCCTCCCCACCCCCCGCCTCCCCTCCCCACCCCCCGCCTCCCCTCCCCACCCCCGCCTCCCCTCCCCTACCGTCCCCCCCCCCCCCTCCTCGGTACGCTACTGCAGTGTCACTTATCGTCACAAAAAACAGACCCCACATTCAAATATATGTTTTTTATCTTTTAAAAACACCGAAAACACCGATTTCGGACTATCCCTTCATAAATTGACGTCACAGGTGACCTACTCAACTCTACTTCACCTGCCCAGTGTCCTGCCAAGTCTCAGACAACATGTTTTTATCGTTTAAAAAACAATTCCAGCCGAGCATGTATCTGACCACACTATCCTTTCATATGCTTAGGACAAAGAAACAGATGAACTCTACTTCACCTGCCCTGTATCTTGCCAAGTTCAGATAGGCAACGTTATCATTCACATCTAAAAAAAAAATTGAAAAAAAAAATTTCACTGACATATTGGTCTAGAACCCGTGCCTCCTGCATGAGAGCTGACTACGCTACCATTTTAGCTATTTACTCGTGACGTCACAAGTGAATTTTTATACTATACTATGTGTCTCCTTATGCAACTTGATTTACGCGTATAGATTCTAGATCTAGATCTAAAAATAAGTCTAGTAGTACTAACTTTCAAATTAAATTTTATCTTAAATAAGCCAAACAAAGATTTATATAAAATAATTAAGGCCTGAAATAGATTCTAGATGTAGAATTTACATTGAATCTAGTGACCTACATCTAGGCTAGATCTAGATCTAGGCTAGATTCATAAATTTCCTTCGATAGCTGATCTTTAGATCTAGAGAAATTTATCGTAAAACTAAATGAAAAAGACAGTTGAAAATTGATATAAGTGTTGGAACGTAATAAATACAGCAAACGGACGTATTGTTAAAGTTATGACCGACAGAAAATTAGATTTAGAACGCGTTAAACTTTTGAATGGGAACACAATTTTCTTCAATAGACGCCGCCATTTTATTGTACTAAAGAGTAAACAAAAACCTGTGACGTCACTATTCCCACAAAGTTTAGTCAAGGTTTTAACATTTTAAAAAAAAATGGGTTATTCTGCGTAGGAATAAATCAATAAATTAATTAACGTCTTTAAATAAATTTGTGATCAACAGTCTGTCTGCATTAAAAAATTATTCTCTACCTGCATACCATTTTACAGCTTTCCAGATAGAGTCGAACATATCACAATTTTCGATCAGGCAAACAAATAAATATTCAAACATGTAAACAAAGTTGACTTTTAGTAGTATATAGATAGATAGATTATATCAGTTTTCCCTTGCTATATTTATTATAATGTTGTGGCCTTGTAAACAAAATATATGCTCCTCATTCGCTACTTCTCTAAAAAAATTCTTAGTTTTTAAATTGACTTACGTCATCTTCGCTGGAGTCTTTATCATTATCATCTTCGCTACGTCTGTGTTTTTTCTCATCATCATCTTCACCACCTCTGTGTCTTTTGCCTCCCCGTCTTTTATGCTTATCACCACCCCATCCTTTCTTTTCATCGTCCTTCTCCCCCCATCCTTTTTTTTCATCGTCCTGATCCCCCCATCCTTTCTTTTCATCGTCCTGCTCCCCCCATCCTTTCTTTTCATCGTCCTGATCCCCCCAACCTTTAACCTCTTTGTCTCCCCACTTCTTGTCTTGATCGTCCCCTTGGCCAAACTTGTTACCCAGATCCTTCTTGTCCTCCTCCCCCCACCCCTTACTCTTGAGTTTCTCCTCCATCTCAGACCACATCTTGGCGAAATCCCCGGCCAAAACCATCGGGATCACCAGCAAGACAAACAGCAGCTTCATGGTGAGTACACTGAAACACACACGTCAATATAATCACAACATTCAGGGTGAGTACACTGAAACACACACGTCAATATAATCACAACATTCATGGTGATCAAACGTACACGTCAATATAATCACACCCTTCATGGTGAGTACACTGAAACACATGCGTGAGTAGTATTTTAGGTGGTTTTTTCGAATAGCTAAATTTAAAACAATGTTTACTTTTGCAATTTTGTCCATGTGTGTGTGTGTCTGTCTGTCTGTGAACGCGATAACTAGTATGGTTACAGCTATTTGATGAAATTCCATATATAAGTATTGTATCAAATGTGTATCAATTTTTCAGCGATTTCCGGTAATTTTCGGTTTTTCAAAAGCCTATAACTTGAGTACTGTTAGATGAGTTCTGATAGATGGACGAAATTTTTACATATTATGTAAAAAATCTAATTCTCTGTTTTATGTCAAATTTTGTGTAATTCTACGGTAATCGAGCGTGGAAAAGAGTCTAGGTTTTTTTAAAAGCCTATAATTTCCGTTGACCGGAAGTAGTACTTTGCCCTATTTCCGATTTCTCAAAAAAACAAAATACGAATTTATTTTCAACTTGATTCCTTTGTGTATCGTCCGTCACGGTGGGAAAATTTCAAACAAAATTTCGAACAAAATTTCGAACAAAATTTCAAACAAAATTTCGAACAAAATTTCGAACAAAATTTCTAACGCTTCTAACGGACCGAGTGGTTTTAAACTTTTCACGTAGGTCAAGACTCGAAGAAAATGTATTGTGACAAAACATTTTACTAAATTAAATGATTAATTAACTTTTTGAAAATTAATCAAGTTTTTTTAATAAAATTTTTCGAACATTTATACGCAAAGCTTTGCTGTTGCGCAATTCTTTTTTCTTTGAGATTCCATTCTATTTTTTCACATTTAAGTATTTGAAAATTGCTTAATAATCACGCCTTCATTCCGAGTTGCCATCCCCCGTAGTGTTATATTAGAATATTCGAGAAAGTTTAGGGAAGATGACACCCCCACTTAATTTTACTGACAATTGATTTAAAAATAATTGTTTTAATTTTAAGTTATATGTAAAACAAAGAATTGAAAAAAAAATCTCTATAATGTTTTTATCAGCACAATGTGAGTGATGAATTAATTCTAAACGAAGAACCTAGCTGTGAGAAACAACTACTCACCGTTGGTAGCGAACTTGAACTCGGTAGGGAAACGTCAAATATTCAGCAGCCGACTTACAGACGCCTCAACTAGAATTTCAACCCTAGGGTAAAGACCCGCGACCTATAATTTATACCCGTACGTTGTTTTTTTCAACTCTGTCTAGTATGCGCTTTTTTTTTTAATTCCTTATAAAAGAAATTACAAAATCTATTTACCCAAGTGCTAATGGTAGGGGAGAGTTATTGTAAGTGCACCTGGGTAGGGGAGAGAACTTGTACCTTCTTTCAACTTAAATGGGATATATTGTCAAGTATTTGTTTTGCGTGTAAGGACGAAGTTCTTAGAGCCGTGCAAATCATGCCACCGTGACGAGGCAGATATTTCAACTTGGTTCTCGTGTATTTGTCTAATTAGACCGAGTTTTTCAATTGCGCATGACCTGATCTTAAAATGGAAAAAAAATCTATCACGAGCGTGAATCACAGTTGAAAAGAGTTTTGTGTTGGTACATCTAATAGACGTTGTCGGTCATTGGGTTTGTTTGCCAGGGTATACATCTGGGCCGACATTGGGTAAGGTTAGACACCCACGATGGGGGCGTGGCTGTATACGATCTAGTCACGTGATGTCACACAACAAAAACAAAAATAACTCATCAACCAAAGGGGGGGGGGGGCGAAGAAAGTCTACCTCCCCCAAAACAAAATGGTATTCCGTAGCTCTTGATCAATAAAAAAAATGTTCTCTCAATATGTACAAACTAGCTGCAAACCCGTGCTCCACCACGGTGAATCTTTTTTAAACGTACCAACTTGGGAATATAACAAAACTAAACACAAACACAACGCAAACATAACACAAACACAAAAGAAAACACAAAAACAAAAGAAAACACAATCACACTACAAACCCAAAGCAAACGCAAACAAGCATAAACAAAAAACACAAACGCAAAACGCAAACACAAAAGAAAAAACAAACACAAACACAATGCAAACATAAATGCAAAAGAAAAAACCACAAACGAAAACGCAAACGCATAAACACAAAAAAATTAAACACAACTTAAATGCAAAAATAAACACAAAAGGCTCACAGTCTAGCCCGGGGCGCTAAATCGCACCCGGAACCGTCTGATGCAACTTAGTAAACGACTATAATACCCCAACTTATCCAAACAATAAACAAAAGACAATATTTAAAATGTCCATATTTGACCTACATGGTGCATTTATTAATCCATGCTAATTATAATATTTTAACAATAATGTACTCTTGCACGTCCGCAAATTTGCATGCATACTTGTTTTATTAGCGAGAGTTGAATTTCTTTTTAAAATTACCTCCCTTGGCAAAATTATAAAAGATTTTAATTAATTAGTGTTTTTACCCTACTGTTATTAAAATGTGTCCAATGTTTCTATTAATCTAAGCGAAAGTATTTTTTGACATTGATCCATTTTAGCAATGTGCGTGTATTTAATATTATATTCATGTTATGCGAAAGAGTAAAAACAGTGCCAACTATACACAAAATTTAAGTTGTTATATAAATAAGCCCTACCCATTTAATTATAATAAGACACTGCGATGCACGTAAAAAGCACGACATGAAGTGTTTACCTGTATTGTTCAAAATTCTATAGCGATGACGGATGACACCCTACGACAAGCGTTATATTATAGATAAATTAAAGTTATAAAAAATTATTTCTCTCAATATGTTCAAATAAAGTTATAAAAAATATTTCTTTCAATATGTTCAAATAAAGTATAGTTATCAAAATATTATTTCTCTCAATATGTTTAAATAAAGTTATAAAAAATTCATTAAAAAAACCTTTTAATAACAAGCTTTTATGTCCTATGCACTAAAAAGTAGAAAATAAATTATACACTACTATTTAAATTACTATAAAGAAAAGCGTGGGTGTCTTCCTCAACATTAGTAAAGGTATCCAATAGATACTAAAGTGACCCACGCTTTTCATTATAGTAATTTAAATAGTAGTGTATAATTTATTTTCCACTTTTTAGTGCATTAGTACATAAAAGCTTGTTATTAAAAGGTTTTTTTATGATTTTTTTTTTCAGTACTTGACATGTTTTATTTAAAATAGTGTTACATGACTAAAAACCATTGCGCGTCTATTGAACGTAATGGCGCAGCTATTGAACCTGATGGCGCAGCTATTGAACGTGATGACGCGTGTGGTGTGGTAGGATAGACATGCCTCCTAATTCGGTCCAAATTTTAATCAATTCATAAAAAATTAATTAGGCTTCACATTAAGTCAAATTTAATTTTAGATTGCATTGTCTTCATGTCTTGACCTACGTGCCAACTGTGAATCGTATCGGTCAAGTAGAACTGTCCGAATTTTTACTCCTGCGTTTCGATCTAGACTGACGACTGACGACAGACTGTCGACAGAGGAAGTGAGTTAAATAAAAGCTTGTAAAAAAAAATCTACTCTTCTAGGATAACCTTTAAACTAATAAATGTGTATTTTTGAGAAGGCTTGAAGTACTACTTCCAGTAAACGGAAATTACTCATAATTTGAGAGAAGGCAGAGAATTTGATCTTCTACCTATAAGTGAAATTTCGTCAATCTATTTGAAACAGCACTCAAGATATATGCTTTTGAAAAACCATAAGTAGAATAAGTTCCACTTCCGGTTACCTGAAATCGCTTAAAAGTCAATACAGAACTACAATTTTGATATAATACTTCATATATGAAATTTCATCAACCTAGCAGTAACGTTACTCAAGTTATCGTGTTCACAGACACACACACAGACACACACACACACAGACACACACACTCACGCACACACACATACACACATACGGACAGAATTGCAAAGCCCACTTTTTCCTACTCGATTACGCGTAAAACGCCGAAATTTTGATCAATCTGGATATAGAATTTTTGCCCGATTTAAATAAGTCCCCTATGCTCCGTATTTGATGAAGTACTGAGAAGTAAAACGGTGAAAACTGTCAAAATTCCATGTGATTTTTGTGCACGATTACAATACTTCCTCTATATTCTGTATACGAGAAAATAAAAATAATTCTTGTAAAACTTCAACATTTTTATTTCAATAGCTGATGGCCATAAAAATTTTTGAAAAATAAGAACGTTGTAATTATAATCGCTAGAGCGATTCCCTCATAGCTATAATTAGTTCTTCATTGTAGAATTTTAAAATTATGGCAAGCTTTAAACTGTCTTCCAATGCTTTGAACTTCTAAATGTGTGTTGACATCTTTCTGTTTGTATTGATCAAGCCACTTATGAAAGCTCTTTGAAACGAAGGGACTAATAAAGGCAGCGGGAATATTATTATCAAATCCCAATAACGCATCTATTAACAACTCTTATTGTATGTAGGAGAAAGATAATTAATTGACTACTGTACTAATTAGGGCTATTCTCCATAAATGTTCAGTTCACAAATTTGATTTTTTGTGTCAAACTCTCTATAATGTTTTTTATGATATTTTAACGTGAGAAAAGACAATATGTCGCTTTATATTAGCTATAACATTTTTTTAATTAGATCTTAAAATTAAAAGTGTGTACATTAGAAGTCTTATAAAGCCACGAAAGGATAAAAAAACAGTGTGAGTCGTTCAGTGGTTAGTTCGTGACTTGTTGAGTGACGTGGTCATTCATTGATGTGTTCATCTTTTGTTTAGGGGTGTGGTCATTCAGTGATGTGCCCAACATTTGTTTAATGGTGTGGTCATTCAGTGATGTGATCATCATTTGTTTAGGGTTGTGGTAAAAAGCGTCCACAACATCTACAAGCAACGTGTAATGAACAGTGGAAAACATGTCTTCACTTAAAATGAACTGTTTGAATCATTCGGGTATTGACCGACGCAAATTCGAAGGTATTGTGTCAGGGTTTGAAGGTATTTGGTCAGGGTTTGAAGGTATTTGGTCAGGGTTTGAAGGTATTTGGTCAGGGGTTGAAGGCACTTTGTCAGGGTTTGAAGGTATTTGGTCAGGGTTTGAAGGCACTTTGTCAGGATTGCAAGTTGTATACGAGCATCACCATGGGATTTCCTCAGCAGTTTGTGAGTGGCTGCTGATATGGTTGTCTGCAGTGATTTCCATTACGCCGCTAAGGGCAGTTACCTCCTGTATGATGCACGATCCAATTACCTTCCTTGTGTTGTTGTACGGTGCTGAAATATGTCAACAGATAATCATTCCGTGGATAAACAGGTTGGAAATCAAATATTTGAATTTGTTGTTTACATGATATTAGCACTCAACAGATACCATTTAGCTAATATTTTAGGGGATCGAACACACATTATATAACACAAGGCAGACGAGGGGGGGTATTATTGTGTTATAGGAGGTAGTGCTAGGCGTCCTGACCAAGTAGCACTGCCATAGGTTTAGGCAAGTAGCACTGCTATAGGTTTAGGCAAGTAGCACTACTATAGGTTTAGGCAAGTAGCACTGCTATAGGTTTAGGCAAGTAGCACTGCTATAGGTTTAGGCAAGTAGCACTGCTATAGGTTTAGGCAAGTAGCACTGCTATAGGTTTAGGCAAGTAGCACTGCTATAGGTTTAGGCAAGTAGCGCTGCTATAGGTTTAGGCAAGTAGCACTGCTATAGGTTTAGGCTAGTAGCACTGCTATAGGTTTAGGCTAGTAGCACTGCTATAGGTTTAGGCAAGTAGCACTGCTATAGGTTTAGGCAAGTAGCACTGCTATAGGTTTAGGCAAGTAGCACTGCTATAGGTTTAGACAAGTAGCACTGCTATAGGTTTAGGCAAGTAGCACTGCTATAGGTTTAGGCAAGTAGCGCTGCTATAGGTTTAGGCAAGTAGCGCTGCTATAGGTTTAGGCAAGTAGCACTGCTATAGGTTTAGACAAGTAGCACTGCTATAGGTTTAGACAAGTGGCACTGCTATAGGTTTAGGCAAGTGGCACTGCTATAGGTTTAGGCAAGTAGCACTACTATAGGTTTAGGCAAGTAGCACTGCTATAGGTTTAGGCAAGTAGCACTGCTATAGGTTTAGGCAAGTAGCACTGCTATAGGTTTAGGCAAGTAGCACTGCTATAGGTTTAGGCAAGTAGCACTGCTATAGGTTTAGGCAAGTAGCACTGCTATAGGTTTAGGCAAGTAGCACTGCTATAGGTTTAGGCAAGTAGCGCTGCTATAGGTTTAGGCAAGTAGCGCTGCTATAGGTTTAGGCAAGTAGCGCTGCTATAGGTTTAGGCAAGTAGCGCTGCTATAGGTTTAGGCAAGTAGCACTGCTATAGGTTTAGGCAAGTAGCACTGCTATAGGTTTAGGCAAGTAGCGCTGCTATAGGTTTAGGCAAGTAACACTGATATAGGTTTAGACAAGTAGCACTGCTATAGGTTTAGGCAAGTAGCACTGCTATAGGTTTAGGCAAGTAGCACTGCTATAGGTTTAGGCAAGTAGCGCTGCTATAGGTTTAGGCAAGTAGCACTGCTATAGGTTTAGACAAGTAGCACTGCTATAGGTTTAGGCAAGTAGCACTGCTATAGGTTTAGGCAAGTAGCGCTGCTAGAAACAAAAACAAAACTGATGTGATAAAAATATCTCCTCTAGAATTAGACTGACCGCCATCTTCTTTATAGAGTCCTTGCAAACACGTGACCTAAATCACGTGATACCTACGCCCGCCGCCACAGTGGTGTACATCAGACGTAAACACAATCAGCTGTTCGCCAGCGCTGGACGTGTTCACCAGCGCTGGACGTGTTCACCGTATGTAAAGAATCGCGCCCGCGGAAAAGGAAAAATATGTTAAAAAACTTGAACTCTTAGGAATTGAAGATCCTTATACAGTTATTGACAGTTTCGTGGATAATATAAATATGTGGCCGAAATTTCTAAATAAAAATACTGTTAGTAATACCATTTGCGTTTAGAGTTTAAGTAGACGAAGCTGATCAAATGCAGTAATATATTAGAGGTTATCTACTGTAGCAAACGTGAGACCACTTAACTCCTACAAAACCCACACTACAACGGCTAATATAATCCATGGGTAATAACCAATCTGGGTAGCATGTTATACAATTTAAGACCCTTATAATCCAGCAGGGAAGTAATCAGACACATTAATACTGACGTTCAACCCTCATGATGGCTGCCCCCACCTGTATCTAGCCCACAATAAAACCAAAGAGGAGTCTGCCCTGCCCTCCCCTGAAAATGTCTCACCTCCGTGATACCCAGCCCCACAGAGATAGTATTTCTGATATAATTTTGACCCTCAGGGCCCAGCAGGGAGAACAAAGGGGAAAGTCCCACTGCTCTCCCCTCAACACTTCTCACCTCGGTGTCATGTTATGTCATTTATAGCACACACGGCTTATCAGGGGAAAGCATTAAGGCATTAAGAATCTTAACTCTGGACAGCTACACACTAGTATACTAGCTACACACTAGGTGCCTACTGTAAACTACTAGACTGTAGGCCCTATGTAGACCTGCAATTGTATCAATTGTAGACTGGGTCCATTGTTATTATTCTAAACCATCTCACTTATAATGTTTCTAGCTTGATTTGTTTCTTTTATAAACAGTGGATTTAAAAAAAAATTTAGCCTAATCATTAACCAAATAATAATAATGTGGTTATTTGTTGTTGGCTGGTATGATCTAGATTGTACTACTAGGCTACACAAACTTAGTAGACCAATTACTAGATATGAATTTGAATTTAATTAAACTCAGTCCAGTATCAGATACATATTGCTGTAAAAAGACAACAAAGTAGGTAGGCCTTAGTAATTTATTAAAGCCTTCTACTACAATAATATCAACTACATGCTTGTATAAAGTTTTTACAATTTAATTTAAGTAGCAGATTCTAGATCTAAGTCTAGTCATATAATCTATTTCAATTTCAGAAAATTTCGTTTGCTAAAAAAATGATTAGATAATAGAGCGAGATTTTAGATCTTAGATACAATTAAATGCTTTATTAGGCCTATTATGACTACTTTTGATTTATTATGGGTGTATTTTGAATCGAATGTAGATCTAAAGTAATTAAATTTAAGTAAAGAAGTAGATTCTAGATTCTATGTCTACCCAGCGGAGCCAGGTATTAGGCCTACTATTAGATCTTATTATTCTTATTAGCCTATTACTTTTGACTTTGTCTTTTACTATTAGTATTTGTGAAGGTCGAGCATATTTGTTTTATTAATAGTTATCTTTTATAATTAAAATGAAGTTTATTATTTTACTGCCCTTACATGAAACAAAGTATCGAGAACTGCATTTGATCAGATTCGGCTACTTTAACTCTAAACGCAAACAGTATTACTAACAGTATTTTTATTTAGAAATTTTGTCCACATATTTATTTATACGAAACTGTCAATAACAGTATAAGGATCTTCAATTCCTAAGAGTTCAAGTTTTTTAACGTATTTTTCCTTTTCCGCGGGTGCGGTTCTTTACATACAGTGAACGCGTCCAGCGCTGGTGAACACGTCCAGCGCTGGCGAACAGCTGATTGTGTTTACGTCTTGTGTACACCACTGTGGCGGCGGGCGTAGGTATCACGAACGGACGTGACGTCATATGAAAGGACTCTATATTTAGACTGACCGCCATCTTCCCCCTATTTTTAGACTGACCGCCATCTTCTCCTCTATATTTAGGCTGACCGCCATCTTCCCCTCTATTTTTAGACTTACCGCCATCTTTTTCTCTATTATTTGACTGACCGCCATCAACACCCCAGTCCTCATCTGCGCTGCTCTCTGTATCGTCCATGGTGTTACCCTGACCCTGTCGGACATGGTTGTCATGGAAACGTTTAAAATATTGGAGTTCTCTGTCAATTTTTCACTGAATATTCGAATAAAAATCAACTAACGGAAATACTGTTCACAGCCTGAACTACACAGGAATGAAAGCTGTGTACTTTAGATGGCTCCTGGCAAACAACTTGGTTGTTTGAATGTATTAAGATAGAAGAGTCTGCCCTCTCCTGCATTGAGAGGAGAGGGTGTATCTAGGGCACAGTTATAGAATGCACCTCAGTCTTAAATCGTTTATGTGACTCGGGTTGAGTGACTGTTTACAGGACTTTTTTTGATGCAGATGGTTTTCTTCAAGGGTTGTGAAATTGTTTTTATCAGATATATCGAGATGTGTAAACAAAGAGTTAACAAATGTTGTATTGGTTGAGTGTTGTACAAAACACGTGTATTGTAAACAGACAGAAGCGATGTTTTCAAAACAAATCTGAGATTTTTTAGTCAACACTTGAGTTCTAGTGGGATGTATGATGATGGAACCAATGGCCAATTGTGGGGAACCAATAAATAATTGTAGGGAACCAATGTCATATTGTTGGGAACTAATATCCAATGTTGGGGAACCAATGTCAAATTGTGGGGAACCAATATTTTTGTTTCATTAACATCATACAACAAGCCATTATTTATATACTCAGGTTTTCTTGAAAGCACATTTTGTGTGCAGTAGTTTTTTTGCACTATAACATTCCCCGTCAGTTATTTGCTGCGCTAGTTATCATCACATAATTAGTACCGTTTGGGAGAGCAATTGACGTTAAACATAATTAGTACCGTTTGGGAGAGCAATTGACGGTAATCAACTCAAATAATTAGTTCTCTCATGGCACCAAAGCTACACAACATTTTTCCTACGTACTTTAGCATAAAGATATGCTATGTAGCCTGTATGTGTGTTTGGTCTACATTACGACTTAATGCCACAGAAGCAACAACATTGATGTAAGTGACGGGAAAGGTACTTTAGTGGATGTTGTAGTTAAGAGCTTTATGTTTCATGATAATGTTCTGGTTAGAACACCCGAGAAACGAAGGCCAAACGTTATAGGATGGTGGGGGGGGGGGGGGGGGGCTGCGGTACTCTAATGTACAGTGGGACTTTCGTTTTTGAAGGTCACCGCACTGACCTTTGACCTCTAACTAGGCCACGTTGTGAGCACAGACTCTGTGCGTGTGTGTGTGTTTAGGTGGGAAATGTGAGTTCTAGTTAGTCATCAACAACACTACGTCACCTACCCACACACACACCCACTTCCCTCCAGCAGCTCCCAGTCAGTAGAGGGTGAGCCAGGCGTGCGTGCACACTGTAGGGTGAGTATTTTACTTGTATCTGGTAATCTGTGTGAGTATCTTGCTTGTATCTGGTAGTCTGTGTGAGTATCTTACTTGTATCTGGTAGTCTGTGTGAGTATCTTACTTGTATCTGGTAGGCTGTGTGAGTATCTTACTTGTATCTGGTATCCTGTGTGAGTATCTTACTTGTATCTGGTATCCTGTGTGAGTATCTTACTTGTATCTGGTAGGCTGTGTGAGTATCTTACTTGTATCTTGTAGTCTGTGGGTGTATCTTACTTGTATCTGGTAGTCTGTGGGTGTATCTTACTTGTATCTGGTAGTCTGTGGGTGTATCTTACTTGTATCTGGTAGTCTGTGTGAGTATCTTACTTGTATCTGGTAGTCTGTGTGAGTATCTTACTTGTATCTGGTATCCTGTGTGAGTATCTTACTTGTATCTGGTATCCTGTGTGAGTATCTTACTTGTATCTGGTATCCTGTGTGAGTATCTTACTTGTATCTGGTAGGCTGTGTGAGTATCTTACTTGTATCTGGTAGTCTGTGGGTGTATCTTACTTGTATCTGGTAGTCTGTGGGTGTATCTTACTTGTATCTGGTAGTCTGTGGGTGTATCTTACTTGTATCTGGTAGTCTGTGGGTGTATCTTACTTGTATCTGGTAGGCTGTGGGTGTATCTTACTTGTATCTTGTAGTCTGTGGGTGTATCTTACTTGTATCTTGTAGTCTGTGGGTGTATCTTACTTGTATCTGGTAGCCTGTGTATCTTACTTGTATCTGGTAGCCTGTGTGAGTATCTTACTTGTATCTTGTAGTCTGTGGGTGTATCTTACTTGTATCTGGTAGCCTGTGTATCTTACTTGTATCTGGTAGTCTGTGGGTGTATCTTACTTGTATCTTGTAGTCTGTGGGTGTATCTTACTTGTATCTGGTAGCCTGTGTATCTTACTTGTATCTGGTAGTCTGTGGGTGTATCTTACTTGTATCTTGTAGTCTGTGGGTGTATCTTACTTGTATCTGATATCCTGTGTATCTTACTTGTATCTGGTATCCTGTGTATCTTACTTGTATCTGGTAGCCTGTGTGAGTATCTTACTTGTATCTGATATCCTGTGTATCTTACTTGTATCTGGTATCCTGTGTATCTTACTTGTATCTGGTAGTCTGTGGTGTATCTTACTTGTATCTTGTAGTCTGTGTGAGTATCTTACTTGTATCTGGTATCCTGTGTGAGTATCTTACTTGTATCTGGTAGCCTGTGTGAGTATCTTGCTTGTATCTGGTAGCCTGTGTGAGTATCTTGCTTGTATCTGGTAGGCTGTGTGAGTAACTTACTTGTATCTGGTAGCCTGTGTGAGTATCTTACTTGTATCTGGTAGCCTGTGTGAGTATCTTGCTTGTATCTGGTAGGCTGTGTGAGTATCTTACTTGTATCTGGTAGCCTGTGTGAGTATCTTACTTGTATCTTGTAGTCTGTGGGTGTATCTTACTTGTATCTTGTAGTCTGTGGGTGTATCTTACTTGTATCTGGTATCCTGTGTGAGTATCTTACTTGTATCTGGTAGCCTGTGTGAGTATCTTGCTTGTATCTGGTAGCCTGTGTGAGTATCTTGCTTGTATCTGGTAGGCTGTGTGAGTATCTTACTTGTATCTGGTAGCCTGTGTGAGTATCTTACTTGTATCTGGTAGCCTGTGTGAGTATCTTGCTTGTATCTGGTAGGCTGTGTGAGTATCTTACTTGTATCTGGTAGCCTGTGTGAGTATCTTACTTGTATCTGGTATCCTGTGTGGGTATCTTACTTGTATCTGGTATCCTGTGTGAGTATCTTACTTGTATCTGGTAGGCTGTGTGAGTATCTTACTTGTATCTGGTAGTCTGTGGGTGTATCTTACTTGTATCTGGTAGTCTGTGGGTGTATCTTACTTGTATCTGGTAGTCTTTGGGTGTATCTTACTTGTATCTGGTAGTCTGTGGGTGTATCTTACTTGTATCTGGTAGGCTGTGGGTGTATCTTACTTGTATCTTGTAGTCTGTGGGTGTATCTTACTTGTATCTGGTAGGCTGTGTGAGTATCTTACTTGTATCTGGTAGTCTGTGGGTGTATCTTACTTGTATCTTTAAGTCTGTGGGTGTATCTTACTTGTATCTGGTAGCCTGTGTATCTTACTTGTTTCTGGTAGCCTGTGTGAGTATCGTACTTGTATCTTGTAGTCTGTGGGTGTATCTTACTTGTATCTGGTAGCCTGTGTATCTTACTTGTATCTGGTAGTCTGTGGGTGTATCTTACTTGTATCTTGTAGTCTGTGGGTGTATCTTACTTGTATCTGATATCCTGTGTATCTTACTTGTATCTGGTATCCTGTGTATCTTACTTGTATCTGGTAGCCTGTGTGAGTATCTTACTTGTATCTGATATCCTGTGTATCTTACTTGTATCTGGTATCCTGTGTATCTTACTTGTATCTGGTAGTCTGTGGTGTATCTTACTTGTATCTTGTAGTCTGTGTGAGTATCGTACTTGTATCTGGTATCCTGTGTGAGTATCTTACTTGTATCTGGTAGCCTGTGTGAGTATCTTGCTTGTATCTGGTAGCCTGTGTGAGTATCTTGCTTTTATCTGGTAGGCTGTGTGAGTAACTTACTTGTATCTGGTAGCCTGTGTGAGTATCTTACTTGTATCTGGTAGCCTGTGTGAGTATCTTGCTTGTATCTGGTAGGCTGTGTGAGTATCTTACTTGTATCTGGTAGCCTGTGTGAGTATCTTACTTGTATCTTGTAGTCTGTGGGTGTATCTTACTTGTATCTTGTAGTCTGTGGGTGTATCTTACTTGTATCTGGTATCCTGTGTGAGTATCTTACTTGTATCTGGTAGCCTGTGTGAGTATCTTGCTTGTATCTGGTAGCCTGTGTGAGTATCTTGCTTGTATCTGGTAGGCTGTGTGAGTATCTTACTTGTATCTGGTAGCCTGTGTGAGTATCTTACTTGTATCTGGTAGCCTGTGTGAGTATCTTGCTTGTATCTGGTAGGCTGTGTGAGTATCTTACTTGTATCTGGTAGCCTGTGTGAGTATCTTACTTGTATCTGGTATCCTGTGTGAGTATCTTACTTGTATCTGGTAGGCTGTGTGAGTATCTTACTTGTATCTTGTAGTCTGTGGGTGTATCTTACTTGTATCTGGTAGCCTGTGTATCTTACTTGTATCTGGTAGCCTGTGTGAGTATCTTGCTTGTATCTGGTATCCTGTGTGAGTATCTTACCTGTATATGGTAGCCTTTTTATCTTACTTGTATCTGGTAGTCTGTGTGAGTATCTTACTTGTATCTGGTAGTCTATGTGTCTAGGTGTATATGATAACGTTTCTCTAGCTTGCTGCTAATTTATCTTAGTTTAATTAACAGTTTGGCATGTGTGACATGTATGTGACAACTGCATTAGACAATTTAAATAGTCCACGCTTTTCCTTAGCTTATTAATTTGTTTCTGCGCCTTCTGCATACCTCTACTCTCTACTGGGTAGGAGAAATGCAATCTGCTACAGTACAACACCACTTCACCCCTTACTGCACAGCCCCAATACCATCCACTACCATAAAAAGTCCTCTAATTTCACATTTCCAATTGAATATTCTGTGAGAGTCTTTGAAACTTATGAGAAAATAATTTACTTTCCCACAACCCAAACACACAATTCATATCAACCTTTCCGTTTACTATATTTGGCTGTCACTACACTCGAAATACAACAATTCGTTTACTATTTTTTCATTTCTTATGTTCAGAAGATGGCAATTTTCGGACGTTCCCTGGCAGACGACAGTATTGTCCACTACAGCCATACATGGACGGCCCTGTTGTTTCTACTGTTGGCCTTGTTTACCTGGGTCCTGCCCTTGTTTCTTCCCAGCGGCCATCATTCAGGGGAAGCTACCGATACAATGTCTGTACATTGCTACGCTCCGGCCCAATTTACTAACGAGCAAGTAGCATACACAAATGCTATCTGTGGCGCAGCGTACAAGAAAGCTGTGTCTCCCGCCAACGTGAACAACTCTGATTCCACGTCTGCTGCCATCTTGTATAAACTGAAGACGAATGACGAGAGCCAAATCTCGCGAGACCAGACACGGTTCGGTGCTAAAGATGAGCCACCACAGAACTCTTCAGACTCTGCACGTGTAGTGGACTCACAAGGCGAATCTTTGAGGTACTTAACCTCCCACATACCAGTTCTGTTGTTTGTCTTTGCCGTGTGTCTGAAACTCACCCAGGTGTTGTGGGGGATGTACTCACGCTGCTGTGGTGTCAACGTTCAGAAAACTCTAGAAAACGTTCACAAGATTTCAACAGCTCCATCAGAGCCTCGAGCCAAGCTGATGGAGGGGGTCTGGGGCTCTCATGTTCCTTCCTGCTGGACCACCGTGGGGTTCCTGGTGTACAGACTTGCACTGTGTAGTGTGTCAGTCTGTCAGCTAGCATTCATTTACTGCTACCTTCAACCGGAAGTCGGCCATCTTGGATCGCATTCTACCTCCTCGCATCAGGACTACTACGACACTCCCCTGATGTGTAAGTTCAGCTTAATTCGGCTCGGGCGTACAGAGGCCTACGCCATTCAGTGTGTTTTTACTCAAAGCCCGGCGCAACCTGAGCTGACCTACGACACAACCTACGCCATCTACGTCTCGTTATCCGCTGCTCTAGTGTTTGTCCTAGCGTCCTTGTCCATCCTGAACATCGCAAACCTGATCACGTGGTTGCTCAGACTGTGGTCACGCCCCTGCAGACGTCACGTGAGCAGGCAAGACAACCTAGCTACCGATGTTTACCTTATTCTATTTTTAGCGCGAGACAACTTTGGCCAGCAGACGGCAACAGAACTGGCTGACAGCTATCAGAGGGGGACAGAATCTCTGGGAGACGGGTCAATGGAGCTAAAGACTGCTGAAGCTTAAGTCTACATCTCGCTGATTTTCTACCCTTTTTGTAATGATCAGCTTCTCACTTTCTGTCAATATACTTACACTATATTCATCATTTTCTGTTAATACAGTTATATTACATTCTTCACATTTTCTGTCAATAAAGTTCTGAAATTCTTACATCAATGTGTAGCGTTGATTTAATTACAGGCATTTGAAGTTTGACAATGTGAATGCAAGACAGCAACACTGAGTGTTAACTATAAAAGAAAACTTTATTTTAGGCCTATAAATGTTAAAAAACTTACCATGCAGTTTTCACAATGTCGCACTCGTTGGGGCTATAACTGTAACACCTTTAGATTTAGACAAGAAAACATATTTTACATAATATGAAAAATAAAATGTAAAACACGTAAAAACAAGGTTTTAAAGCCCACGTGGACTAAATGTTTATTTCAGGCATCCGTTCACCCACCCTCTTTAGTAATCAACAACCTTGCAGACCTCCCCAGCAAACATGGTCAAGGGAACCACTTGAATGAAAGGTCCAACTGCACCAGTGGCGCCCCACGGAGCCCCGGCGATCATGCGACCCGAAGCGCCCCAATCTATCACGTGATTATTATGGCACGTATATTCGTTTGAAAGACTTCATTACACCAGGGATGCATTGGGCTACTACAGTCGTTGACTAAACTGAGCCATAGTCCCCGGTACACCATGAAGGTGGCTCAACTAAGTGAGTGACGCCCCCGCTCTGGGCGGTCGCCGAGGTCTAGTCTACCTTGCCTTGGTTCACCTTTACTGAGGGTCATCAACATGCATGTAATGTTTTCATACAACACACCATGGGGCTCTTAGGAGGTTAGGCAAACAAACCAGCGTCCCAATAACTGACCCCAGTTTAATCTTAATACAGTGGCGTAGGAAGGGTTGGGGGGGGGGGGGGTTCAACCCCTCCCCCATGGACCACGCATTAAAAAAAATTACTGTCATGATACCACTGTTACTTATTTAAATCTATTTCTGAATCAGTAAATATGGATGATTGTAAATGTATGTTTAGAACAGACACCTAAAAACTGACACTATGTTCACTCTGAGTTGGTTATCCCGTCCCCCCCCCCCCCCCCCACCACCTCACCACCAGAACGGGACAGGCCATAATTGTTTAGAGCGATATTAATGTCACACCTAGGTATACGCTGGGTAAGATAATAGACCTAAAGTGACAGGCCAATGGTGAATGAAGTTGAATCTCACCCCCCTTAACCCACCCCGAACTGATGTGTTAAGTACATTTGGGAAAACGCGTATTGAGGTACCAAAGTACCATGCCAACAGAATCATAGCTTTTGAAACAGGTATAACGCTGTAAATATTGTTTTTGCAATTACCAGTAAAGAGGTGTGTGAGTAATACAGTGATCTAACCCATACCTTATCAGTATGTTAAAAAATGATCTTTAAAGAACGCAAATAACAAAAAATTAAAAAAATGTATGATCTGAACTGCAAGACCTATACTTTAGTTATATGTAGGCTATTATTCAGAATATTCCACCTATTAAATTTAGTTTTTCTGTTAGATTGAAAAGTGTGGTTTTATACCAACACTTATTTCAAAAACTGCCATTATGCCATAATATTTTAGCATCTATGATGACAAAATATTTAATTATGATTGTAGACAATATATTTTTGTAAAAACGAACAGTATTAAGCTTACATATTACACACTAAAGTAATTATTGATATGTTTTGACATTTACAATTAAATTGTATTGAGAGAGTGGTTATTTCCCCTAGTTGGCTTGTATGGATTAATATTCCAGGAATCATTATGTCACATTTTTTTTACAAGGATTACAGATGTATTGCGTTCATTGTTTTTTGTTGTATTGTGCGTATATTTTTATGTGTGTTTAGAATGATAATTTATTATTGTTTTGTCGGCCTACATTGTGGGTTTTTTTTCTTATTTCTTCAGAGTAGTACTTTCAATTTATTTTACATCATAGTGAAGCAATGACATACAGCTCGTATATATGGTGACCAGAAAGATGCGCAACGGAAAAAGCGCAACGGAAAAAAGCGCAAAAAAATGCGCAACGGAAAAAAGCGCAAACAGAAAAAAGCGCACTCAGAAAAAAAGCGGAAAAAGAAAAAAGCGCTTACAGAAAAAAGCGGAAACAGAAAAAACACAGAAAAAAAAAACGCAAACAGAAAAAAGTGCACACAGAAAATTGCCGAAAATGGAAAAAAAGCAATCTTTTTGCTTTTTTTCCGTTGCGCATCTTTCTGGGATCCATATATATGTATGTATGTATATATATATATATATATATATATATATATATATATATATATATATATATATATATATATATATATATATATATATATATATATATAATGATGGAAAAAATTTGAACCCTGCACCCCCCCCCCCATGAAACGATCTTGGCTACGCCACTGTCTTAATTGTAATAATAGTTTTAACGATTCTATCGACCGCAGTGACAAAATCGTGATCGTGAATCATATGAGTCAGTTTTGTGTCTTAACCTCCGCTAAACCCCTGGAATTCGATCTAACTTTTGCGATGAACTACTGTTTTTGTTTTAGTAATTTTGGTTTTAAAGCAGGGCATTAATTTTGGTTACCACCTCGATTCCAAGCAGTGTTTCTTCCAGACTTTTTTCTCCGGGGGGGCACTTGAAATCTTCGGGGGGGCGGTAAACTTTCTTCGGGGGGGCGGACACTGTTAAAAGTATATATTTTCTATATAAATTATATAAATTTCATTTCGTTCGGGGGGGCGGTACAAAATTTTCGGGGGGGCGAAGCCCCCCCGAAGAGATGCCTGGAAGAAACTCTGATTCCAAGTCTAAAGGGTTAACGATTCCTGCGATCATTAGCTAACCGAGGCCTAGGGTTACGCAATGTCGTAAAAATAAAATTGTCTCTAGATTGTTCGGTTAAATAATTAAACAAATACTCAAGCATAATGTCATTAATGTTATCTAAAACTAAAATTTAATTAGATTCTAGATCTATTTGTGTAAAGAAAAAACGCAAATTTAGATATTTTTGATACTGTAAGTTTTGCGACAAACATTTCGAGAGAATGCATCAAACATGGCCGCATCTTTGCCTTTACCCTTACCTATGTTCCATAGTCGCACTGGGTCTTTAGTAGCATTAAGCAATAGTAACAGAACTGCACAGAGAAACCACCCTACACAAGAGTTTAATAATGGAGTAGTACTAAGTTCTGATCCCCTTCGAGATAATCAAGTTTTTGAAGTAAAAATTGACCGAAAGGTTAGAAATTCTAACTGATTTTCTAGGCCTAGCCTACTCAGTTTTTTTTTTACATTGCTCATCATAACTCATGCTTAATCAAACGAGCTGAGAGACTAGTGAGAGACCAATAGAATAGAGTTAGAGTGCTGTAATGCATCTGTTGGCTAATCAAATACAAGCAGATCAAAGCCAATTAAATTGTGCAAAGGATTGCTACTCAACAATAACAAGAGCACCTGCGAGAAACGTTAATGATAATGTCGTTAATGATAATGCGCCCTTAATTTAATTAAACGCCATAGCTAAGGGGTCATCCATAAATGATGTCATGCTTTTTTTGATGATTTTTACCCCCACCCCCCTCTGTCAGACATCATCACAAAAAGCCAGACACCTCCCCCCTAAAACTAAAATGACGTCACACCTCAGCCTACAATCCCCCTCAAAATTGCAGTTGAATTTTTCTTAAAACATCTTGTTTTAAAAAATCTTGTCTTAACTCTGTCAACATAGAGTATTTTAATCAACTCCTATTACAATTTATTAAAACAGTTTTCTAAAATGCGAATTAATGGCTAAAATCAGTTTTCTAACATTGCTTTTTATAATGCAAAAGTGTGACGTCACACCATCTGAACCCTCCTCCCCCCTCATTATAACCATCACAAAATTACGGATGACCCCTAAAGTAAGACTATGTCACATTTTCTTTCCCATCCTTTCATTTTATCCAGAGAGTATGCTGAACACCTCTATGGGTGTTATGTCATTTTTTATTACCAAGGCCTTTAAGCCTAGAGGCTTTTAAATTTATTAGGCCCTAAAAAAATTGCTAGTATTAAAATAAAAAACCAAATAGACTGAAGACTAAATACTGAATAATTATAAATTATGAACCTGTCATGAAGATTCATTTTGATTATTAATGACATGAATTAACCTAACTTTGGCAAGGTTTTTAAAATTAGTAATACTATATCTGATCAATGTTATGCCTAATCACAATACCATGGTTTTTATTGGCCAATGTTTAACAATACTATATTTTGTTAAATATATTCAGTTTTTCTTAAGCATTGTGTATTTAAATGTAACAAAATATTTGCAACAAGTTGTTTCCATATCCTGTAGGTGAACTCATGGAGTGGTTCTATAGAAATTGGCGTCACTGTCTGCGAGCCCAGCAACTTAAATTTTCCATTCAGTGCGACTGGATTTCGAGATGGGACATGGGTGATGTCAGGGATGTCCATACTGTGTGATGGTCATTCTATGGTCGAGGACTATGGCTGCGACCTGGACCAATTAGCAGAAGGGGACAGAGTGAGTCATGCAGAACCAACCTGTTATTTGTATAATTATTCATACATTATTTTTAACATGGTTTTTTAGGGAAACAGCTGCTTTTTTTTACCAGACAATTTAGGAGTTTTTAATTCATGTTTATACTTAGGTATTAGTTACGTAACTTACTATAATTATAAATTTGGCAGGAATATTAGGCATTTTTTATTTTAACTTTTTACTTATAAAATAAATAGAATATCAATCAATTAAAAAATAATTTATATCATGGCTTTATTAAACCCATGTTCATATAGGTGTAACATGAATTCTTCAGGTGGGGGTGATGCGCAGCTCTGAAGGAGTGCTACATTTTTATGTGAACGGTGTTGACCAGGGTCCAGCTGCCACTGGCATCCCACCTAAGGTGTATGCAGTCATTGACCTGTATGGGAAGTGTGCCCAGGTGTCAATCTCCGAGCCAAGCACAGCCACACCCACCAGTTCTACCAGAGAAAACAGTATGTAGACAATTTGTGGACTATGATGAAATATTGTTTGTGTAATCCTAATCAAGCGGATGTGTTTTAAAAACTTATTATTGCTAATACAATCAAAACCATATAGATTCAATTAAGCAAATTTTAATAAACAAACTGGTTTCTGCTTTAATAACTACTTTGATTCATATTTTTTAGTTTAAAGTCTCAAAATTTTTTGTTTCATGTGAGAACTTACATTTTGTGTATCATTTGAACCAGCTATTCTAAGCAATGACTTCACCAATGAAATAGCGCATGAGTTCCTGACTGAAATCTCCAACCAAATTGCAAATGATCTCGCTGCTGAGCAGGAAGCTAGCCTTTGTCTTTCAGAGGAAGACGGTCTCTCCAGGGACAGTCTCCGCTTTCATGAAAAATGTGGGAATCTTGTTAAATTAAGTAACAACAGAAGATCAGCTGAGCGCAGGCGCCCATTGGATGAATTTAATAATGGTGTAGTCATGACAAACAGACCTATAAAAGACAATGAGATTTTTGAGGTAAGCACAGTGACTGTCCACACATTAAAAAACTACTTAAATTTGTTTTAACTGTTAAAAAAATTTCTGACCTGTCTTTTAAATTGAAACAATTAGATTCAGCTGGACAGATTAGTGGACAAGTGGTCTGGGTCAATAGAGGTAGGAATCACTACTCATAATCCCTCCACGCTGGAGTTCCCTGCTACAATGACCAACATGAGGAATGCCAGTTCTAGTCGTAAGTATCATAGAACCTGGTCACGCCAAGTATCATAGTAGTAGGTCCCAAAAGTCTGTGAAAATGCCAGATTTCACCATACCATTTATTGACAGAACAATATGGTTATTTTTACTTGCAAGAAAATAATGGTACATTTTTCATTTAGTCTGAATTTTTTTTCCCAGAGACTTTGAATACATAACTAAATTTTGTTGCTGAGTGAAACAAAAATTAGATTTAGTTTTCCTGCAAATGTCAGATTGTTAAGAGAGCTCAAGTTATTTAAAATCACTTGTTGCCACAGGTACTATAATGATGAGTGGCTGCGGCATTTTGACCAATGGTAAAGGCACAAGAAGAGAGTATGGCCAGTTTAACTTGGATGAGTTGAGTGTAAGTACTAAACACATTGGTAATTATTGTTTTTTCAATTGTGTAAATACATGCTTAAATAGTCATAGCTTAATTTTGATTTGAATATAATATAAATATTTCAAAATAAAAACATTGGCTTTATCACTAAGTGTTATTTTTCAGGAAGGAGATCGTATAGGACTTGTACGTAAATCAAACGGACATTTACATTATTTTATTAACGGACTGGACCAGGGTATGGCCTCGTCCAATGCCCCGTCCCCTGTGTGGGGAGTGGTTGACCTGTATGGGATGGCGGTTAAAGTGAGCATCATTGACCACAGTCCAGTGGAGGCCGAGGTGGAGGTGCCCAGCATGGTGCCCCTGCAGCCAGTGGAGCGTAGCCTGGTCAACACCCTGCGACAGTTTCTGGATTCCTGTGAGGGCAGCGAGAGGCTGGAATCTCGGGCACCAACTGGTCAGTTTCTTTATTTGTGTCATGTTTGAAATCTATGACCAAGTTCTTACATAGACGACAACTTTGACCCAACTCAAAGATATCCATTGAGATGAATTGATTGTTAAACATGTTGCCTCCCAGATACCACAGAAGATGTTGAAAAGCTTTTGTTTAGTCCTGTGTGTGGGGTCCATGCTGCTGTCATCAATGGGAACAGGACAGCTCATAGACCCAAGTAAGTGGACTGAGACAGGACAATGTGGCTCAATTATAAACTCATTTATTTGATAGACACATCGTTATCTTAACCATTTTAGCTGACCACTGCATTTAACAAGACTTAGGCATGTATACGTTTGTATTTTATTTCTGTCTCAGCTTTTCAACTTACATTTCCACAGCGCTACTGACGACTTCAACAATGGGGTTATTTTGACCAATCGGATCCTGCGCCCCAATGAAGTTTTTGAAGTTCGGCTGGATCGACTGGTGGACAAATGGGCGGGGTCTATAGAGATAGGGCTGACCACTCATAAACCTAACGAGCTGGACTTCCCCTCGACCATGACCAACATTCGCTCAGGAACCTGGATGATGACAGGGAATGGGGTCATGCACAACGGCTCAACTATCATTGAGGATTATGGACAGAATCTTGACCGACTGAAGGTAACCACAGGAGCTGGCTGAGATTTGAGTTTTAATTAGTTTATAATAGTGTTGATTGGCCCTTTGATAACATTTGGTCTGAAATTACCTCACAGGTTGGAGATCGTGTTGGTGTGGTTAGAAAACCTGATGGAACTGTCCATTTTTTCGTCAATGGAATAGACCAAGGGGCCTGTGCCAGCAACGTGCCTGCTAATGTCTACGGGGTCATTGACCTGTATGGGATGGCAGCACAGGCTACAATTGTTGACATGTCAGGTATGTCAGGTCAACTCATATCAGTTGGTGATATTACTGGTAAATTGATGACTGACATTTGGTAACATTTCAGGTAAACTAGTTACAATTGGTGACATGTTAGGTATGTCAGATAAACTGATGACAGTTGTTGACCTAATGTTGACTTCCCCCACCAGAGGCCCTGACCTCACCTGACCCTGACCAGCTGATGACATCTGTTGACCTAATGTTGACCTAATGTTTACCTCCCCCACCAGAGGCCCTGACCTCACCTGACACTGACCAGCTGATGACATCTGTTGACCTAATGTTTACCTCCCCCACCAGAGGCCCTGACCTCACCTGACTCTGACCTTTGTTGACCTAATGTTTACCTCCCCCACCAGAGGCCCTGACCTCACCTGACCAGCTGTTGACCTAATGTTGACCTAATGTTTACCTCCCCCACCAGAAGCCCTGACCTCACCTGACCCTGACCAGCTGTTGACCTAATGTTGACCTAATGTTGACCTCCCCCACCAGAAGCCCTAACCTCACCTGACACAGACTCCAGTGTCTTCACTGACCCTGACAGCTGTTGACCTAATGTTTACCTCCCCCACCAGAAGCCCTGACCTCACCTGACCAGCTGTTGACCTAATGTTGACCTAATGTTGACCTCCCCCACCAGAAGCCCTAACCTCACCTGACACAGACTCCAGTGTCTTCACTGACCCTGACCAGCTGTTGACCTTTGTTGACCTAATGTTGACCTCCCCCACCAGAAGCCCTAACCTCACCTGACCCTGACCAGCTGTTGACCTAATGTTGACCTAATGTTTACCTCCCCCACCAGAAGCCCTGACCTCACCTGACCCTGACCAGCTGTTGACCTAATGTTGACCTAATGTTGACCTCCCCCACCAGAAGCCCTAACCTCACCTGACACAGACTCCAGTGTCTTCACTGACCCTGACAGCTGTTGACCTAATGTTTACCTCCCCCACCAGAAGCCCTGACCTCACCTGACCAGCTGTTGACCTAATGTTGACCTAATGTTGACCTCCCCCACCAGAAGCCCTAACCTCACCTGACACAGACTCCAGTGTCTTCACTGACCCTGACCAGCTGTTGACCTTTGTTGACCTAATGTTGACCTCCCCCACCAGAAGCCCTAACCTCACCTGACACAGACTCCAGTGTCTTCACTGACCCTGACCATCTGTTGACCTAATGTTGACCTCCCCCACCAGAAGCCCTGACCTCACCTGACACAGACTCCAGTGTCTTCACTGACCCTGACCATCTGTTGACCTAATGTTTACCTCCCCCACCAGAGGCCCTGACCTCACCTGACCCTGACCAGCTGTTGACCTAATGTTGACCTAATGTTTACCTCCCCCACCAGAGGCCCTGACCTCACCTGACCCTGACCAGCTGTTGATCTAATGTTGACCTAATGTTTACCTCCCCCACCAGAGGCCCTGACCTCACCTGACCCTGACCTAATGTTGACCTAATGTTGACCTCCCCCACCAGAGGCCCTGACCTCACCTGACACAGACTCCAGTGTCTTCACTGACCCTGACCATCTGTTGACCTAATGTTGACCTAATGTTTACCTCCCCCACCAGAGGCCCTGACCTCACCTGACACAGACTCCAGTGTCTTCACTGACCCTGACCATCTGTTGACCTAATGTTGACCTAATGTTTACCTCCCCCACCAGAGGCCCTGACCTCACCTGACCCTGACCAGCTGTTGATCTAATGTTGACCTAATGTTTACCTCCCCCACCAGAGGCCCTGACCTCACCTGACCCTGACCTAATGTTGACCTAATGTTGACCTCCCCCACCAGAGGCCCTGACCTCACCTGACACAGACTCCAGTGTCTTCACTGACCCTGACCATCTGTTGACCTAATGTTGACCTAATGTTTACCTCCCCCACCAGAGGCCCTGACCTCACCTGACACAGACTCCAGTGTCTTCACTGACCCTGACCATCTGTTGACCTAATGTTGACCTAATGTTTACCTCCCCCACCAGAGGCCCTGACCTCACCTGACACAGACTCCAGTGTCTTCACTGACCCTGACCAGCTCAAGTTCCACCACCTCCACGGCCGTAACGCCACGGTGCTGCACAATGGGATGACCGCTGCCCGACCCAACGCCACAGGGGAGTTCAATGATGCTATAGTCATGAGCAACAGGCCGCTGCGAGATGGAGAGTTGTTTGAAGTGGTCTTAGAGAAGATGGTTGACCGCTGGTCAGGATCTCTAGAAGCTGGTACTTACAGAACTTTAGAAATTCTTTAATAATTATTTAAAATAATTTTCTATTTTTAAATAGATCTAATTGTATTTGTTTATCAAATTTAAAAAAAATGTTCTTTTCGAATGGTTTTTAAGAGGATTTTTATACTATAAACTACAGTGTATGATATAGGCTTATGAGCTTTTAAAAATCAATTTTAATTTTAACCTAACAAAATTTAAAAAATGATAATTATATTATTAAATAATTTTTTTTTTTACCTTGAAGGGGTCACACTAGTCAAACCAGAGGAGATAGAGTTCCCCAACACCATGACAGATATTGAACATGATACCTGGATGTTAAGGTAGTGGCTTTTAACTTTGGTTAATCATGACAAACATCTAACATGACAGGCATCCAACATGATAGACACCCAACATGGCAGACATTCAACACAGGGCTTTTGTCTTTTGTCTGTATTATCTTTGGCAACATCAAACAGTCTTTCTACTCTATCATTACACATCTTTGTTTAGTGTATACTTTTGTTTAAATATTCATATTATATATTTCAAATGGTTGGTCAAAGTCCGAAACTTTGCTTGATTTCGGCCTTTGGCCGGCCAATCCGCAGACTGGCCATGGTGGACCGGCCAAAGTCTTAATTAGAAGATCATCTGGCTAGGGACGACCGGCCAAAGTCCGAATTAGAAGATCATGAGCAGATTTTTGTTTTTTTTTTATGCCGTAAGGATCATGAAATTAAGTTTTTATTGATTATTAATTAAAGTAAATGACAGAAACATTCAATTTTTTTAGTTGTGCAATTGCAGCGAGTGTAGCCTTGGCCCCAAGTCAATGATTGTGAAGATGCGATGTTTCGTAGTGATTTTTCCTCAGTGCCAACTGACGACAATAAGAGCAGTTTTTCGTGAAGAATTGAAAACTCACTTCTAGCATGCAGTTGTTTTAGAACACCATGTTCCGTTCCTAATTTGTAGAAACCGCCCTTGACGCCCATGACAACTGCAATCACGCTTCGCGGATCACCGTGACCCCTGTCAACATCTGGAAAACGGATGCGTACATTGTCACCCACTTCAACATCTTTAAATTTTGTATTTGATGTTTTAAGCATCTTAGCACCTTGAGTTTGCAAGCCAGTATGAGCTGCTGATCTGTGTTCCATGATGTCTTTTTTGTTGTGACACAATCTGCAGGTAATGTTCCCTCCGTACCCTTCGTCTGCTTCGTCTGGCATGGACATCGTTGCCACAGGATCCACAAGAATGAGCTGCACTACAATGTTTTTCACAAACTATATAGAATCTGTTGGCCACATTATTATCACGCAACTGGTCTGGACGTTCCGCCAAGGCAGTAGATGTGTTAGCTGAGGATGTCGTTGCATTTATGGCAACCTCCATTTTTTGTTCAATGTTCTCAAGATCTTCCTCAGTAACTATTTTATCGAGAGCCCATATATGTAAACTAACATGGATTTACATTTTTTTTCTTTTGACAGCCATCTGCTATGTCTGTCTCATGGTCGGACGGCCCTTTTGATCCATGTCGATTGCATATAGAACGCTATACAAACGCACCCAGAATAATGAAAATGCGATCACAACTTAGTCTAGATAGAACATTGGCCAGGACATCCCGGCCAGTGCGCGCATTGGCCGGCCAATGTTTAAAATACGCTGTCAAGTTTAAGCGCTTCGGACTTTGGCCAGTACGTCCCGGCCAGTGCGCGCATTGGCCGGCCAATGTACGAAATACGATCTTAGTGCTAAGTTCTTCGGGCTTTGGCCAAGAGAGCCGGCCAATGCGCGGATTGGCCGGCCAATCCTGGGTTTGGCCGCACTTCGGGCTTTGACCGTAACATATATATATATATATATGTATTATGTATATATATATGTATTATTACAACAATTAAAATTTCATTCCAGAGATCTTTAGTTTGTTCTTAAAATCACTATATTTAGCACATAACAACACTAGCCACCTGTGATATAAGAATCCTTGTGTTGGTCACTGTGTTGCTCTAAACCTTGTGGTCCTATAAAAAGTAAGAGTGAATGTATTAAAGTGAAACAAATGTTATTTGACTTGTTCAGTGGATCAGCCATTATGCAAGATGGGGCGACAATTAGAAATGGGTACCCCTTGGATCTGGACTCCCTGACTGTGGGGTCAAGGGTCGGCATGATGAGGTGTGCTGATGGGACACTGCACTACTACCTGGACGGTGTGGACCAGGGTGTGGCCAGTGCGGACATCGCCCCAGGTCAGTGCTGGATCTTTCTAGATGTTGTCACTTGTTAACCCCATCTGAACTAGCCCCACCTCACCCCATCACCACAGATGTCATACATCTGAACTTACCCCATCACCACAGATGTCATACATCTGAACTTACCCCATCACCACAGATGTCATACATCTGAACTTACCCCATCACCACAGATGTCATACATCTGAACTTGTCCCATCACCACAGATGTCACACATCTGAACTTGCCCCATCACCACAGATGTCACACATCTGAACTTGCCCCACCACACTTGTTAACCCCATCACCACAGATGTCATACATCTGAACTTGCCCCATCACCACAGATGTCATACATCTGAACTTGCCCCATCACCACAGATGTCATACATCTGAACTTGCCCCACCACCACAGATGTCATACATCTGAACTTGTCCCATCACCTCAGATGTCTTACATCTGAACTTGCCCCACCACCACAGATGTCATACATCTGAACTTGTCCCATCACCTCAGATGTCTTACATCTGAACTTGCCCCACCTCACTTGTTAACCCCACTACCACAGATGTCATACATCTGAACTTGTCCCATCACCTCAGATGTCATACATCTGAACTTGCCCCACCTCACTTGTTAACCCCATCACCACAGATGTCATACATCTGAACTTGCCCCATCACCACAGATGTCATACATCTGAACTTGCCCCATCACCTCAGATGTCTTACATCTGAACTTGCCCCACCTCACTTGTTAACCCCACTACCACAGATGTCATACATCTGAACTTGTCCCATCACCTCAGATGTCATACATCTGAACTTGCCCCACCTCACTTGTTAACCCCATCACCACAGATGTCATACATCTGAACTTGCCCCATCACCACAGATGTCATACATCTGAACTTACCCCATCACCACAGATGTCATACATCTGAACTTGCCCCATCACCACAGATGTCATACATCTGAACTTACCCCATCACCACAGATGTCATACATCTGAACTTGCCCCATCACCACAGATGTCATACATCTGAACTTACCCCATCACCACAGATGTCATACATCTGAACTTACCCCATCACCACAGATGTCATACATCTGAACTTGCCCCATCACCACAGATGTCATACATCTGAACTAGCCCCATCACCACAGATGTCATACATCTGAACTTGCCCCATCACCACAGATGTCATACATCTGAACTTGCCCCATCACCACAGATGTCATACATCTGAACTTGCCCCATCACCACAGATGTCATACATCTGAACTAGCCCCATCACCACAGATGTCATACATCTGAACTAGCCCCATCACCACAGATGTCATACATCTGAACTTACCCCATCACCACAGATGTCATACATCTGAACTTACCCCATCACCACAGATGTCATACATCTGAACTTACCCCATCACCACAGATGTCATACATCTGAACTTACCCCATCACCACAGATGTCATACATCTGAACTTGCCCCACCACCTCAGATGTCATACATCTGAACTTGCCCCACCTCACTTGTTAACCCCATCACCACAGATGTCATACATCTGAACTTGCCCCATCACCACAGATGTCATACATCTGAACTTACCCCATCACCACAGATGTCATACATCTGAACTTACCCCATCACCACAGATGTCATACATCTGAACTTGTCCCATCACCACAGATGTCACACATCTGAACTTACCCCATCACCACAGATGTCATACATCTGAACTTACCCCATCACCACAGATGTCATACATCTGAACTTACCCCATCACCACAGATGTCATACATCTGAACTTACCCCATCACCACAGATGTCATACATCTGAACTTACCCCATCACCACAGATGTCATACATCTGAACTTACCCCATCACCACAGATGTCATACATCTGAACTTACCCCATCACCACAGATGTCATACATCTGAACTTACCCCATCACCACAGATGTCATACATCTGAACTTACCCCATCACCACAGATGTCATACATCTGAACTTACCCCATCACCACAGATGTCATACATCTGAACTTACCCCATCACCACAGATGTCATACATCTGAACTTGTCCCATCACCTCAGATGTCTTACATCTGAACTTGCCCCACCACCACAGATGTCATACATCTGAACTTGTCCCATCACCTCAGATGTCTTACATCTGAACTTGCCCCACCTCACTTGTTAACCCCACTACCACAGATGTCATACATCTGAACTTGTCCCATCACCTCAGATGTCATACATCTGAACTTGCCCCACCTCACTTGTTAACCCCATCACCACAGATGTCATACATCTGAACTTGCCCCATCACCGCAGATGTCATACATCTGAACTTGCCCCATCACCACAGATGTCATACATCTGAACTTGCCCCACCTCACTTGTTAACCCCATCACCACAGATGTCATACATCTGAACTAGCCCCATCACCACAGATGTCATACATCTGAACTAGCCCCACCACACTTGAATTGTGCTGTGTTGCAATGACTGAAATCTTGTGGTGTGTTGCAATGACTGAAATCTTGTGGTGTTGTTGCAGGTGTATTTGCTGTGATAGACCTGTATGGTCAGTGTGCTCAGGTCAGCATATCCTCTGGTACTGTTGTTTTACCACCACTGGCCCTGCTCCAACAACAGACCAGCATCCAGACAGAGCCAGTGTCCACTCCATCAGTAGCTAACGCAGGTTAGTGTCCACTCCATCAGTAGCTAACGCAGGTTAGTGTCCACTCCATCAGTAGCCAACGCAGGTTAGTGTTCACTCCATCAGTAGCCAACACAGGTTAGTGTCCACTCCATCAGTAGCCAACGCAGGTTAGTGTCCACTCCATCAGTAGCCAACGCAGGTTAGTGTCCACTCCATCAGTAGCCAACGCAGGTTAGTATCCACTCCATCAGTAGCCAATGCAGGTATAGTTTAACTTGCACATGGAATTTAAAATTTGAAAAGAGTTGAGGACACTTTAATGAAACATACACCCCATTACATTTTAACACCACCAACAGATTTAAATTCATGTACAAACTTGATTCTACAAATTGGATGCACCTTTCTAATAACTGTGTGAACCTCCCCAGACATCACTCACAGGCTGAGTAAATGCTGTGGTAAGAACATCACTCTCCGCAACAGCTGCTGGGGTGCCAGTAGAGTCCAGAGCTACAACCACGGAATTGTCTTCAGCTCGGAGCCGCTCAAGTACGATGAAATTTTTGAGGTTAGTCTATAAATTTTATTAAGTAGAACTTTATCATGGAATACAGGAGTGGTACATGGCCTGTTTCAAATTTTTTTTATCTGTCCAGGTGCAAGTTGTGTCTTACTAATGTTAAGGCTGCCTTAACATTAGACTGACCCCCATCTATTTTGATCTGACCCCATCTATTTTGATCTGACCCCCCGTCTATTTTGATCTGACCCCCATCTATTTTGATCTGACCCCCTTTTATTTGATCTGACCCCCTTTTATTTGATCTGACCCCCATCTATTTTGATCTGACCCCCATCTATTTTGATCTGACCCCCATCTATTTTGATCTGACCCCCATCTATTTTGATCTGACCCCCATCTATTTTGATCTGACCCCCATCTATTTTGATCTGACCCCCATCTATTTTGATCTGACCCCCATCTATTTTGATCTGACCCCCATCTATTTTGATCTGACCCCCATCTATTTTGATCTGACCCCCTTTTATTTGATCTGACCCCCTTTTATTTGATCTGACCCCCATCTATTTTGATCTGACCCCCATCTATTTTGATCTGACCCCCCTCTATTTTGATCTGACCCCCATCTATTTTGATCTTACCCCCATCTATTTTGATCTGACCCCCATCTATTTTGATCTGACCCCCATCTATTTTGATCTGACCCCCATCTGTTTTGATCTGACCCCCATCTATTTTGATCTGACCCCCCTCTATTTTGATCTGACCCCCATCTATTTTGATCTGACCCCCATCTATTTTGATCTGACCCCCATCTATTTTGATCTGACCCCCCTCTATTTTGATCTGACCCCATCTATTTTGATCTGACCCCCATCTACTTTGATCTGACCAGGTGGAGGTGAGTGAGGTGTCCAGCCAATGGTCAGGCTCACTGAAGATTGGACTGACCACCATGGCCATCTCAGACTGCAGCTCCCCTGTCAACATCCCATCCACTGCGGATGAGATCACCTCCAAGGTCACATGGATAGTCTCAGGGTCAGAGGTCAAGAAGTGTGGGCTGGTTATCAAGGACAACTATGCCCCATCTCTACAAAGACTGCAGGTCAGTTGTTGTAATGTTGTAATGTTTATAATATGACTGAACTTGTTTGATGACAGAATTCATGTTTTGTTCACGTAATGTTTATAATGTGATTGTGTGAACTTGTTTAATGGCACAATGTAATGTTTATAATGTGACTGTGTGAACTTGTTTGATGACACAATGTAATGTTTATAATGTGTGAACTTGTTTGATGACACAATGTAATGTTTATAATGTGATTGTGTGAACTTGTTTAATGGCACAATGTAATGTTTATAATGTGACTGAACTTGTTTGATGACACAATGTAATGTTTATAATGTGTGAACTTGTTTGATGACACAATGTAATGTTTATAATGTGACTGTGTGAACTTGTTTGATGACACAATGTAATGTTTATAATGTGACTGTGTGAACTTGTTTGATGTAATTTTTATAATGTGACTGTGTGAACTTGTTTGATGACACAATGTAATGTTTATTATGTGACTGTGTGAACTTGTTTGATGTAATTTTTATAATGTGACTGTGTGAACTTGTTTGATGAGACAATGTAATGTTTATAATGTGTGAACTTGTTTGATGACACAATGTAATGTTTATGATGTGTGAACTTGTTTGATGACACAATGTAATGTTTATAATGTGTGAACTTGTTTGACCAGGTTGGGGATAGAGTGGCTGTATGCAGGTATTCTGATGGCACAATGCATGTTCTGTTCACGTAATGTTTATAATGTGACTGTGAACTTGTTTGATGACACAATGTAATGTTTATAATGTGACTGTGTGAACTTGTTTGATGACACAATGTAATGTTTATAATGTGACTGTGAACTTGTTTGATGACACAATGTAATGTTTATAATGTGACTGTGAACTTGTTTGATGACACAATGTAATGTTTATAATGTGTGAACTTGTTTGATGACACAATGTAATGTTTATGATGTGTGAACTTGTTTGATGACACAATGTAATGTTTATAATGTGTGAACTTGTTTGACCAGGTTGGGGATAGAGTGGCTGTATGCAGGTATTCTGATGGCACAATGCATGTTCTGCTCAATGGGGATGACCTTGGTGAGGCTGCCTCTGGGATACCAAAGGTAACTTTTGCTCATGAGCTTGTTAGATTTTAAGGGTCAGTCTTTAACCGTATGGTTTAACACTTGTTTCTTTATTTGTTTCTTTTTTTAATTTCCTCACCCACATTTTTTTGGCCGTCTACCAAATGAACCAGTTGTATGTGAAATTATGTTGAACATTTGTATACCAGATGAAAAATGTGTTTGTAAGATTTCATTGAACATTTGTTGTGTTCCTGATGAAAAAGTATGCAAAATGATGTAGGAAAAAATGGTATGTGAAATGATGTAGCACATGTGTGTTCCTGATGAAAAAGTGGTATGTGAAATGATGTAGACCATGTGTGTTCCTGATGAAAAAGTGGTATGTGTAATGACGTAGCACATGTGTGTTCCAGAATGTTTTTGCTGTGATAGACTTGCATGGAGCTGTAGAGGGGATTGTCATAACAAGCAGTGCCAGTATAGAGTCAACCAGCAGTGTCTTGTCTCCTGTTTATGACGTGGACCTGTCTGTTCAGGTAAATCTTGTGGACCTGTCTGTTCAGGTAAATCTTGTGGACCTGTCTGTTCAGGTAAATCTTGTGGACCTGTCTGTTCAGGTAAATCTTGTTCACCTGTCTGTTCAGGTAAATCTTGTTCACCTGTCTGTTCAGGTAAATCTTGTTCACCTGTCTGTTCAGGTAAATCTTGTTGACATGTCTGTTCAGGTAAATCTTGTTCACCTGTCTGTTCAGGTAAATCTTGAAGGACCAATCCAAATGCTTCCTCCCCTTTTCCATTTTTTAGCTTACTAAAAGGGAGCTAAAAAGTTCTAATATTTCAAGATTAGCGTGTTAAAAAGTAAATCAAAATTGCTCTTGGTTTATTCAACCCTTTTTAAATTTCAAAGGATCTCATGTTTTCTGCATTGTTGGTAAAAACAAGTTGTTTCCAAAAAAAACTTGTCACAGGGAACACAATTTTGTTGTATCATATTTAGGAGCGTGACCAAGACAGTGACGCCACCAGCCACCTGTCAAGTTGTTTCCACATCAACCATGGTAAAAACATCTTACTGCGAGACGGCAGCAAACTCGCTGAGAGGCTAGCCAGCTACAACAACGCTCTGGTTGTCGGCAATAAACCTTTAAAGAAGAGGAAAATTTTTCAGGTAGGTTTTTCTGGTTGTTGGCAATAAACCTTTAAAGAAGAGGAAAATTTTTCAGGTAGGTTTTTCTGGTTGTTGGCAATAAACCTTTAAAGAAGAGGAAAATTTTTCAAGTAGGTTTTTCTGGTTGTTGGCAATAAACCTTTAAAGAAGAGGAAAATTTTTCAGGTAGGTTTTTCTGGTTGTTGGCAATAAACCTTTAAAGAAGAGGAAAATTTTTCAGGTAGGTTTTTCTGGTTGTTGGCAATAAACCTTTAAAGAAGAGGAAAATTTTTCAGGTAGGTTTTTCTGGTTGTTGGCAATAAACCTTTAAAGAAGAGGAAAATTTTTCAGGTAGGTTTTTCTGGTTGTTGGCAATAAACCTTTAAAGAAGAGGAAAATTTTTCAGGTAGGTTTTTCTGGGTGTTGGCAATAAACCTTTAAAGAAGAGGAAAATTTTTCAGGTAGGTTTTTCTGGTTGTTGGCAATAAACCTTTAAAGAAGAGGAAAATTTTTCAGGTAGGTTTTTCTGGTTGTTGGCAATAAACCTTTAAAGAAGAGGAAAATTTTTCAGGTAGGTTTTTCTGGTTGTTGGCAATAAACCTTTAAAGAAGAGGAAAATTTTTCAGGTAGGTTTTTCTGGTTGTTGGCAATAAACCTTTAAAGAAGAGGAAAATTTTTCAGGTAGGTTTTTCTGGGTGTTGGCAATAAACCTTTAAAGAAGAGGAAAATTTTTCAGGTAGGTTTTTCTGGGTGTTGGCAATAAACCTTTAAAGAAGAGGAAAATTTTTCAGGTAGGTTTTTCTGGTTGTTGGCAATAAACCTTTAAAGAAGAGGAAAATTTTTCAGGTAGGTTTTTCTGGTTGTTGGCAATAAACCTTTAAAGAAGAGGAAAATTTTTCAGGTAGGTTTTTCTGGTTGTTGGCAATAAACCTTTAAAGAAGAGGAAAATTTTTCAGGTAGGTTTTTCTGGTTGTTGGCAATAAACCTTTAAAGAAGAGGAAAATTTTTCAGGTAGGTTTTTCTGGTTGTTGGCAATAAACCTTTAAAGAAGAGGAAAATTTTTCAGGTAGGTTTTTCTGGTTGTTGGCAATAAACCTTTAAAGAAGAGGAAAATTTTTCAGGTAGGTTTTTCTGGTTGTTGGCAATAAACCTTTAAAGAAGAGGAAAATTTTTCAGGTAGGTTTTTCTGGTTGTTGGCAATAAACCTTTAAAGAAGAGGAAAATTTTTCAGGTAGGTTTTTCTGGTTGTTGGCAATAAACCTTTAAAGAAGAGGAAAATTTTTCAAGTAGGTTTTTCTGGTTGTTGGCAATAAACCTTTAAAGAAGAGGAAAATTTTTCAGGTAGGTTTTTATGGTTGTCGGCAATAAACCTTTAAAGAAGAGGAAAATTTTTCAGGTAGGTTTTTCTGGTTGTCGGCAATAAACCTTTAAAGAAGAGGAAAATTTTTCAGGTAGGTTTTTCTGGTTGTTGGCAATAAACCTTTAAAGAAGAGGAAAATTTTTCAGGTAGGTTTTTCTGGTTGTTGGCAATAAACCTTTAAAGAAGAGGAAAATTTTTCAGGTAGGTTTTTCTGGTTGTTGGCAATAAACCTTTAAAAAAGAGGAAAATTTTTCAAGTAGGTTTTTCTGGTGGTTGGCAATAAACCTTTAAAGAAGAGGAAAATTTTTCAGGTAGGTATTTCTGGTTGTTGGCAATAAACCTTTAAAGAAGAGGAAAATTTTTCAAGTAGGTTTTTCTGGTGGTTGGCAATAAACCTTTAAAGAAGAGGAAAATTTTTCAAGTAGGTTTTTCTGGTGGTTGGCAATAAACCTTTAAAGAAGAGGAAAATTTTTCAAGTAGGTTTTTCTGGTTGTTGGCAATAAACCTTTAAAGAAGAGGAAAATTTTTCAAGTAGGTTTTTCTGGTTGTTGGCAATAAACCTTTAAAGAAGAGGAAAATTTTTCAAGTAGGTTTTTCTGGTTGTTGGCAATAAACCTTTAAAGAAGAGGAAAATTTTTCAAGTAGGTTTTTCTGGTTGTCTGATGTGGTTTTCAATTATATTTGAGTTACCTTCAGTAATAATATAAGGCAAAACTGCTGAGTTGAAAACAATTTATCAGCCCCATCCGGTTTAAAATGTACTTAACTTCCTTTTAGTTTTCAATTAAATGAAAGCAATATAATGTAACATCAAATGATTACACTCTTCTTCTTACTGCTTCTCTCATCTTCCAGCAGTTTAAAAATGTTTTAATCAAACAATGTTAGTTTAGATATTTGACTGACATAATTTTTGGTTGTACCTGCCAGGTGAGGGTGGGGAAACTGAACCCAAAATGGAATTTGACTGACATAATTTTTGGTTGTACCTGCCAGGTGAGGGTGGGGAAACTGAACCCAAAATGGAGCTCCTCACTGATGATAGGGATCATAGGGTTCCCTGTGGACAAGTACACATTCCCTCCATCTGCCATGGCCATCAGGAAACCTTGTGTCGTCCTGCAGGGGGAATCAGTCTTTGTCTCAGGTTCAAAGGTCAGTGGGCGTTACCATCCTCTGTTGACTGTCCCAGACAGTGTTACATCTGTTAGACTGGTATTTTATCTGTAGTTTAATGAGTAGTGTGACCTATTGTTTAACCTGTAGTTTGGCATAGTTTGATCTATAATTGAACCTGTAGTTTGACCTATAGCTTAACCTGTGGTTTGACATGGTTTGACCTGCAGTTTTTACCAATTGTTTAACCTGTAGTTTAAACTTACAGTTTAACCTGTAGTTAAACCCTTAGTTTTACTTGTAGTTGAACCTATAAATTGACCTGTAGTTTTACCTTATTTTGACCTCCTACCTGTAGTTTAACCAGTAGTTAAACATGTAGTTTAATCTGTAGTTTAACCAGTATTTATACCTTCAGTTTGACCAGTAAAATAACCTGCAGTTTGACCATTTGAATAACCTGTAGTTTGACCTTTGACAGGTGAAGGACCACTACGGCCCTAACCTGGACACGCTGTGTGAGAACAGCCGTGTGGGGGTGGTGGTGGATGAAGACTCGTGTCTCCACCTGCTGGTCAATGGCATCGACTACGGCGTGGCTGCCAGAGATGTGCCACACCCCTGTTGGCCTCTGGTGGACCTGTATGGTCAGTGTGAACAGGTAGGGACTTGTGTTAACAGCTTCAGTTAAGTATTAAGTTTTTAGTTACTAAATTAAATACACAGCTGATGAAAATAAACAACATACCATCAACTCTATACAAAGAATATTTTAACTATTTGTATCAAAGCAACAATTTCTTTTCCAATGTTTGTTACTTCATTGTGTTTTTTTTACTTTGTTACTTTCCACCATAACCCAAAACAGAGCATTGATGGCTCTTGCTATAGCATTTCTGTTCATTTTGGATTAGCTATAATTAACTCCAATGAAAACTCTACCAAAATACATTTTGTTTTAAGTCAAATTAGTTTCAGAACTTCATATTTTATCAAGCTGACAATTTTATTATTCAAGTTTCCAGTTTATTAAAAGAATATGAAACATGTCAGACATTTCTCCATCACCAATTCAAAAATAAAATAAAAATGAATGTTGTATTCAAACAGGTGACAATACTTGCTGAGGATTATGAGAGTATGGCTGCTACAGGAATCAAAGAGGAGAGGGAGAAGGCAGATATTGAGAACAGTGAGTACATTTTCTCTGGTACATTTTCTCTGGTCCATTTTCTTTGGTACATTTTCTCTGGTGTATTTTCTCTGATACATTTTCTCTGGTGTATTTTCTCTGGTACATTTTCTTTGGTACATTTTCTCTAGTCCATTTTCTCTGGTCCATTTTCTTTGGTACATTTTCTCTGGTGTATTTTCTCTGATACATTTTCTCTGGTGTATTTTCTCTGGTACATTTTCTCTGGTACATTTTCTCTGGTACATTTTCTATGGTACATTTTCTCTGGTCCATTTTCTTTGGTACATTTTCTCTGGTGTATTTTCTCTGGTACATTTTCTCTGGTACATTTTCTATGGTACATTTTCTTTGGTACATTTTCTCTGGTGTATTTTCTCTGATACATTTTCTCTGGTGTATTTTCTCTGGTACATTTTCTCTGGTACATTTTCTATGGTACATTTTCTCTGGTACATTTTCTTTGGTACATTTTCTCTGGTGTATTTTCTCTGATACATTTTCTCTGGTACATTTTCTATGGTACATTTTCTCTGGTACATTTTCTTTGGTACATTTTCTCTGGTGTATTTTCTCTGATACATTCTCTCTGGTGTATTTTCTCTGGTGTATTTTCTCTGGTACATTTTCTCCTATACATTTTCTATGGTACATTGTCTCTGGTCAGTAGATAGAGAAAATACTTTACAACACTTTTACTGTAAAACTGAATCTTTTTTTACATTTTTAACAGTGTTACTGTTAAACTGAATGAGTTGTAGAAAGAAAAAGCATTATTTTAAAACAGATTCTAAAAGCAATATGAAAAACAGATTGATTGAATTATTTGACTATTTCTTCTAAACCAGAAGGCAAAGAAAAAGCTACCAGTGGTGTAGACAGCATTACAGGTCTGCGTAACTGTGAATATTTTAACATCTGTAATAGGCTCAAAATTTCCTTAGGGTTGCCAGGTAAGTTTTCACAAATATTGTAACCAACTCATGCTTTGTATTGCCACTTAAACTCTGAAATTATTAATATTTGGTAAAAATTTATTTAGAAACAAATTAGCTAATTAAACTAGAATTTAGAGAATGCTTTTGTAAATACTGTGATAAATTTGGGGTTGATGCAGGGCTTAAATTTAAAATATAACCTATAAAATTGTCATGTTCATTGGCAGTGGCTGCTGAGTGTAACCTTGAGGGTTAAAGGGTTAAAGTTTTTTTGTATTTCCCACTAGTGTGACTTCTTGGTTAAAGTTTTTTTAATTTTATTTCCCACCAGACGGCTACTTTGAGGGTTAAAGTTTTTTTAATTTTATTTCCCACCAGACGGCTACTTTGAGGGTTAAAGTTTTTTTAATTTTATTTCCCACCAGACGGCTACTTTGAGGGTCAAAGCATCTGTTTTTGCTCTGGCTGCCACAAGGCCAGGGGTGATGAGAGCTACCTGAGGCGAGGTGACCCTCCAAAAGATTTTGTCCTGCCCTTTGGGTGGTGCCGTTATGTACTGAGGTCAGTTATATGCATTTTACTTGATTGGTCAATTAACACAGTTTTTCTAATTTTTTTTTTATTATTTGATTAACGAAAAAAGTCATTCTGAAAAAAAAAACATTTATTTACTTCAACCGCTCCTTAAATATTTCAAGTTACACGCTGAAAGATTGATAATCATGTTCAAAGTAAATCAAATTTGTAGCTATGGGTTTAGATAGGTTTACAAAATACTTTTTTAGTTGCTTTAAGCTAATATTCCCAGGGCACCTAACAAAACTTTAAGCTAATATTCCCAGGGCACCTAACACAACTTTTAAGCTAATATTTCCAGGGCACCAAACAAAACTTTAAGCTAATATTTCCAGGGCACCCAACAAAACTTTAAGCTAATATTTCCAGGGCATCAAACAAAACTTTAAGCTAATATCCCCAGGGCACCAAACAAAACTTTAAGCTAATATTTCCAGGGCACCTAACAAAACTTTAAGCTAATATCCCCAGGGCACCAAACAAAACTTTAAGCTAATATTTTCAGGGCACCTTTAAGCTAGAATTTAAGGGCTCCTAACAAAACTTAAGCTAATATTTCCAGGGCACCAAACAAAACAAAAGCTAATATTTCCAGGGCACCCAACAAAACTTTAAGCTAATATTTCCAGGGCACCAAACAAAACTTTAAGCTAATATTTCCAGGGCACCCAACAAAACTTTAAGCTAATATTTCCAGGGCATCAAACAAAACTTTAAGCTAATATCCCCAGGGCACCAAACAAAACTTTAAGCTAATATTTCCAGGGCACCTAACAAAACTTTAAGCTAATATCCCCAGGGCACCAAACAAAACTTTAAGCTAATATTTTCAGGGCACCTTTAAGCTAGAATTTAAGGGCTCCTAACAAAACTTAAGCTAATATTTCCAGGGCACCAAACAAAACAAAAGCTAATATTTCCAGGGCACCTAACAAAACTTTCAGCTAATATCCCCAGGGTACCAAACAAAACTTTAAGCTAATATTTCCATAGCACCAAACAAAACTTTAAGCTAATATTTTCAGGGCACCTAACAAAACTTTAAGCTAATATCCCCAGGGCACCAAACAAAACTTTAAGCTAATATTTTCAGGGCACCAAACAAAACTTTAAGCTAATATTCCCAGGGCACCAAACAAAACTTTAAGCTAATATTTTCAGGGCACCTAACAAAACTTTAAGCTAATATTTCCAGGGCACCAAACAAAACTTTAAGCTAATATTCCCAGGGCACTTAACAAAACTTTAAGCTAATATTTCCAGGGCACCTAACAAAACTTTAAGCTAATATCCCCAGGGCACCAAACAAAACTTTAAGCTAATATTTTCAGGGCACCAAACAAAACTTTAAGCTAATATTCCCAGGGCACCTAACAAAACTTTAAGCTAATATTTTCAGGGCACCTAACAAAACTTTAAGCTAATATTTCCAGGGCACCAAACAAAACTTTAAGCTAATATTCCCAGGGCACTTAACAAAACTTTAAGCTAATATTTCCAGGGCACCTAACAAAACCCACAGCCTGAATGTGGCAGAGAAGTGGCACCTGGCCTACCATGGTGTCCGCATGTCAGATGTTCGCAGGATACTGGACACATTTGATCTCATCCCTTCAGGTACCATAGTTGTCACTTAACTCAAACTTTTCTTACCATTCACTAACTGAACGTTGTTAGCTCTCCTTCCATTAAATTTGTAACAAACCCTATAATAAAATGTCCAACTGTGAAAGTCTAGCTGTTGTGTTGTAAAGAAGCTACTCGACCTGCTGGAGTTTGTGACAGCCCCAACTATTGTTTCCATGTTTCAGATGAAGCCAGTGTGGCCAGCAGTCCCCTGCTCCCCCGTCCATTAGCCTACAATGAGAAGTCCCGCCCTGAGAACCTGGGAGGGAAGCAGATTTACCTGTCGCCCACTATACGACACGCAGGTGCCACGCAGTTCTCACCTAAATACAGGTCAGTTGCATGAGTCATGCTGTTGGCACACAGGGGAACTGTCACGGTCTGTGGTTGTGCTTACCTCATACATTAGCCTTTAAATAATTTCCTAATACCTCACCAGATTCTGTAATCTAATGTATTGACCTCAGTCATAAGCCTTACAAAAACTTCTTAATACCTCACCAGATTCTGTAATCTAATGTATTGACCTCAGTCATAAGCCTTACAAAATTTCCTCACCAGATTCTGTGATCCAAAGACCAAAAAGACCTACGAGTGTCGCGCAGCATTCCAGGTGTGGGTGAAGCCAGGCTCGTACAAGGTGATACCGCAGGTGGAGGAGGACAAGGCCCAGGTGGACCCCCACTTTAAAAACTGTGAGATTGACTGGGTGACCAAAGAGCGGGGGTCCACCATGCTGCATGCCCTGCTGCTCAGGGTGGAGTGAATGGGGGAGGGAGGGGTGTTGCTATGGTTACATGTCAACACCTAGCTCCAGATTTCCAGTATTTCATCACTCACTGACTTGTTCATCTTATTGCGACGCGTTGGATTGCATGCATATCATGGCTGACAGTTCTCAGACAGGATGGTTGCCTCAAACTTCTAACTGCAATTCTGGCAAATCTCAATTGTTTTCCTGTTGACCACGGCAAAAATTTTGGTTCAAATCAAACATGGACTAATGAAATTAAAAGGAATCCTTAACAAGATCAATTTATATGAACATGGACGGTTTATTTCCCCCGGAGTCGGAGTGTCGAGTTCACTGTTGGGATGTGTTCCATATTGTTGTTGTGTGTTGTCTCTTTTGACTTTCCAGTTTGAACAAGTGGCTGCAGATATTTTATTTTTTACTTCAGTTACAAATCTCAATTTGCTTTTAGTGTTTAGAATTTATTGCCGCTTGACAGAATATTTGAGAGGCTCAGTAACCACTTCCTTAAACCACTTGACGCTCTCGAGGTTTAGCTCCCTCTTGGAGCAATCTGTTAGTCTAGGAACAAGCTAGGATTTATTTGGTCATGTCCCCAGGAGACCGTTAAAGATTAATCAGGTCATGTCCAGGGCTAGAAACATGACAGCAATTTTTAGCCATCTCTCAACAGATGTTTATTCCTTCCTTCATTCCACTCTGTGCCTGAGAGAGGCAGACTGGTTAAACTCTTAAACCAGCGACACATTGGTAGTGGCATGGCTGAGGAGTGTCACTAGTATTCAGATCAATAATTGATCACATTATTCTACAAATTTGACATTTTTATATACACTGAAATCAAGTATTTACGAAGCTGTGTTGGTAATTTAAATAATGAAATCACCTTGACAAGCCGAGACAACTCTTGCCATGATTTGTTGTTCAAACTTTGATAGATGTTTAAGTCAGCTGGATGCATATTATTCCTTACGATCTAGTTTAGTTTTAATCTCCAGGCTAAATTATTGTTTCTTTTGATGAAGTGTATTTTGAAACAGTTTTAAAGGATTCAGCTTCAACCAATCAGGTTTATTTCTAGAGCTGGCCAGGTAGAAGTTTCACTCCAAATTTACATTCCATAATATCTTGTCATACCATTCTATTGGAAAACTGTAGGCTGTACAGTGCTGAACTGACATCAGAACCCAGTACTGAGGAACAAGGAATGGCTTGATGTAAAGTAGTCATCCAAGTAATAGGTTTATAATGAATGTAATACAATTGTGGAACTATGAAGTCAAACAATGACTTTGATTGTGGTCTTATACTTTAGTTATACCCCTCCATTATGATATTATTTTTGTTCCTTATTTTAGTCAGTTTTTCTGTGATTTAAAAACTTATGACGTAAGTTTATGTTAATGACGTAATAGGATCTGACTAAATAAATTTATGACGTTAGGATGATAACAAACGTCTGACTTGATTTGATATCGTTAGGTTGTTTAAATAAATGAATAACTTTATTTTGTATTGATGAAATTAGGTTATTTAAACAAGATTTGACAAAATATTATGTTCATGACTTTAGATTGGTTAAAAACATGACGCTATTAGGTTGTGTTTTGTAAGACTGTTTTAATTTATTTGTGACGTGTGTAAATACAGTGATATTTCTGAAAACAGTTTAATTTTTATGTATACACTTATTTATGTTTTGTCTCTTATTTTTAAAAGTTAATTTGGTTAAGTACAGGATGTTAAAAATTTTAGTGCTTTGATGAGACTTGATATTAGAAGTGACAAAAAAAAAGAATCATTATTTATTTAGTTGGTTGGGTAGGGCAGGATTATGTCCCCTGAACGTGTGAGTAGGGTTATGCTCCCTGGAATTAAAGTAATCTTGTAGTTATAGCCTAGAGGAAATATTCACAGATAACAAAAAACTGTGCAGTTGTCAAAAATATTCCATGTAGATTGAGATTAAACTATGGACTGTTGCAGCAGGAAACTGACACACTAGACCAGTGGTGCATTAGAGAGAAAATATTGTCTTCATACACCCACTGATGTCTTACTGAGTAGGTGAAACAGAGCTGACTTGACTGATAATTTAATGACTTTTAAGTAGTGTGGTAGAATTTGTTTTGTTTTACCATACAATGTGTGTACCTTTCAGCATTATGTGGGGGGGGGGGGGGTGTGAGAGTAAAATATCTTACTAGAGTAAGATATCAGTCCCAAAATTATATTAGTCTATTTCAGTAGATGCCACCACTAGCATTACAAGTATAAATTCCCATCTATTTAAAATTCTGTTGCTGCAATGGAACTTTAGATTGTCTATCTGTTGAAGGATTTATTAAGGGGGACAACAGGTCATAATCAAACAAAAGGTTTTAAATGATTTTTTAAAACTCAGTCTGGGTAGCCAGTTGTTCCTGTTGGTGTTGTCTGAAAGTTGATCAGACTGGGTAGCCAGTTGGTGTTGTCTGAAAGTTGTATCAGACTGGGTAGCCAGTTGGTGTTGTCTGAAAGTTGTATCAGACTGGGTAGCCAGTTGGTGTTGTCTGAAAGTTGATCAGACTGGGTAGCCAGTTGGTGTTGTCTGAAAGTTGTATCAGACTGAGTAGCCAGTTGGTGTTGTCTGAAAGTAGTATCAGACTGGGTAGCCAGTTATTCCAGTTGGTGTTGTCTGAAAGTTGTATCGGACTGGGTAGCCAGTTGGTGTTGTCTGAAAGTTGTATCGGACTGGGTAGCCAGTTGGTGTTGTCTGAAAGTTGTATCGGACTGGGTAGCCAGTTGGTGTTGTCTGAAAGTTGTATCGGACTGGGTAGCCAGTTGGTGTTGTCTGAAAGTTGTATCAGACTGGGTAGCCAGTTGGTGTTGTCTGAAAGTTTTATCAGACTGGGTAGCCAGTTGGTGTTGTCTTAAAGCTGTATCAGACTGGGTAGCCAGTTGGTGTTGTCTGAAAGTTGATCAGACTGGGTAGCCAGTTGGTGTTGTCTGAAAGTTGTATCGGACTGGGTAGCCAGTTGGTGTTGTCTGAAAGTTGTATCAGACTGGGTAGCCAGTTGGTGTTGTCTGAAAGTTTTATCAGACTGGGTAGCCAGTTGGTGTTGTCTTAAAGCTGTATCAGGCTGGGTAGCCAGTTGGTGTTGTCTTAAAGCTGTATCAGACTGGGTAGCCAGTTGGTGTTGTCTTAAAGCTGTATCAGACTGGGTAGCCAGTTGGTGTTGTCTGAAAGTTGTATCAGACTGGGTAGCCAGTTGGTGTTGTCTGAAAGTTGTATCAGACTGGGTAGCCAGTTGGTGTTGTCTGAAAGTTGTATCAGACTGGGTAGCCAGTTATTCCTGTTGGTGTTGTCTTAAAGCTGTAGAAGGACATTTTGCTCATCTTGTGAACAGTTTTAGTGTTGCGCCATGCATGCATGCCAATTGATTTATTTACAATGCTAATTTAACATGAAATTTTTTTTGCACTATTGTGGTTTTTTTTTCTGTTTTTTTTTTTGTTGTTGAATAAAATATTCCTATTCGCTAAATATTTTGTATGAATGGTCATTCTTGAACTAGACATAAACTTGTCCAATGGTCATTCTTGAACTAGACATAAACTTGTCCAATGGACATTCTTGAACTAGACATAAACTTGTCCAATGGACATTCTTGAACAAGACATGAACTTGTCCATCCAGTGCTTTACGCTGTACTGTTATTGCCTTAGGATACTACAGCATCTACTCCTGACTAAGTTTGTTACATCAGTGTTCGACTACAGTAAAAAATTCACATTTTACTTGGGAGGGAGGGGGGGGGGGCAACACATTAAAATTTCAATTTTCAACTTTGGAGGCTACTGCAAATACAGCTGATTCTTGTGTAAGTCATACTATAGGAGGGGGCTTTAATTGGATCAACAAAACCAGCATTTATAGAGTGGTCCTGGGAAACTATACAAAAAGATGGGAAAGCTGTGCACTATCAGTTCAACAAGCAGAGAGTTCGCTAAAAGTGAAGGTATTAAAATACCATTTGTTGAGAAACAAAACAATTTTACTCATAGTTTTCAAAAAATTGCAGGGAGGTAACAATAAGTTTTTTTTAAAGAAAAACAAATGTATTATCTGTTACTTCCCTTAGATAATAGAACTCATAAAAGAATGTATTTCTGACGTGAACAACGTCTGTCTTCACTACAGTGTGGCAACATCAAGTCAATAATATATCCTTGTAATTAGATCTACCTTAATTACACAGGTCCCACAAAGCTAGTCACATGATCATTTAAACAATGGTTCTTAGCCAAGTGCGATTTAGTACACTGACATAATGGGGGCTACATATCTTTCTTGTCTAGCCTACGGACCATGTTCTCTAGCCTAATGGACTACGAATCATGTTCTCTAGCCTAATGGGACTACGGATCATGTTCTCTAGCCTAATGGGACTACAGATCTCGACGCTCATTGCATATTAAATATGTGTCAAGTGTTACCCAGTTAGCTGGACCAAAATAAAGGTAGGACTACTAACTACTATACAAATTTGTATTCTTTAGGATAATTGTTGCAAAGCTTTAGATTAGTGTGAGTGTGTTCTCAAACCAAAATCGTTTTTTACCCTCCCCTTTCATTTCTCACGTAGGGTCCCCACACATAATATTGGTTTATTTTATTTATTAGCGAGTTAAACGTTTATATTTAACAACATAGCTGAGGTGTGTATTGTGCATTTGTAACCCTAATAATTAACATAAATGTGTCACCAAAAATAACCAGTTGTGACCTAAATAACCATTTAGAAAATCACCGCGCGCTCGTGAGCTGACCAAACACCTGTGCTAGAAAGTTGGTGAGTTAAGTTCAGCGGGATGTTTATTTATTTTTCTGTTTTTGCCGTGTTACAACAAAGAGCGACACATCCGGTAATCAAACCGTACCGTGTAACAAGCAACATTTGAAACATAAATTAGAGTGACGTTGTTGAGCTTAGCTACAGAAAAAACGGAGCTTTTACATTTGAGTTCTATTGTTTTGTAATACAGCAATCTTAAGTGTGTCTTACGTATCAGCTTTTCACTTTTATTTGACGAGATCATAAAATAGGCCTACACTTGGGTTTATTTTATTTGAATATTTCCCGATGGGTCGATGCTCAGAAGTCTGCAGACGTGAAAACCCCAGTGATCTCCCCTCACGACATGATGCGACTGTCGGCTGGCCGCGCGTCACATGGTGGCCGCCGCGCATGTTGGCCAGCTCACGGGGCGTCCAACCGTGCCATCGTTGTCTAGCAGACGACCGAATTTGGCGCTCTCGCGGACTTGAGCTCCACGGGTGTTTTGTTTTTCATACCGCTGGACTAATCAACAATTAAATTATGACACCTGGAAATTAATGTTTGGATTTATTCGGTAATTTTCTGGGGACTTGGTGCGATTTCCTAAAATGGTTTAAAAAGTATTAGGTAAGTTGAATTTTTGTTTCCGTTATTTTTATTTTTTATTTTTTTTTTGGAGGCTTATAATCTGAAGTCATTATGTAAAAACAACCCGTTAATCAAACTGCCGAAAATTTCTCCATACTTTAATTACATGTTTAATTGATTAAGTAATTAATACTTTCTAACTTTCAAAGGTCTTGACTTTCTGAAATCTAAGTTTATAAAAAAAAAATGCTAAGGGAAAAAGATGTATCAAAACAAATCGTTCAATTAACGATTTGTAGATCGATATTAATTAACGTTCTAGAGCTGTTTTGATTTTTATCTGTAACTCGCAAATGACGAACTAAAAAAAATCTTTCCATTGTGATTTTCATCTGAATCCACTCTGGTTCGGTCTTGTCCCCCAACCGTTAAACGTTCTTACACGATAAGTAGCTTAGGGGGGGGGGGGAAAGATGCCATCCCGGGGGTGGGGCTGCAGTCAAGGCTGGAATCGTGTGTCGTCCATTCATAATTGCTGCCATAAGAACATCAGCTCGGTGTGGCGACTCTCTACTTTATGTGAGGGGAGCTTACGGATGGGTGGTGAGCTGGGCACGCATATGGTACGGGGTGTGGGGGGGGGGGGGGGTCTTTATGTGATGGGAGCGCATATGCTAGGTGTATGAAGTGTGTGTGTGGGGAGGGGGGGGGTCTTTATATGATTGGAGCTTACAGATGCTTCGTTACATGGGCTTGGGGTAAGGGGCGTGGTTATTTGTGTGTGTGGGGGGGGGGGAGCTTACACATCCGTGATTACC